AGCTGAAGAAAGAGACATTAAAGTCAAGGCCAATGGATGTGGAGGAAGATCCAGCTGCCACTTACATGGAAAATCCTTACCGAGGGTTTTTTACTCTGCCTCGTCTAGGGGGAAACCAATAAACTGCATAAGCCTTAACGGTCTAGATAAGGTTTACTGTCAAGCGTTAATTGTAAATTTTTATCAATTCAACTTTTTATGTTTGTGTTATGAAAATTTTCCTTTTTACTGTTAGAACCGTAATTTTACTCACGAGGAATGGTAGACACATTGGCAGAAATACTGCAAACTCCTTGTGAAATTATGAAATTCAAAGTTCTATGAGAAATTTGTCAGCACGGTGGACGTTCTGTCTTGTTGCTGGTTTTCAACTAACGTTGGGCGGCCAAGTTCTTTGACAAGAACGAAACGTTTCCCTCTGATGGGAATTAGCTCTTTTTCGAGCAATTATGCAAACCAAAACACAACATTGATATAACTGTTTTGTCAACCAACACGGTCGCCCTGTGACGTGATTTCAAACCAAGAATAATGAGTAACAAGTCAAAATCAGTCCTGTTTTGAAGATGTCCTCATAAGAAATTTTCCTTTCTAAATGAATGACGGTCATTAAGACCCTTTTAAAACGTAGAGCTTCACTTTTACCAAATCTAATACCAATGAGAAAATTTTAAAAAAGCTGTTATCCTCGCTTATATGCATTAGATCCAGGACATGAGAAGTTCTAGACCTATAAACCGAGCCTAACTCTGCAAGGGCGTAAATCGTAGGGTCGGTTATTGAAACAAAGTATTACTTAGAGCATGGCTGAAGGAATCAGTTATCCCCACCAGCAAGGAAAACTGAATAATGAAATCGATACCCAAAAAGAAAAGTCTACATCGGTACATTTAAACACCGATCCAAATGCCATACGTTTTTTTCTAAATTAGTCTTTATTTTCGTACACATGAAAGATAGTAATTACCCCTTATATTCTAACGGTTAATTGAAGAGATGCATTAATCAGTCCTGTGCTAATATGAATGCGGTTTCTTGCAGCCAAAAAAGGCTCAAAAGCCTCAGTTCCAGGCTAGTTCTGCAAAGACACTTTAACAAGCGGTGACGCTCAGGGAAATGGTGGATACTGGATTGACCCCACTTACTCAGGGGATCCCTTCTAGGTGTTCTGTGACGTGAATAGTTATAGAGGTAAGCAATTATTGTTTTTTTTTTTTTTACTTTTTTCTTGGTTTGTTTCTTTTTTTGTAGATAAAAGAAGACAGAAAAAAACTCAGTCTATAAAGACCTCAGTTTTGATAACACATTAGCCAGGAATTATTTACATTGCCTTATATATGTCGATTCCAATCATGTCGGTTACTCCCCCAGGATTCATATAAAGCACATCAGCGAATTTCATTATTCGGTGATCATAGAGCAATCTTATCGTGAACATAGCTTTGACAAACAGCCATCTACCGATCACCGGTTGAATGCTTTTAAGTAATGCACCAGTTAGTTTGACTAATTTGACTAGTTTGATAGCCCTCAAATTTATGCATCTCATTGGTCCGTTTGTTTCCTGAGAATTCCTGAAGTTTTCAAAAGTTGAATAGTTAAATGCTTGAATTTTGTTAGTCCGTATGCAAAAAGTCCTCGAAATGATACCAAATTAACTTCTTATAGAAAGCTTGTTTTATGAGTCACTTGAATCGATTATAATTAGTTATGAGTAAAGTTATGGGCCAGGTTAGGGTTAGGCTCAGGGTTAGAGGCAAGGGTTTGGGCTAGGTTTAGGGTTATTGTTGGGTTAAGAGATTAGGGCTAGGTTAAAGGTTAGGGCTAAGGGTTAGGTTGGGATTGGAGTAACAATCGGCGACAAAATTGCTGAGACATTGACAACAAATGAGGTAACGTCGAGAACAATTATAAGTATCTGCACCCAAGTTGAAAGATCACAGGAGAGAATCCTTAGAGTAGTTTTCAACAATGAGTCAGTCTCTTGCCTACGACGAAATGCTGAAGCTGACTGAACTCCCTTCACTTGTCAACAGAAGGCTTCACGAAATTGCAATTCTCTTGTTTAAGGCAAAGAAGAATCAACTTCCAAGTCGAATACAGGAACTTTTTACGCTGAAAGCAAACTGTGATAGGAGCTATTCCTTAAGAAATTTGGATTTTAATCTGCGTCGTTTTAATACGATTAAATACGGAAAGCATTTATTAAGATACTACGGCCCTTTTCTCTGGTCGAAACTTACAAAGGAATTACATGCTGAGGATAGTCTGCGCAGATTTAAGACTAAAATCAGGAGAACCGTACTGACTGCCTTACTTGAGGTTGGCTGTAAAAATTGCACGCTCTGTAATAGTTAACTTTGAGACCCTAGCTATGTTACTAAGCAAAATTTATCCTGTTATCATACACATACAAATTTACGTGTAAATAGGTCTTAGATATTTAGCTTTCGTAGCTTCTACTATTTGTATTACTTTTTTAAACATTATTTTAACACTATTTTAATATTTTATTTTTTTAATCTTTTATTTGTGTCACCAATTAGTGCTATGCGCTACAGATTCTTGACACGTTTATAAAGTTCACTACTACTACTACTACAACTACTCTAACTACTACTACAACTACTACAACAACTATACTACTACTACTACTACCACCACCACCACCACCACCACCACCACCACCACTACCACTACTACTACTACTACTACTACTACTACTACTACTTCTACGTTACAGCTCTCCCCCTCTTCTCCATTCAAAGATGGAGTGTTTGTTGTTTTCTACAGGAAGCTCGACCGGCAGCACAACATTGCATGGAGGGGATGGGGCAGGGAAAGCTTTATTTTCCTTTATTAACTTATCAAAACGTTAGAGATAGGCCCTTTTGTGCGCGGTGTCTCAACTAATTTTGTCACCGATTGTAGGTTAAAGGTTAGGATAAGATTAGGTTTAGGTCGACTCAACGTGATGACTGAATGATTCATTGGCTCATTTACACTTAGGCTATTTTTACATTATCCTATACGGCTTTTCACGCCGGCACAAAAAGCTATCTAGCAAAGTATGACCTAAGGCTAATCTTGTCATCTTGCAGTAAGGAATTGCTAGAAAGAGTCTTACAGATGTAGAAGAAAGCTGCATGCATTATATCTAACCTCTGGAACTGAACCGGTGACGAATAACGTGGTAAAAACAATTGGTGTTTGTGTGTACCGAGCACTTTTTCCTGTTAATTTTTATCAGTTTGAAAGAAAAATGGTGATATGCAGAAAAAACGATCCGTTTATATGCTGAACCTGTGCTAAACGAAAAAACATCATCATCATTATCACCGTCACCACCATCATGATCATGATCACAGTTACTATCATCATCATCATCGTTATCATCATCATCATCATCATCAACAACAACAACAATATCATCATTATCCTTTTATTACTCTTTCACTGGAACTCTCCATCTAGTGGATAATGCAATTGGCTCCAAAACAATTTTCCAGTGGATAGTAATTTTTATGGTGGGGAAAGCTTTATCCTACTTGCGAACAACGGAGTCCTGATGCATGCTCCTTGTCTACTATTAAAGTTATCGGCATTACAAATTAATATGTTCCCAGCATCTGGCAAAGTAACCTTTGCTTGGAAGAAACCATGGAATGACTCGTAGGTAAAAAATACACAGTTCGTCAATTACACTAACAATAAATGGAAAACAGCTTTGGTGAGTATGCTTATAAACTTTTCCCACGATGCACTGCAGGTCCCAACATTGTTGTGAGTTGTTGCATCCGTTTGCACACCACTGCCAACACACACGCAACAACTCCCAACATTGTTAGCGCAACAATGTTGGGAGTTGTTGCGTCCGTTTGCACGTAGCATAATCGCTTCCGACCAGGCGATTGAGACGACATTTTCCGTGCATTTTTAAAACAGTTACAATATAACGCTTAACTGATATATAATATATAGATTTAGCCAGGGCTAAACGCGAAGCTCTCGATAATATTTATAGTTTGCTCAAACAAAAATATAATCGTGTAATGCTAAGCGGCGAAGGCAACGAGAAAGGTGAAAAAACAATAAGTCTCATTAGGAAAAAAGCAACTTTGTACGTGCAGCACACTTTTTTGTACATTTCTTTGCCGTTGTTTTGCATGTCTACAACGTGAAACTTCCAGAAACTTCCTGGTTACACCTAGCGCGTTTTATGGAGGAAATGTCGTACATGTTCTTGTTCACTTTTTTTTTTCCACTGTCGCTCATTTTCACCCTGGTGGCCGTTAGCATGTTCTCACCGCCGCTACAAAATTTCATGTTGTTCGCCCTACTTTCTCTTTTTCTCTGTCTTTCTCTTTCTCAATACTCCAAATTTGTGGACATGACAATTAATCGACGCCTAAGACGGAATCCATCAGGAAATGGAGTAATTTTAATTTTCAGTGGACAAAAACCTTGTACCAGAATAATTTAAAGAATATTGCATTCATTTTAACATTTTTCAAGGGCTAAAGATGTAATTAGTTATCTGTAATAACACCAAAGAAAATTTCTCATATGGGCCGAGAAAATGAATGTCAAATTTCACAAGAACTGTGAAAACACAGGTAAAATTCTGAGAATTTCTTGTGCAAGATGTAATGTTTGTGAAATTTCACATTCATTTTTCGGGTTCCAAGACATTTTCTTTGGTGTTGTCACGGGGGGGGGGTCATCCAGACCTTGAGATAGGGAGGGGAGGGGGGTCTTAAAATATATTTTTTTCGGTCCTTCTGGCCTCAATAAGTCTATCCAATAGGTAATTAGGACAACCTTATCTGAAAGTTTCATGTACTTGCGTTGTTTCACTCACAGATGAGTTACTTTCGCTCATACTGTCCAGTACACTCTACTCAATATTGAAGCTTCAGTTTACTCACTATTTGGTGTCATTGTGGATGTAACGTTTACTCAATTTTGGGGGGGTTCTCAACTCGACTTTTTTGCAGAGTAGATTCGAAGATGTGGAAATATCGGAACTCCAGGTCACGAAAGAAAAAGGAGACACTCTTGTGGAATTTGAGCTACGTTTAGCTAATAGAGACGAAAACAGCTACCTTGAAGAATTACTTAATGACACGTTGCACAATTGGTACATCACAGGACTCAAATTTGAGGCGTCTGGTGAGCTAGTTTTCATTTTTATTTTGCTGGTTTAAAGAAACAATATTGAATACTAGATAGGGCGCGGTTCAAACATAAACTCATAGGGCGCGGGGGGACTTCGATTAAAACTACGTCGCGTAGTTCATGAAGTTTGATTGGTCAGTTATCTTTTTCTTCTCTTTCCAAATATAGCACCTATGAAAATTAGTATTTACTAGCGTCGGACAAAAGAAACGTATTTGTTCCACGTTTCAACCCCTTATTAGTTTTGGTTTAAGATACTTCGACGGCAACGGCGGCCAAGACGTCACTTAAAGAATGATTTCATAGTCTTTAAACTTAATACAGTCGAATCCCGCTTTACGGACACCCGCTAGAAACGGACACCTCGCTATTACGGACAATTTTCTTTGTCCCTGGAGAAAGCCCTTAGATTTTCTCTAAATTCAACCCGCTTAATACGGACACTCGTTAATGAGGAGAACGGACATTCATTTCTTGCCCAATCAACGAATTCTCATAGAAAGCTAGCCACGCTAATGCGGACATTTCTTTATCAACTGTGTGCTGTAATAAACCTTTCCTTTCTGAAGGTAAAAAATCCTTAAGTTGACAGTATGTCGACGTTCCCCGCCCTACCATACACCGGATAGGATGATTTTTAGAGTCAATTTTTGGCATCAAACTTGTTATGCAGAGAAGGGTGTTGATTAACGGTAATACTATTACTGAACGATTTTAAGGTGTTTTCGTACAATTAAGCCGCGTAATGACGGTTTTGTGAAGGTTAGAGAAGTTTAATTTGATGGTGCTTATGTCCTCTTTTATTTCTTTGGTATTTTGTTGTAGTAAAAGGGTTTTTTACGGAGTTTGACTGTAATAATAATAACAATAATAATAATAATATTGATAATAGCAATAATAATTATTAATCATGTTCTTTTCTTATAATTATTATTATAATGATAATGAAAATAATTAATTGAGTCTGTAGGTTTAAAAGTGAATTATTTGCTAGGCTAAAAATATATATTAAGTTTATTTAGCCTTTTTTAACAAAAATAATCTGGAGAAAGGTCTTACAAATATATTTGGGTTTGACGGCATCCAGCGCGCACCCATGAAAGAAAAGATAAGATAGGAGCACTACAGACGAATGCTGGCAATCGAGTGGCAGTTATCAATACCTTGGCTGTACCACGTGTCACATACAGCTTTAATTTCATCAACTGGAAAGCTTCTGAATCAAGAAACTAGACACAGAGACCGTCTGAGGACGCTTTCAACGGTGTAATAACATTTCTTATTCCGCAGGGGTAACGTTTGAGAACTGGACAGCCAAGGACGAGTGCAAGGTATGTTCAGAAGGAGGCGCTGGACACTTCATTATCCAGGGAGAATGTGTACAGGGAGAACAATGCAGTTGCAATGGTGTGAAGACCACTAAGGAATCTAACGATTGTGTAAAATACTGCAGTGCAGGTATGAAAAGAACCTACGTTATTTTCGGGATGTGACGGATGGGTGGAAATGCAAAGTTATTGGGGAGTATGGGTGGGGGACCGGAGAACTGATTATGAGACAAATTCAGTAAAAGTCACGTGTTTCATGTAATAAGAAATGGTTTTCTGTATAATTGGCCCGAGCAGCAGTTCCATATGTCCCCCCAAAAAAATGGAGGCGGAGATAGTCAGTCAAGGGAGCTCTGCAGCAGTTCGTTTGGGCAGGGATAGCTGGGGAGTGACAACTTAGATTTTACTTTATTTATTTTATTTTATTTTATTAACTCCTCTAAGACCATAAAATAAGTCATACATTTAGAACAGAAATGATACGAAAACTGCAATGTTAACTAAAAACAAGTAATATTCCTCCCTAAATTATTGGCCACGCTACAGGTAGAGCTTATTGATTTACTAAACGAGTGAATTGGTCATCAAGGTTTCAAAAAACGACAAGCCTCTTGCTTATTAACTATGGTAAAGATAAGTAACAGAAAGGCAAGATGTTCGGTTAGATCATTCAATTTTCTGCTAGTTCAGTTTACGAAACTCGATCCTTAAAAGAAGGATGCCGTTGTATAGTTTGTTGTAGCTGATGTAGTACTACATTAAGAGAAGTGATTGAAAGCGATCCCCAAGAGTATCAATTCATTGGTTTGTTACTAGATGAAGGTGGATGAAAGGAACTTCATTCATTCACCGACTCACTCGCTGACTCATTCATTACCTAACAGTAAGTAAACAGCACAATTTTATTGCAAATTAGCCCGCAAATACAACCGTTTCTCCACGCTACTCGCCGCTAGCAAAGGGAGGTTTCGCGGGAGAGATGTCTGCGCCAGTCAAGGACAGAAATTCTATTCCGTTGACGTAAAATCTGTCCAGAATCTTATCAGGGGCTCTGATGGGTCGACGTAGTAATTGTATTCCTTTAGCTATCGTTTACGAATGAGAGAAAAAAAAAAAAAAAAAAAAAAGAGAAAGGGTTACAAAGGTGAATGCGATGAATCTGCTGCAAGACAGTCATTATTCGTGAAATATATTTTTCTTTGGAGAAAGCATTTGTGAGTTTTGCTACCGCTCGTTCTTAGAAATCAAAACTTTACGATACTAAATTAGGAGAGACTTAACCGCGAACAAAATTAATGTCTATACCACCAGATCGATTTACCTACTACCAGATCAATTATGTGAACACTGATTGATTTTCTGTGGTTGAGTCGCAGACGTCTCTCCCGCAAAACGTCCCAGACGAAGAAGACCGAGGAGAGACGGCTGTATTCGCAGGCTAATGGCAAATTGAAATTTTCAGGCGTCCAGGAGAGAGAGATTTCGACGTTCATCTTGGTACTGGGAATCGTCCTGGCTTTCAGGTAACTGCATCATTAGCCCTCTTTCTATTTTAAACAATAAAGAAAGAGGGAGAACTAGGATAATGAAAAAAATCACCGCGAAGGAAGCTGAGTAAGATTTGAAGAGTTATCACATTGGAACGTTATCTGCCAAGATCAAAAGGGGCAAGGGAGGAGCGCGAGTCTGGCTCTCGTCGCTCGCGGTCTCTGGTCTGATTGACCCCATGCGATGACGTCGCAACTTTTAAAATTGCCCAATCAGGTCAATACTAGAGTTTAATACCATCAACTGACATGATACAACTCACTTTGACTCTGAAGATGACTGCCGCAAAGGGTGCAGTGGAGAAACGTCAGTCAACGTCAACAACAGTCCTATTCAGGACTATGTTCACCCGGACGATCATGCTCAACTTACATAATAGGAAATCATGACTCCTGGATTACCGTTTCACAAACAGTTCTGTATCTGCAGCTTTAAAAGTTGTTGTCATTATAAACTCATCTGTTAATGACAAAAGAGGACACTTTACGTTCGAAAGTAGCTTTTGATTATGAACTTTTCATTTCCTTTCTCTTCAGTGTAAATTTCTGGAAGTGAGAGGCTGGCTTTACTTCAAGACCACCGAAAGAGTGAAACAAAAATTTGTTTGGTGTGTGTTAGACATTTTTGTAAGATCGATATTAAACTTTAATAAGCGTCAGTGTAAATAAAAAGGGAACTGTAATACAGAGAAGAATAAGTGATGTAGACAATAGATCGTTGTTTTTGTTTTAATTTTTTTACGGTTTTTCTGCTGCCTTGTGGGCGTTGACGTTGTGCAAGAAAAAACCTTTTGTGAACGAGAACGAGGGAGAAGCAAAAAAGAAAACAAAAAGAAGACCTTTTATTGGTAGACGTAAAGTATTTTAAGTATGTAATTTTTATTTTGGCTCTTGCTGCATAGAACACAAAGGAACATGTAAAGGGTAGCTACCCTTTCAAGATCTCGAGAGCTCATTCGTTTTTTAACTGGTTAGCAGAAAGAGAAAATATTCTAAACTTTCGTTTTGTGTTAATTTCATGAAAAGAAGTAGATAACGATGAGAAAAGAAATTTATTGTATGCTTTGGTGGAGTTGATCGTGGTAAAATAAATAAAAGTTATTAGGTGATTCATTCAGTCTTTTGTTCCCCTTACTCGTTATGATAGGGGCTTGAGGGGGGAGGAGGGGTGGAAGGAATTTTACCTTTCACTTAAAACCGGTGATTTTGCGGAGAGTATCCACTGCCTGAAAAAATCTTCTTAAAGTTGACTTCGAAGATATGATTCATGAAAAAGCTGGCTTATGCTGCCATTTACTTATGAGACAGGTTTCAACAATTTACACTAACAGCCGAAGTATATGATAAACAGACATAAATGACGAGGTATCGTATAGAACTAAACTGCGACTGATGACTTTTTTATGGGACATAATCAGTGTCTAACGAAAACCTCTAGTTAACAAGCAAAAACACACTTTGAAGAAAAAAATGGTGGGCTTGTGTATGTGTGACTGAAACTTTTCTTCCTACTTAACTTACTTAGACGGAACGTCCCGACACAATATCTGAACATCTAATCTTGTCATTTGCTCATAATTTAAGCAGGCTAACGAGCCAGGTTAACTGAAACGCGCTCAATTAATAGGCATTCGGCGAATTACTTCTTCAAAAGTTTGCAATTCAGTCAGTCTTTAATTTGCATGATCTTATCGGTAAACCAGAATTTCATTTCTCTTCAGATTTTTCTTGTTGCCTTTTTTTAAGGATGAATACAGATGTTTCTAATCAGCTATTACCTATACCAGGAACAGGCAAGAAAATGAAAAGAAATGGCAAAATTTACTAATGTTGCGGCTATTCAGTTAGGGCCCACATGAATCATCATTTTGATCATTGAAGATCATGTTGAAAAAATGGGTAACCAGGAATTTACACGGACGATGCTGCGTCTTATGTTATATTGATAAAGAAGTCAAAGCGCCTTTATTTTTAAGAGTCAATTGACAACAACAAAGAAAACCCAAAGAGAATTTGGAAAATTCTTACAAAGGCTCAAACGTCCAACAATATCACTGAGTTAAAGCGGGAAATGGTACGGCTGAAACAGATAGTTAAGCTATGGCCAATAAACTAAACGATTTCTTTGTAAACAGTGTCAAAGAGTTGGTAATGGGTTTACTCCAACAGCCAAATTTGACCATAAGAAGCTAAAGGATCATGTTTCATCGAAGATTGATTATTTTATTGCCCAGTACAATTTTCTCCGAATAACTGTCCAGGAGACTCAAAAACTGATCAACAAACTGTCTAGCTCGAAAGCAACAGGCCCTGATGCCATCAGTGTAAAACTACTGAACATGCTTTCTCCGGCCTTCTCTCATCCTCTTACCAGGCTTTTCAACCTGTCGATAGTAAAGGGGACCCTTCCCAGCAAATGAAAAGTGGCAAGAATAACACCTCTTTATAAGGGTGGCGCGCACGACAGCCGTGATAATGACAGACCCATTTCTCTACTGTCCGTCCTTTCCAAAGTAATGGAGAAACATGTTGCTACATCCTTTGTGAACTATCTCGCACACAGTGAATTGCTATACGATCTGCAGTCAGCTTTTTGTGAAGGTCACTCTACTGAGTCTGCTCTAATCAAACTGACAAGCAAAATATTGTTCAGCTGGGACCGGGACGAAGTTACTGGAATGATTTTTGTCGACTTTGGAAAGGCATTTTACGTTGTCAATCATCAACCATTATTAATTAACTTAAGGCTCTACAATGCCAGTGACTCACACTTTCTTGGTTTACATCATATCTTTCCGAGAGAAAACAGTTCGTGACTAAAAATGGACAAAGATCAGACCCGCTTACTATAAAACAAGGCGTACCAAAGGCTTCTGTGTTGCGACCTATTTTGTTCCCTTTATTTGTCAATGATACACCGCTGCGGCCATCGAGATCTTCTATTGATATTTTTCGCTGATGATACAACAGAAGAACAGCTAGTACGCACAAAGGAAAGGAGAAAAAGAAAGAGCGCGGAAGAAAGGAGGAGAAGAGAAAATATGCAATGGTTGCACTCTTACGGGACTTTCCAAAAATCAGAACTGGCCGGCCGGACCATGGTCGGACCAGTCATTTTGAAAATGAAATAGTCTTTTTCCAAGAGTTTTTACCGAAAAACCATCTCCTTTGTGCATGCTATTTAGGATTTGACTGATCTGGCTGGAATTTTTTTTTTCACTGGCATTAAAAGTGTTACAACGGGAATGGTCTGGCCGGTCAGTTCTGACAAATGAAAAGCACCCTTAGTTTTTACAGTGGCTACTTCGGAGATTTTAGCCCGATTAAACAACTGTTGGACGGAAATAGTCCACTTGGCGGTAATGTACTCAAAAATCCGGCGAGATATATTTTTTGAAGTTTGCCGCTGTATTTTCCGTCTGGACCAACACTTTCAGGTCATACATGTTCGACAGTACCGAGTTGTAAAGTTTTTTAATCTGACTTCCTTGATATTCACGCTGCAAGCAAGCCGAATAATCGTTTCGTGCATGTTTATTTGTTGCAGGGAACTGCAATTAGTAATTAGTTATTGCCAACGAGCAGCCTCGCGAAGACGCGGGGCTGCGAGGCGGCAGCATAATAGTAAGCCGTGCGCGAAATGAATCTTGAAGCGATGTAACCTAAGGTAGTGTAACTTTTGTGACGTAATGCAGAACGGAGAATATAAGAAAAATATGCTATGTAAGGTTAGTATTTCAAATTCTTTATGCAGTAGAACAATTTAGTTCACTATTTTCAAGGTAATTTTTGCCTATGCAATCGAATTTTTCGCAAAGACACTCATGCACACCTGGCTATTTACGCCGCCAGGAAAAAAATATAACGTTGCAAAAATTACTGTTAAGTGTCTTTCAAGACAAAGAATTCAGAAGGCTTCATCGGCGCACCATAAACCTTTTTTTTCTGAAAAGTAGACTTCCTAAGCCTTAAAAAGAGACCAAATATAAATCTGTACGTTAAATATTCGCGGACTTATGATTTTGGAGGATTCTGAGTTGGCGTATAGGACAACTAGATTTTACGCAAAATGACCTGTGCGCAACTTCGGACAAAAACACGAACGTCAATTTCTCGACAGATATGCTGTAAAAAGTCGGGATTTCAAATTCTTTATACAGTAGAACAGTTTAGTTCACTGTTTCCACAACAATTTTCACTTATGCAATCGAATTGAGTTCAAACTGTTTTTCGGAAATTACTGTAATTCATGACATTTCTAAACAAATTGAACAGCGCGCGCGTGTAGGTAAAATCTTTGCTCGTTGGCACTACGCGATAGCTATAACTAGTTAATTATGTTCTTAATTTATCTCGAAAACGTCAAACACCCTTTATGGTCAGTTGAACTTCGTCATTTTGTCTTAAGTTAAAACTCTCATTACCAGTCACTCTATATGCATTGCACTGATCTCACGATGTTAAGTTAAAACCGCTTATTCAAAACCCGTAGAAGGTTGCTTTGTGTTTGCAAGCAATTGTCACTTGAATGACCCTCACATACGCCACTTAGTCTCCTTTGAACATTTGAATACAATTCTTTCGACGGTAAACAAACCCCCAGAACTCTCGCAGCACGAAAGAATTTCTCAAAAGATGGCAAAATATCGCATTTATCCCCACAGGCATTGTCTCTGTCAGAAAATTTTGGTATATTGTTTATTTCTGCGACAGAAACGTATTTCTCTAACAATGTTTTTGCTTCAACTTGTTCCGTGTGCAAAGCGCTATAATCTTTTTGTGAACACGCGCCGTTAACATAGATTTCCTGGTAAAAATTGTGAGAGCTGAGGGATTCTTTCCTTTCCTCCTTTGTAGAAGTCCATTGGGTTTGTTTTTCAGCTCCTGACAATGTATTTGTCTCCGCACTATCCAAGTTCCTGAATTTTGATGCTAAGATGATGTTTCCAGCAAAGTCATGGCGGCAAATTCTCATTTCTATCAAACTTTTTTTAACTGACTCGCTCACATTTTCGCTTTTGCTTTCAGCACAGGGTTTTATCGAATAGCTCGTCTTGTTTCGTTTCCAGGGTGCTCGAAATTCTTGTATTCCTAAATTATAACTGTACCGGTACACATTGCTGCGGAGAAGTTCTGAAGCTTGCGCTTCTTGAGTTAAATATTGGATAGTTCTCAGATAATAGCTCCTTGATGCCGTCATTTCGTCACTGTTTTGCAACGGAGTATAGAAAGGAAAGTGCCGCTCACACTATAGCTACTTGGTGAGCATTCTCTGCTGTACTCGGTCCTTTATCGTATTGTTTTCTTGACCTTTTGTCGGTGTGTGATAAATTTGACGTATTTATGATGAAGGCCAAGGCAAAATCAGAGTTCTGAAATCACTGGCTAAATGTCCTCAATTTCAACGAGAAATCCTCCTTCGGTCACTGAAATGACATCAAAATCACAACCCCTTCTGTTCTGTAAGAGAATATTCCTCAATAAAAAACGGCACCATCTCAACACGAGCTCGGCATTTTTATTCAAATTTGCTTCGACAATTGAAAATATATATCACTGATTAGTAAAAGCGTGCGTAAGTAATCTCATGTTTAATTACAGGTCGCTCTAGGATACTTGTGGACAAAAGAGGAAATATAAAAAAGGCCTGTTTATTGAGCATTTACGCAAATGTCGCGAGAGAATAACTTTTTAATCCTTTTTCATCTGACTATAAATTTAGAAAGAGTAGGGTCCTCCTTAGAGGTCACGAGTTCTGATGCCATAAATATGAAGACAAATGAAACGCAAAAAAAGAGATATAATTTAAGTTCGTTTTAACAGTGCGAAAAATAATATATTAAAATAAAGGAGTCACCACCGCACTTATATGCCGGCTGTGTGATGTGACAATTAGTTTGTTTAATAAGAAATCTGGAGGAAAGTTAAAAGTTATGAGAACTGATTATGATTGTGAGTATACCAAAGAAAACGCATGAAGAACGGTCAATACGGTCAACAATGTTAGCAATTAGGCGATTGCGCTCAGAAATAGCGACTACAATAATTATGACAATTATAGTCTCAGTTAGTCTCTGATTATTTGTTTAATGTTTTACTTCCATTTTAACTTTGAGAACCCTGCACACATCAAATACACAAATCTGGAATTTTCCTTTCAAGTTTATTCGTCTCTCGCTTTTTCTAACTTGAGTGCGCTGCAGGTGTTAAAACAAATGGCAATCGCCAATCTGAGTGCTTAGTAATCCAATCTGATTCGTCTTTACCCGGCGGCTTTAACCATTGTTCGTGTTGTATGTTTTACAGTGGTTTTCATTCGTGGCAGCCGGAAAGAACCCCTAAAAAGACTAAATGCCTCGCGGTCAGAAATATCTTTATAGAGTTAAACGGAAAACCCAATTATCTAAGCCTCTCATTGGGTTTAAAATATTCCATCTTCATTTTGAATATACCGGGCTGTGTTGTTCAAAAAAGAATCCACTTTATCCCAGGTATTATATTAGCGTATAATCTTAGCATGTTCTTTTGGTTATAAACAACTATTGCTTATGAGCTTTACATTTGTTTTGTTTTTATACCGTCTCAAAGAAAGCCTACTTTACTTGAAATTTATAATTTGGCATATGCAGCTTGCTAGCTACAGGGGCACCCAAAGAGGACAGTTCAAAACCACTTAACATAGCATTGTTGAAGGTATTTTAGTATTCAAACTGTAGATATAGGCATATTTTTATCCCCTAAAAACTTTTCATCTGTTCGGATTTCCTAGCTGAAAGTCTAGTGATCCGAAAATTATAGGGATAAAAACTTACCCTGTCGAAAATTTCAGCCAGGAAAAGGCTCCCGAAAATTCTAGGTGGCCTTTTTTTAGGGTCAAAATCCGTTAAAAATGGGTAATTATACCATTTTGTCGGTGTTCGAAAATCCTAGGAGAGGCAGGCAAGCAAGAAATTTGACAACAAATGCTCCGAAAATTCTAGATCTCAAATCGTCTTCCGAACAGATATTTTCCCGAAAATTGCCGTTGGGTGCCCTTATAGCTACTGACTGATTCTGAGACCACACTGGGTTACTTTTGTTCCCTAAATTTTGCACCTGTTCAAACATATTGACATTTCAACCCTGGAACAGGTTAAACTTCTGTTCTTAAGTCATTTAATGTAAAGAACAGAAGAAGTTGAATCGTCACAGAATGAGAAATCACTTGTAAAACAGCCTGTTGTAAAACGGATAGAACTGTATGAAATTATAAAGATAAGTGGCTAGGAGATCAACCTCAACAAACTTTAAGATTTTTTTCTTTTGAAGTGGTTGACTACGCGTGTTCTGTCGTCTCATCCAAACAATTGCTCCTGATTCCAGTGAGATATTAACAATTTAAAGCCGGTTGATATCGTTAATAATTGGAATATGAAAATTTAGGTCTCGCTCAGTGAAGTCTCCTCGTGAACAACCATACTTTCACTCCAACCTTGTACTCGCTGACGTAGGCTTTTTCTACGGTGAAAGTCGTGAGGACAATTTCTGGCAAGTCTACGACAATCCGACGGTGGATTAGCAGCAGTTAGTTTTTCTGGAAAGGTTGCGGTACCTTTCAAGAAATCCTCACCTGAGCCCCCTAAAGTCCCCAATTCACATACCCCAAAAGAGGTACCCTGACGACAACCCGACGGCAGCTGTGTAGTAGAACAGTACCTTTTCAGAAATCCCCACCCGATTCCCTCTTCACAAAGTCTGATTGAGGTTGCCTAGGGTAAAGCTTTATGAACACGGGCAGCATTTATCGCAAGTTTCTTACCTGGGCGCGACATTTCTTGGCAAAGACCCAATTCACTCAGCCTTTTTTAAGACAAAGGTAAGTTTTTGTCCCCTACTTCAAGACCGATAAGGAAAGTAATAGATAGTTCATTAGCAGATTATCTTTTGATTTAGAAACTATGATTATAATTATTTTCCGGATTTCTAAAACAGAGTAATAAATTTTCAACTTACTTTCGTAAAAAAATGAATAAATAAAATAAAATAAAACAACAAAAAGATTCTATTATTTCCAGGCTCCCCTTCGTCACGTTTGGCGACCATACATTTTGTGCAGTTCTCTAGATTTTTTTCCAAAGTGATCGCGTTCGCCGTCCACAAATCAAACAGACGCCGTGTTTCTTAGCATCCATTTTTTAACTACTACATTTCAACATCTTTTTAAGTAAACCCGCAGCAAACCGAAAAGAAAATACTTAGGTAGCCGGATTATATTGAAGTGTTTTATTTTGTTTTGTCTGGCTTATTGCATATGTATAAACTAAGTAAATTATGTGAATATGAGTTCAATTACGCGGACACTGGTATCCAAGCCTGACGGCGTTAAAACAGAATTTTATTACACACCACATAAAAATACAGTCAATGACTGCTTAGTTTTTCGCATATCTTTTCTTTGGTTAATAAATAACGTGTTACAGCTTATACAAGAAAAAGAAATATATCTCTGAAAGAGAGTTCCTTTGTTAACATGGCATTTCTGATTATGTCGGAAGTATCGAGTCAGAGGTTTCCATTCCGTCGGCCTCGCTTGAATCTAAAAGGGAAAATTAAGTGAAATAATCGCACTTTTTTTTTCCAGTTTTACATATGAGAAATGAGGGATTGATTTCATAAGTATGCATAAAATAATACAAAAGGCAAACGACTGATGTTCTCAAAAATTCTAACCAAATAAGGCGATAATATTATAACCTGTAGCGTTTGCAATGAATGAGAGACAAAACATGAAAACAAGACTGAGCCCCTATGTAAAAACAGTTAAATCGATTTTTTCTATAGACATTATGATTTCAAGACGTATTCCTTCAGCTCTATAGAGGCTGCACGACTGTCCAACAAGGCACGGGGTTCGTACCGAAAATAAAAACTATATAAGAATAATAATAAAAATAATATTAAATATATATTTTTTTCTAGACCCCAGGTTATCAAATAGGCGATCAATACAGACCTCAAAAAACACAGGAACAAAGCTTTTTTCACGATGCACTGCAATATACGCGCGAGATTGAATAAGATTTGACCAAAACGATAAAAAATAACTTGTAAGGCACTTGTTGGAGCTTTGAAAAAAAAAAGAAACCTCTGATTTAATAAAATACCTCTAATAAAAATTACCATTTTTCCTGACGTTACCTCTATTTTCCAGACTTTTTCCAGTTCTGGAAAATTGCTGGGCAAATTTTTAAGACTTTTTCAAGAACCCATGACTCTCACACGAGCCCCGAAGGTATTTTATTGACAACAATAAAAATTGATGGCAATGATTCAAGAAATAAATTTCTAGGCTAGAAGCTATTCAAGTCAATACTTCCTTCTGGCCAGCAGGGTAACGACTATTAATGAGGCGGCCATACGGTACAAAATTTAAACAAAACCAAACCATAACTGAGAGAGAAAGAAAATACTAGAATGGAAGAAACCGCAAAGGACCGGGACATTTATGAAACAAATTGCATGGATTGTCTTAGATTGCAGAGCAGGCCTGTTTTTTCTAAACGGAAAGTCAGAGGTACATTTTTTGACTCGCTCCAACTCTCTGTTAGGTTCAGCGACCAAGATGACAGGAGAATATTAGTTTTTATGACGTCATCACTTTAGAACTCTATAGCTGACTGCTTCGTAACCAGTAACGATCCCACAATCAATTGCAAGGCCCATTTCAGCTCCAGTTCTCATTCCTAAAGTGGCGAACACGCCACAAGTCATCTATAGCAGTTACATCGAGTATGAGAGCAAGCCCTCCATTTGGATATCGCAAGAGATGAAAATTATGCGGGAATGTGCCGCGATAGCCCACTCCTCGCGCGAGATCCTTAAACTCTCGCGAGCTTCCTTACAGGCTAAATTGATCTATATCAACTCAACAACCGTGGAAGCTAATCTCTTGACTTGTCTTCTCATGACATGGTAAATACACAAAGAGACTGACTAGCAGTATTTACCTGGTTCGTCTGGCCTGCTCTTTTCAGCTGTCTTTTCTTCAAGTTTGTGGTGTTGGCTTAGACCCAGATCTGGTACACGTCCCACGCCGAGCGCTGCGCGTAAACTGACCTCTGACACTACTTGTTTTGGACGAGTCTGCGGTTAAGATCAGCGAAAACATTTCCTCTATAACTACAAAACCAATGTGAGGTGAAGATGAAGAGAAGCCAAGGGGAAAAAAAAGCTACATGTGGCATTTGTTAAATGGGCCCAGATATATATAAAAAGTATAAATCTATTCTTACGTAAAGGAGTTGTGACAAAATATTTGATATTACTTTAAAACTCTAACATATTGCAAACAAAGAAAACCCTGAGATAATAGTTTAGCTTTATTTTATAATTACTCTACAACTATATCCCAACTATAACTAACTTTTGACGGCCAGAATGAAAACAGATTGCAAAGTGAAAAAAATGAGCCAACGTTTTCAATTTGAACTCTATAATGTTATCGAAAAATGATCAAACACCGACCATGCTCTCGACTGTTTTCCCTTTGATAAAATTAATTCATGCATTCGATTGATCGTATTCCGAAATAACAGTACGAGAAAGTTTTGTTACAAATCTCTTCTACCGTGATGTTGGGCCATTTAAACTATTTATACAGATAAATATTTTATTTCGAGCAGGTTTGTAAATATTGCAATACAATGAAAGCCAATCAAGTGCCAGTAAAAGCCAGTGATTTTTTCTAGATTTTCATTCCGTTATATGGTCCATCGACACGCCATTGTAAAAAAAAAAAGATGATTGAGACTACTTCGTTATAACTAGCCTGTTCCAGGCGTTCAGATGGTAGAGCGTGGGAGAAAAATTCACGAAGAAAAAAAAAACGAGGGGAGACTAGAGGGGGAAAGGGGGAGAAAACGCTCTCCCCCCCCTGTTTTCCCGGTGTACAACTTAACTCGCTCCCCCACTTACCGCCGCGCTCTACTGTTTGAACGCCTGGAACAGGCTACGTTATAACTTCATCTCAGCTTTGACTAAACATCACAAAACAAGGAGCTAACTATAACAGACTCATCTAGAGTCTTATCCTGAAGGGCTCAAAATTTACAGGGACCGTAAAAAGAAATGCCACTCCATACCTGTGAGGTAAGATCTTTCAGATCTTTTTATTCCGCAATACGGTCAATCGAACACGCCCTTTGAGTTCCAAGAGTGAAGTATAAAAAAACGATTACTAAGATTACTTCGTTATTTCTAACTATGACACAGCCTTATCTAGAGTCTTATCCTTAAAGGGCTCAAAATTTACATAGACTGTAGACAGAAATGCCACTTCATACCTGTGAGGTAAGATCTTTCAGATTCTCCGTCACACGATCCGCTGCGTAAAAAAATAAACGTCAATAATTAAAAGTGACTCAAGAGGACAGCTGCACGCTTGAGACAGTTATTCCAGTAACTTGCGGGTAAGCTTGCCATTTCGAGCGGCGATCATGGTAATGGAGCCTATTCAGAGCGAAGCCGGCCGCGAGAAAACGTACAAGCAAGAGGCAAAATCGCGAAGGGCTGTCTAACCCCACCCTTCGCTCTCTCGTCTCATTCCGAGTGCCCCTCGCGCACGACTCCAAATGACAGGGAGCTTAAAGGTGATGTTACACAAGACGATTCGCAAAGACGATTTTTAGCACAACACAGCGTTGCAACATTGTTCCAACATTGCAATGCCAATACTTACCAATACTCTTTTCCTGTGTGGAGGGTCGAATTGCCGCCTCAGGAGTTGGTCCCCCTGGACCTTCAGGTCTGTGGCTCATGCGCATGCTCTGTACTTCTTGAAGATCTTCCAAAAGTTTACCGGTGGTTCGTAACTTTTCGTGTACATCATGTGATAGCAACGAACTGATTTAAGAAAAGAATACAAAATAAACGTAAGTTGCAAGTAAGGAAAAAGCAGCTTTGCAGATAAACATAAAATGAACAATGTCCTTTGACTTAAAGAAGCTGAACAACAATGAAACACTGTTACGACATTCGCCGTTAGAGGTCCATCTTGAATTATCAGAGAGGCGATAAACGCTATAGTGACAGCAGAGAAAGAACTTATTAAATGAAAACGAATACAAGGGCAACAAAACAAACACGCCGAAATAACTAGGAAAAAACAGACAAGGACAAAAGATGAAAAGAAGCATTTAACATAGTTCTTAGTTAGGAGCGTTATCTCACCTCAATGAATCTTCGCTTGAAGGGTGTTCTGAAAACAAAACCAAACAGAACTTAAGTTAATTTTCGGTAACAAATCGAAAAAAAGCAAGTGAAAATGTGCATTTGATCCTATAGCATTGAGGTGCCAGCTGTAAGAGCCCCTTGAACAAATCCCTTCTCTTAGGGCCTGTTTACATGGGGACTCTAGCTAAGTGAGGTAACCCGCTTAGGTGGGATATCTCTCATTTAAATTTGATCACGTTTACATAATAGGTGGGGTGACCCACCACATGTTACCTCACCTATCTGGGATTCCCCATCTCCGTGTAAACAAGCCCTTAAACAGCCCGGCGTGACCACCCTGGTTGATGCAAAGGCTAAGGTGACAGAACAAGTCAATTTCGCAGCGTGGTATGTAGCCGGCCGATACTAACCAAGTAGGCGGCGATTTTCGCCGGCAGCCGGCTACTTTTAACAACCCTGCGGTGTGGCCGAGTGGTTACAGCGCTGGACTTGCAAATCAGAGGCCCCGAGTTGTTTAGTTCCGCTAAAACCGCTAGCTAACCGTCGGTAGTCCTGAGTTAAAAATCCTCGGCCATGCTTGTAAATAGACAGCTGGTTTGCCTCTGGCCAGTTGGGATTCTTAACCCTCTTAAGGTCAATTTGAATTGTTTTTTTTTCAGGCATTTACTCGGCCCCACTGTAGCATTAGTGATATAAATACTGCCGGGGGTAAATGACAGAATAATAATGATAATTTTTTTGCGATATTCTCGACTATTTTCTCAAAGTAAGCAGTAACAGACTGAGCCTAGTTTATTTGCACATTTGTTATTGTCAGTTTCCTTTGGAAAAATGTTGATTCTATGGCCTTATTGTCAACCTTTATACATTATCAGCTTTTTTTCTATTTTGCCAATCCAGGCTTGATCAACTACCACCAAACCGAACCTTTACTTGCTGGACTTTCTACTTAGAAAGAAAGGAAAAAAAAATCCTCGTATACCTAAGTCGTGGTACTTACCTGCTTTTAGAAACGAAACATCAATTCCTTCGTCAGCTAGAGACATCAGGGATTGGAAATCTATTTTCGTTACGTCTGTGGAAATCAAAGGCAAAAGACATAATTTAATTTTGCTTTAAAATGCAGAAGCTTCATCGATAACTACCATGTTCAATAGCGCCTTTCAGAAAATTGAAGTTCAAAAAGTCACTTAATCTGCCTTTAAATGAAAAATCATACCAGTTGAAGAGTTCGCAGTTGCTGAAGCTGTCGACGAAACCTACAGGGAGAAATATAGCTTAACAAAATGGTAGGCCTGTACAGCCACCTCTCCACTGCGATTTTGTTTTAGGGGAGGGGGCGGCTGTACACAGGATACAAAAAGGTGAATATGAAATAGCCTGAGAAAACAGCCCACATTTGGCGACGCTACCAGTGGTTTCCCCGCCAAATGACGTCTTAGAAACGAGCGCAGAAATTCCACACTGATGACGCGTCACTACCCAGATCTGGGTAGTGCTTCTTATCGGTTGAATCATATTTCACACGCGGCACGACCAATCAGAAGCACTACCCAGATCTGGGTAGTGACGCGTCATCAGTATGGAATTCCTGCTCTCGTTTCTCAGACGTCATTTGGCGGGGAGACCATTAGTAGCGTCGCCAAATGTCGGCTGTTTTCTCAGGCTCAATATAAAAGTGTTGTCGATTAAAAAACTCTCATTCACAAAGATGTATGCCTCTTCACAGGCGTCCCAAGCGCACGTTACGAATTTACTTTCTCACAAGAGAGTCGGTGTCGCGTTACAAGCAACCGTTGAGACTTTGTATGGGAAATGAACAAATTATTTTGTATGTGTAATCAAATGGTGACGAGTGAAATTATTCCCTAATTTCCCGAGTATACCATTTGATTACCTATTAATATCATGGGTGACGAATTACGTTAGCAATCTCGGATTTTTGACATGCTTATCCTGGATCGTATCGATCGAGAACTCCTGCACTGTCTCGAACGTTTAGAGCTTAAATTTGGCTTAAGTTCAGAGTTTTTCGACAAAACTCCTGTTAGAATCCTTCTTGATGTTCTCTTGTTTGTTCAGGTTTTCTAAAGGGTCTTTTTGTGCCCTGACATCTTCATTCATGACATTTCAAAACTTCATCGCCATCTTGACACTGAGACGTACGGAAGGTTGCCATGGCAATTTTGTAATTTCAGAAGTGAAATTACAAATTAACGCTGAAATTTCGCGCCAAAAATAAGGAGTAATTCGTCACCTATGATATTATACTCTTTTCTGTACAACAAATAAAGGAGACTTACCTTTGATGTATTCCTGTGTTTTTTTTGCTGTGAATTCATTGATATAGACTGGGTGTTTTGGTTGTTATTTTTTGACCCCTATCACTCTCTTCATAATACAAATGCAGAGAGTGACACGGGTCACACAATAACAGCCAAAATAAACCCCTACTAAATCGATTAATTCACACTAAAAAACACAGAAATACATCAAAGGTAAGTCTCCTTTACTTATTTTATAGAAAAAAGGTAAAAAAATAATGATACTTGACGTTTACAGACCTCAGTATTTTATTTGTCATACAAAGTCTCAACGGTCGCTTGTAACGTGACACCGACACTCTTGTGAGATATACATAACACACTCGTAACGCGAGCTTGGGACGTCTGTGGCCTTTTCGGCCTCTTTATCAGATCAAATACTCCATCTTTTGCGTGTACGGCTAAGTCGTTCCAAAGAATAGTACGCAAGGTTTACCCAAGTAAAATCCGTACCCACTGCGGTTTCTGGCATCGTTTGTGCAACTGTAGTGTAATGTCATCTCATGTTATGTCGTGGATTAGAGGACAACAAGACGCGCCCTCTTTACATTATATATTAACATTTTAACAGTAAGCTCGGACGTCAGGATTCAATCCAAGCAACTAAACGCTGCTTGAAAGAACAATATCATGACATATCAAAAACGCTACTGGTGGTTTCCCCGCGAAAGGACGTCTGAGAAACGGGCGCAAACATTCCATACTGATGACGTGTCCTTACACAGATCTGGGTAGTGCGCGTCATCAGTATGGAATTTTCTGCACTCGTTTCTGAGACGTCATTTCGCGGGAAACCACCGGTAGCGTTCCGAAATGTCGGCAGTTTTCTCAGGCTAGCTATATCGAAAAACCTGACTCGTACGTAGTAAGATCTTCTTCAATGAGGTTGGACAAAAAGCTAGTTCGTTGCCGGATCTAAACCAGAACAGTGACGGAGATCCTACCTTGGATGTATTATCTGTGTTGGAGACAGTGGCTGTTTTGCTCCCAACTTGACTAGGCTATAAGCAAAATAAAAGAAAACCAAAACATGGATTGGTAAAGATACGTGAGAAGTTAGAAAACAAAACAGGTGGTTACTTCAAGTCAAACAATTGCTCTGACGGAAGCTTGGTTTTACCTTGCTCTCTGAGCTACTAGCAGAAAAGGATTATTTATTCATCGCAATTAGATGATAGCTTAAATTACTCATCCGCCACTTCCGCAATGGTTAATGGGATCATTACTGTCAGCTATTGGCCAATTTTTCTCCTATCCCTAGTAACAGTCCCAGAAGACTTTGCAAAGTAATTCGATCCAGCTTTCCTCTCGTTTTTAAAGTGGCGAACTGGTCAAGAAGAGAGAGAGACACAAATAGTTTAACCGCCAAATTTTTGCTTAACCGAACTGTGGATGTCGGTACATGGTTATAATAAAAAGAAAAATAGAGACACAGAAATGAAATTTTTTTAGAGCATCAATTCTGTCGACCAGATTATAACAAAAAAGGACTGTGAACACTGAAAAACTAGAGTTTATCTAAGCAACTCTCACGTCTGTTCCCTCCTCTGCTAACTCCCTTCCTCCTAGGCGAATCTTTGTTTCTATTTTTTTGCTTCATTAGCAAATGCCTTTCGTTCTCTGGTCAAGCTATTAAAATAAACTCTCTGAATATCCAAAGAGCATAACAATTTTAGTTGTCTGTGTACATTTGAGCAAAATATACAGCAAAGTTTCGGAGGAATTCTCTTTGAAAAACCAGAAACTTTACAAAGAGTGTATGGGCTCACCATCGTTTTTGGCAGTTTTCTGTGGCTGCTACTTTTTTGTCATTGTTTGCAAAGAGCTGAATAATGCACAAACTGCTCAAATTAACCAACTCTTTCAACTTTTGAATTTAATTTGCGCATACGGCGACGTCTTCTTTATCTTCTTCTATGGGTTGACTCGTATGCTAACGCCAAAAATGTAAACTTTGACGTCAGCAAAGATTCGCCTACGCATGTACACTCAGACATACACATCAGTTGAATTATGATATTTCGTGACAAAGCTAGAGAAGGCATAGTTTATGTAGAATGCCTTGGAGTAAATTGAACTGAAAACCGTTAGTAATAAAAAACGACGAACAGAATTTGATATTTCAGTCATATTTTGACATGCTGTGGTTTAAGACCAACAGAAAATAAACTTTAAAACAAAGATAAAATTGAAGCAGAACTTGTATTTACTTCTCCCTTGGCAGATGGAACTTCAGTGTTTTGTTCGGATTTTTCCCTCTCCTTAGCTTGTTTTTCTTCTTCTGCTTTTTCTTTCTGCAGAAAAAATGTAAATACAAAAAAGCAGTTTATTTTCAATCAGACGGACTGCTGTGAATAATACTTTTCGTCAGAAGTGATTCTAACCCATGAACCTGGGTTAGACGACGTTCTAACCCATTATAAACAAAATACAAATTAAGAAATATAACTATTAACCGAACTTTCGCTCATTTCATTCAGGTCATCTACCTTTTCCACAGAAATGAGATAACTAGCGAGAGCGAAAGAGAAAGTGATTTACATGTGTCCTTTGGATAGCCAACTATCCAAGGTTTGAACAAAACCAGGGCCAGTTTTTATTCATCCTTAAACATATTTTTATTATAAACCATTCATTAAAACAGGTAATCTAACTATTAAAGCCGTAGTGGTAAGATCAATTCTCACCTCAGCCAACGCATGTACATATTTAGAATGTGCGCCTTCAGTCAGGACATCCAGCAGTCTATCTACTGCTTCATGTGAAAACGAGGAAGCGTCCTTTACAAAAGCCTGTAGACTGTGTAGTTGGGAAACATAAATTAAATCAAATAAGTAAGACAACAAGATGGTTTCAAGCATCCATAATATGGGCACTAAAGGGAAAGACCAAAATGTTCGCATTACAGAAGTGTCCTTATTATTGCAGGCGACAAGAGGAGCCCGCAATCCTAATCTTCAGGTCGCTATTACGCATGCGTAGCACCTACACTGTATGTAGCCAGCCAGCATTCATTCAGACTTCCATTAAACATGATTGGAATGCAAGGAACTCCACGCTGATCATGCGCGTTTTGACCTCCTATCACGTGAAACTTACGCAAAACACAGTATTGGAGCAAGAACGTTTTGACCTTTGATCGATATTCTCGCTATTTAATATGTCAATAACTACATTATCTATGACGTCTCTTACTCACACTTACACTAAACTAGACCTGTTTTACCAACATTGGTTTCCCTAGCACTGACTTATCCACTGGATGGTGATTGATCCAGTGGATAAGGCTTCCAACTTTTTAATAACTGAGGTCAGGTGGCTAGAGCTATTGAGTCAGTAAATAAAATCCAACGGCAAAAAAAAAAAATTCAATTAATGTTGAGCGAGACGTTCTTGAGTTACTATGAAAGTGCTTACAACAATTCAGCATATGGATAAGACCGTACAGCGTATTGATCACATTAAAGTGACGTGGCTGTTTGTTATACTCACTGTACTGAGATGTGATTCTATACCCCCGTGGATAAATCGAGATCGTACAATGCAGACATTAAACAAAAGCTATTTTTGGCTAAATCCACGAGCGGGCAAGATGAAGCGAATCATCTCTTCTGATTGGCTACCCGAGAGAGCGAGATGATCGGGATTTCCCGTATTGGTCCCGTAAGAAAAAGTATAAATCTTTTTGCCATATAATGAATCGTTTATTTACCAACATTGAGCTAAATCTTTATTGCGTTTTTATAACCTCGAGTTCTTCTCGGTCAATATAAAAAACGCAAACAAACAAAAAAACAATTTGGCCAATATCCAGTCATCTTGACCACAGGCTTAGTCAATAACACATATTTCACATCAGCACTATCCCATGGCGGCGCTTGAAACTTTATACAAAATATTCATCACTGTTGATTCAACTGCTTTGATTGAAGGTAACGACTCACCTCTTTGCATAATGAATGCCAGTATCATCTCCATAGGTACTGTACAGCAAGTCAGACTCCTCTTTGGTTATAGTGGCTCTGGATGAGTCGTATGTAGGAGCAAACGAGCCATACGGGCCATACATAAGATACGACACTACGATATAAAGTACTTTCGTGAGTACTTTGATTTTGCACTGCAACCCTTTGCGATTGGCTCTAAGAAACCCGCACAACAGTCTTAGCCAATCAGAAGTGAGCAACAGCGACTTACTTACACGCAATTTTCCCGCGCTCGGCAGCTGCTATACGTGCACGCGCGGCGATATCTGATTGGTTCATTTTATTGGCACCGATTGGGCATAGGCCAACCTCGTCCCGAGACCCTCTCATTTTCCCTTTCCTCTCTAGCTACGGATGTGACTAGAATGGATACCAGCGAGATCAGGAAAAAAAAAGGCTTGAAGACGTTAATAAAAGAAGGAACAAAACAGACGAAAGTGGAGTATGTAGGGCTTGAGCCCACATCATTTGAGTTCTAATCTTCATCCGTATCAAGTACACCCTTAAGAGCTAATCACTGTACTTCTGTTTTAAATCCTATACTCAACTCCTTTCCTTGCACAAATGACCAGCTCTCTCTGAGTTTGACACTTTTCCCAATAAAAACGCCCGATAAATTTATTGTCAGGTTGTTTGTCAGGCTTCGAAAAAAACCGTTTGCTGATGTTTTGACGCCGTCGAAAAGTATCCCATAAAAGAGAGTTTGCCCAAAAAATGCAATAAAAAGAATAATAAAAAGACGAAATAAGAGAGTACAGAAAGCAGTTATACCCGGTGTAGCCTTGTTCTTTTTATCCTCCTTAAACCCTGCAGTTGTGTGTGAACCAGACGTGACTTTACCAAGTGTTGCTCCTAAATTCACTGGAAGGTATTCTGGTGCTGCGAAATAATAATTAGTACATTATGAAATTAGTGGTGTCTATAATCGCTTAAACGTGCATAAGTACAACTGCACTATATATTAACCTGCGAGCAAACTCTCTTGCGAGAGCCCGCGCCAGACAGCAGCAACTTCTTGCACGTGCCGATTAAGCGTTACTTCTCGCGATTCTCTCAAATGGAGAGCTTGCTCACAGGCTTCTAAGTTTTAAACAGCCGAGTATTTCAAACTGTCTCCTACTACATGAGAAATTTCTGCAATTTGATTGACTTAGAGCAGTGGTATTTCAGCTTAATTTGAAATACCTACATGTGAAAATTACAAACCTTTTGAGGGTACTAATATAAACAATTAATAGCATGATTTGTACGTGATATTTGGCATAAACACCACTCGTGATATCTATGCCAAATATCACTACAAATCATGCTATTACCTATACAAATAAACATAAACTGGAGTTATCAAAAGGCTTAAAAGTCCATACTCTAGACCTGTCCATTATTCAGTAAATGTTGGGTTTTCTTTTACAATTTTTATGCTAAAGACTGTTTAGTTCGAACAATAATTATGTTCAATTTCTTTTTTCAGAAGACGAACCTGGCTACAGAATTTTTGTTGACTTAAAAATCAGCAGAATCGTGAATACAAATACAAGGGTTACTTGGATCGTGTGTATGTTCCCCACCCCCGTCTTTTTTTCCTTTTAATTTTCTATATTTTGTTGTAACTAGTTCAATCATTTAGACATTTTCTGTTGATGTGAATGGGACATAAATAAAACGTAAACCTCAGTCACTGTGCGGTGCAACCATAGCAAAAACTAAGACCTCATGATCATTTGACTAATCAAATGGTAATCTGCTTGAAATAACTATTCGAAGATGTATGAGGAGGAATGTGGAAAGTTGTGTCGCATGTTACACATGACAGGTGTTTGTTGCCCGGGGGGGGGGGGGGGGGGGGGGGGGGGGGCGGTGGAGGTTGTTGGTACCTTCAGAATCCACAGGGTTCACAACTGCTAAAGTTGTAGTTCCATCTTTATCTCGCCTTAGGAAACCAACCTAGCAAGTAAAAATGAGGACAACTTTATTTAAAACAAAATATTTCGTGTTTCTCTTTGGCACGGATAGTAGCAGTTAACAAGGTCATTACTTCATCATTATTCGGTTGATGAACATTGACCCTTTCAGCCCTAAGAGTGATGAGCGTCAAATTTCTCCTTGTAATGTCACTGCTTTATTAAACAGAGTGGTCATGAGAATTAAGGACATCATCACACTAGATGAATCTAATTGATACTTCAACAAATTCTCCCCACTACTTCTATTAAAAGTGTATAGGGAAAACAAATGAGAATTTGAATGATGATGCTAAATGTTAAAACTGTTAAATTGAATGATTCACTCGAAAATAAAAGAGGGTACAGAAAAAGATAATCTCAGGAGTGGGCCACGTGGCAAGTGCTGAAAAATATTTACATGTATGTATGGTTTAAGTACTGGCTACGCACTAGCGTTAAGGATGAGGAAAATACATTGAGTATACAATTAGCAACAATTAGCTTCTGCATATTTTCCTTTGTACTAGCCTTTCTTTTGTTGGGGTGTGTGTGTGTGTTTTTAATCACTTGCAGACAACGAAATCGTAAGTAAGTAAGGAAGAGCATAGAGGTGCCATATATGGTTATTTTACGAGTAAATCCTCCACTTCCGATTTGTCCCAAGCCTCCGTTTCAAAGCGAGGCTAAGTGCGAAGCTATTGATATCAAAATGATTTGTCTTATTCTTATGCACTATAAATTTCATTTTCACAAGAAAGGTTTTGCCCGTTGAAAGTGAAGGTTTTTGTAACTCGGAAAAGGCCTAATTTTAACACGTCTAAAAAGTGTCAAAATAATAGACCCTTGCACGGATAAAGAGCAGTGAGTGATTATCGATTGACACAGCTGCAAAGTGCACCTTAAAAGTAGGAAACTTCCTAAGTTTAAAGGTTTAAAGTCCAACGTGAGCAAAGATGATATCAGTGGCGGATCCAGGGAAGGGGCCCGGGGGCCCCGCCCCCCTTCCCCCTTACTTTTAGACCAAACTGAGGTCCCAAGGACCGAAAAAATTTGTTTTTTGGATACCCCCGACCCCCCTCCCCCCATCTAAGGGTCTGGATGAACGCCCCCCGCCCCCCTCTTATCTCGAGGTCTGGATTCTGCACTAGATATTGCTACACAAAGTTGCAAGACCTTTGTATGATGAGGGAGGGCGAGTTTGCAAAGCTACATCTTCGTTAGTTTTCAACAACTCACTAACAAACTGAACTTGGAAACGTTATTCACTTTAGGGCGTTCTTTCCTCAAGGTTCCCACAGATTTTTGGATTCACAATTCAAGACTTTTTCCAGACTTCTTCCAAACAATACTTTATTTTTCCAGACTCAAGGTTAACAAATAGGTGATCAATAGAGATCTTGAAAAACGCAGGAACCAAGCTTTTCTCATGATGCACTGCAAACGTACAGTAAACACGGTGCAAGGCGGACATAAGAGAATTATGAAACTTCTCATTCTGTGATGAGATGTCTTAGTTGCGGGCAAGAATGAATAGCATTTGACCACAGGGAAAAAAAATCACCTATTAAGCACTTTTTGTAGCTTTAAAAATAAACTCTTACTCTGACTATTTTTCCAGACTTTATCTCTATTTTCAAGACTTTTTCCAGGTCTAGAAAATTGCTGGGAAAATTTCGAGCTTTTTTCAAGAATTCAAGACTTTGTCGAAACCCTGTTTGTAGTCGTGTTGAAGGATTTACGCAAACTGGTCCCAGTCACAAGTTGAAAAAGCCGTGGATGGATCCTTCACCATAACATTACCTTACTGTTGGGATACTTGGCATCTAGTTCAGCAGCCATCCGTTTTGATGCCTCCTGCACTTGAGCCAGGATCTTGCGACTAGCAGATGTATGTTTGGAATCAGACCTAAAGAACCAAGTTAAATCCTCAAATCCGTTTCTAAGCTTGCCTGCGCCGCTGACGCTGTAAACCTTCTGATTAATGGTTTAGACGAGTGCGTGGGTCGGCTGCAACGCAGGCTATTTCTAAGCCTGGTTACAAAAAAAAAAAACAATTGCTTATGGCCTACCTTTACTCTCCCCTCCCCTGTTTCCCCTTCTTCAGGAGGTTATGTAAACAGTTCTGCTTATTTTACGAGGGAGCATAGAAGGCGCATTAATAGTTGCAGGCAGTTCTTTCTTTTGTGTTTGTGTTTTTGTTCATCAAGAAAAATTCCCACCCTCTCAATTGCATGCTGATTTAACATCCCTTATCTTCAAAAAAGGCAGTAGTAGATAATTGTTTTTTCTTTCTAATGCTTTGTTCTTAAAATGAAAACAATGGCATGAAAGGACATCAGTAAAAGTTGATGTTTGCCAAATTCCTAACCAATTTCAAAGTTACCGGTGACCCCTTTTGATTTTTAAAACAAATACCTTGCTTTGACTCTTTTCGTTGTCTGTGGAACGCTGTTCTCCTCGGTGTCTATGGTATCAACATCTATTGGTTCATCTGAGCCACGCCCCTCCGATTCATTCTCTTCATAATCTGGTATTGGATATCCAATACTGCGATACATATTCCGTATTTTGTCCTATACATTTTGCGTTAAACAAAGCCCATGTTAAAATGAACATAAATAACATCATACTTTATACCCCTTGCCGTAGAGAGAAGTGTGACGTCACGTAACTGTTACGAAAAATTGTATTGTGTGACTAGCGCGACTTTCTAGAAGCTTCGAGAGAGTTCATAGTTTGTCTATTTTAGGATCTTGTGTAAGCGTTTCTAAAGCGGTGTATTTTGTAATATTTCTATAATTAGACTATTTAGAAAGTTCTAGAATCATATTGTTTTGCTTTATTTACTTATTAATAAATAAATGTTAGTTTATTGTGAATCTATATAAGTAGGCGAGTCCGAGCGAAGTTTTAACTAGCGTAGAGAGTTTCGCGTTAGTCGTGTTTAGTCAAGTGTGACGGAGGCAGTGTTTATTGAAGTTGGAGGAGGCCGTGTAAGTTTATCGAATTACGTGCTGTTGTAGAGTTTTACTTCGTGGAAACTACGTTCATTTTTGGAATAAATCTTCTTGTTGCTATTCTGACAACCCCGCATTCAGTTTAGTTTGCAGGCTACCCGTCTTCTAAAGATTACCCGCGTAACATTGGGGGCCTGTCCGGGAGAAGAATTCAATTGTTTGCCGACTAAAGTAACCAGGAAAGGACAGTTTAAGAAGAAGGGGCTACTGAGAAGTAAGAAGAACTGTTACAAGGAAGTAGATATTGCGTGTTTGCTGTGAACCACGGCTGTGAAAACGGAAGAGTTTATATAGATTGCAGAAAAGTTCGGATTGGAAAGGAAGAGAGACGTCGAATACTTGAGGAAGACAGAAGAAAGGAAGAAGAAGAGAAAGAGAAAGGGCTTAGAAGGGAGGGCGAAGAAGGAGAAGCTAGGCGACAAGAACGTGAACTGAGAAAATTAGAGCTGGAAGCAGGACTGTTAAAACAGAAAGAAGCTATTGAAACCGCCAAGAGAGAGCATGAAGTAGAGCTCACTCGCCTAGGACGAGGCGTCGCCAAACACGCTGAAGTGAGAGAGGATAGGGCCAAGGCACCCAAGCTTCCCTCATTTGTTGATGGCAAGGACGACTAGACTTGGATGCTTACCTACAACGATTTGAGAGATTCGCAGCTACAGATAAATGGGAGAAGACAGGATGGGCTTCGAAACTTAGTGCTCTCTTGTCTGGACGTGCTCTAGAGGCTTATTCGCGATTATCTGAGGAAGCGGCCCAAGATTATGACTGAGTGAAGTTAGCTTTGATGAAGAGATATGACCTTACAGAGGAAGGCTATCGTCGTAAATTTAGAGCATCAAAGCCGGAAGTTGACGAGAGTCCTGAACAGTTTATAGTGAGACTGGATACATACTTAGTGCGTTGGTTGGAACTGTTGAACACTGAACGTTCTTTTGAAGGCCTGAAAGATTTAATTGTGAAAGAACAGTTTATTGTCTCTTCTCCAAAAGAGTTAGCAATTCATCTTCGTGAAGGGGTCGGGGAAATGTATGTTTAGATAGAAAAGATTGCAGATCAGTACTTAGAGGCACACGGAAAACATTTGTTCAGTTCTGCTAGTAGGAAGCCTGTGGTACTACCTCAGAAGGGTGAAACAAAGATCAGCAGAATGATTCAGCGACAGTACTGTGTTTCAAGTGTAACGCCCGTGGCCACAAGGCTGTTAACTGCCCATCTCAGCTTAAGAAATGCTTCGTGTGTGGCAAGCAAGGGCATGAAGCTAGAAACTGCCGCTCAGGTACACAGAAGTCAGGAGGACAAAATAAAGATGGTTGCCCTGTGCAGCGTGGGCAAGTGAGTGCCGGTTGTCTGGTTCAGCCACCTGAGGTTAAACCCACAGAAGAAGAAATTAGAGCCTGTATTAAGGATGATAAACTGCTATTAGCCAGTGGTAAGAAGATCCCAAAAGTAAGAAATGCCTGCCTTGAACCTTTGCCTGGCGATCGGTTGAAAATGCCTGTTGCAAAGGGAAGAGTGGAGGAGAAGACTGTGGATGTCTTGAGAGACACTGGTTGTAGTGGAACAGTAGTTAAGAAGAATCTTGCGTCTGAGGATGAGTTACCGGTGATTTTAACGTTATGCTGCTCATTGACAACACAGCGAGGAAGGTACCCATTGCAAGAGTTACGGCTGTTACACCTTATCTCAAGGGGCTAGTGGAAGCGCAGTGTCTCACAGATGCCATTTACGACCTGATAATAGGGAACGTTCCTGGAGCTAGACCTGCACATGAACCAGACCCAACTTGGCAAGAAGCATGCGCTGTAACCACGAGAGGTCAAGCTAAGAAAGACGGGGAAGTTAGCCCTTTAAAAGTACCAAGTTACCACGAGAGTCCCATTGTCGATAAACAGAAACTTAAACAAATGCAGAGTGAAGATGAGAGTTTACGGAAGTACTGGGACCGAGGTGATGTACTAGACAAGGGTCAAGCTGAGATTTCTTTTCAGGTAAAGAGTGGGATATTGTACTGCATCTACAAACACCCTTTTGTGAATATTGGTAAGCCTGTGAAGCAAGTGATGGTTCCTGTGCAGTTACGACCTCGAATAATGGAAGTGGCTTATGGATCTATAATGGCAGGTCATTTAGGAATTAAGAAGACGACTGACAAGATTGAGAGTGCATGTTATTGGCCAGGTATTCAAAGTGATTTAACCCGTTTTTGCAAATCATGTGATGTCTGTCAGAAGACCGTAAACAAGGGATCGGTTCCGAAGGTGCCACTACAGAAGATGCCTTTGATTGATACATCATTTAAAAGAGTAGCCATTGACCTTGTCGGACCTATCAGACCACCAAGTGAAGAAGGGCACAGGTACATTCTGACACTTGTTGATTTTGCCACTCGCTATCCCGAAGCCGTTCCTTTAAAGACTATTGACACTGAAACCGTTGCAGAGGCGTTAGTAAATATCTTTAGTAGATTAGGAATTGCTGAAGAGATTTTAAGTGACATTGGTACACAGTTCGTCTCTGATTGCATGAAGGAAGTAACACTATTTCTGAGTATCAAGCAGATAACAACCACGCCTTACCACCCTATGTGTAATGGTTTAACCGAGAAGTTCAGCGTAAGAATGAAGTTTATATTAAATAGTTTTTGTAGTGAACATCCAAGACAGTGGCATCGCTTTATCAAACCTTTGTTGTTTGCTAATCGTGGGGTTCGCCAAGAGTCTACTGGTTTGTCACCGTTTGAGCTGTTGTATGGAAGAGTCGTTAGACGTCCGATGACCATTCTTAAGGAGATTTGGACGAAAGAAGTAGAGGAACCGGAAGTCAAGAACAGCTACCAATATGTTTCTTAGCTGCGAGAGAAGCTGGAGAAAACCCTTAAATAAGCCCACAGTTAGTTACAGAAGGCTCAAAATAAAGGAAAGCACTATTATGATCGCAAGACTAGAGCCAGAAAATTCCAGCCAGAAGAGAAAGTTCTTGTGAAACCCAGAGAACATCAATACTGAGGATAACTGGCAGTTCTTCAAGTCAGGATTGTTGTCAATTCTCAATAGTAAAGTCCCAAGCAAAAAGATCGGCTCATGGAATGACTCCCCTTGGATTACTAGGGATCTCAAGAAATTATTGAGAAAAAAGAAGAGGCTTTATAACACCTCAGGTGACACGTACAAGAAATCAGGGAAAGCTGTTGACAAGTTGAAATATTGGAAATTCCAAAAAGCATTGAAAACCAAATTCAAATCAGCACAAGACGAATATATAGAAAATACTCTTGCTTGCGCCTTGAAGGAGAAGCCAAAGAAATTCTGGTCTTATACTAAATCCAGAAAACAAGATCAAATTGGCATTCCTCGATTAAATGTTAATAGTAAGGTGATGTCTGACAGTACAAGTAAAGCTGAAGTTTTAAGCAACCATTTTCAACAGATATTCACTAAAGAGGATCTTTCCTTCATTTCGAATAAAGGCCGCAGTGACATTCCAGCAATGGACTCAGTACTATTTAACAGAGAAGGTATAATTAATCTCCTTAAGAACTTGGACAGCAAGAAAGCCAATGGCCCAGATAAATTGCCAACTACTCTACTTAAGATAACTGCATCGGAAATAGCTGAAGTTGTTACTTTCCTTTTCACCCAGTCATATGAGTCAGGTCAACTTCCCAATGACTGGAGAAACGTTCATGTAGTTCCAGTTTTCAAAAAAGGGGAAAAACATGATACATGTAATTATAGACCTGTGTCCCTTACTGCTGTGTTATGTAAAATCATGGAACATGTCATCTATAAGAACATCATGCATCATCTTGACGACAATAACATCTTATTTGCGAACCAACATGGATTTTGGAAAACTCATTCATGTGAAACTCAGTTAATACTGGCTGTTGAAGACCTGGCTATGAAGTTAGATCACGGAGGTCAAATGGATATGATCATATTAGATTTTAGTAAAGCATTCGATAAAGTACCCCATCAACACCTCATAAGCAAATTGCAGTTTTATGGCATTCAGGGAAGTACCCTTGCATGGATTAAATCATGGCTCACTAGGAGATCACAGAGTGTCATAACTGTACAGTCGATGGTGTCTGTTCGAAATCTGCAGTAGTGACTTCGGGGGGTGCCACAAGGCACTGTACTCGGTCCATTAATGTTTTTGTTATTCATTAATGACACAAGATTGTTTGATGATGATGCTTTATTGTATCAAAATCACTCATAATGATGACACCTTGGCTTTACAGCGTGACCTAGTCAAACTAGGCCTATGGGCTGATAGGTGGCTGACGCTGTTTAATCCCACCAAATGCTACAAAATGTCTTCACACCGGAGTAGATCCCCAGTAGTAAAAGACTACTCCCTTCACAACCAAACCCTGGTAGCTGTCCAGCAAAATCCCTATTTAGGTGTTTTGCTGTCCAGCGATTTACAGTGGAACTCTCATGTGGACAAGATTGCAAAAAAGGGGAATTCTATACTTGCGTTTGTGAAAAGGAACTTGTGCGCCTGCTCAGTGGAAACCAAACGAGCAGCATATGTATCACTTGTCATGCCACATCTAGAGTATGTGACTGCATTATGGGATCCTTATAGACAGAATCAAGTGGAGAAACTAGAAGCAGTCCATAGTTGTGCAGTGGGATTTATCAAACATGATCGTGATTATAACACCAGCGTGTCCAAATTGAAGAAATCTCTATCTTTGGAATTACTAAGTGAGAGACGAAAATCCCATTGCCCTCAAAAATTTTCCATTACTCAGTGTACAATGATATTGCTTTGCCTGTTCCACCTTATTATAAAATTAATTGTCTATTAGACTTTCAAGAAACAAGAAATTAGTCGACAAACTCATTTATTCAACCATCTGTGTACATCACGACTACTATAAGTATAGCATATTTCCGGTTACTAAAACTTTGACACAAGGCCACCACCTTGAGCATGCGAAAATGTTTTCAGTGGAGATTCACAGAGTATGTTTATAGCAGAACTCCGTGAAGTTCACGTGAGCGGAGCCCCACACCTAACAAAATTTGGTAATCACGTGATCGTTCACCTGTCCATCTGCACTACAGGGAAACAATATTGTTTCTAGCTAGTGTGGGAACCTGGAGCCTGTGTTTAACTTCATAATAGACATCCATAATATGGTCAATTGACAGCAGACCAGCTGTGAAAACAGCGTATCTGCTGACCAGTGTCACATAAACCATATCGCGGGCTCAGATGCTAACTCATGAAGGTCACATGTCTTTTTTGAAGTTTTTTGCTGACCAGTTGTTAGCTTTAAATTGATCGCAGGCTCAAGTTTATGTTGTATGATAAGATTTAAAAGCTGATAACTGATAAAAGGACAGATATTCTTGTAGGTATGATTAATCTAAAATACATAATGCTTAAATCATACTCACAGGAGACAGAAGCTTTGATCCTGATAGTACAAGTTTCTTGGCTGCTTTGTAGTAAATTGTCTCTGGTGCATTATAAACCATGGCATTGTTACACATAAGATTAAAATCCTCCTGAAAATAAAACAAGGATTTTAGAGTAGCCTGTAGGCAAACAAAAAGGATAGCTTTATGTAGCACATTGTTGCCATCTAAAATCTGAATGCAACGCCGCTGTTCATTCGCAGATGGAAGGCAGGACATCAGACATGATCCTGGACCAATCAGAGCTTGCAATTCTCTACAATCACCTTAGTAATCATGCTAATAATAACATCATTACTGAACTGTGTATTGAATGGATAATTTGCATTAGTCTGCTCTCATACCCAGTGTTCCAGCCAGAGTGTGCCGTTGCGTGAATCCCGCAAAAGATTGAGAGATGGCTCCACCCAACCGCGTTCAAGGGCCATTTATGGCCCTTTCCTTTTTTCATTCCCTGGGCTTAAAATGGTCTCTGTTACTTCAAGTACAATAATTTTCCAGTTAAACAGAACTTTTAATGTAAAGAACAACGACTCTGTACCTATGTACACAACATGAAAATCAATCGATGAATCTTCTTGAGTTTACCTGATTTACCGTGAGTGGTCTGGAGACCACTGAGCCTCGACTTGGCTTTTGTAATATCGCAGGAGCTCATGGGTATCCATCATGTTGTCTCGAAAAAGAATAAACCTGACAAACGCATCTTCGAGGTTTATCGAAAGTTTTTTCTCAGTAAATAACGAAAAAGTGGAAGGAGAAGCAAATAGAGGCAGATCTTGACGGTGAAGTGGTACTGTTTACTTTATTACCGAAGATTTCCTCTATTGTGTATAAAAAGGGATGCTCCATGTCAGCTTCAAATAAACTGCCATTTTCATTTCCTTAACTTTCCAACTGTTTCTTCTCTTTTGCATATTAGAGAGATACTGGTACATTGGCCTTTTCTTGAAATATCTGTCCCCCAAAAATGGGTTGTAGGGGCCACTTTGGCCCTCAAGCAGAATTTTCTGGCTGGAACACTGCATAGCCCAGGGTTGGTGGAGTGAGCCATTGGGATAGCATGTTTTAATTAAGAGTTCTCTGAGGGGCAAGCATGGTTCGCCAAGATAAAGTGAATGTTAGTTAAGAGTAGAGTTGGTAGGCCAGCATGACCATAGACTGCATGCAGACAAATAGAAATATGTACACAGGCCATCATGACAGCTCCAGGTTACTAAATTAATGCAAACTTCAGCGACAGCTAGCCTACAGGGTAATCATTTTAAAATGTTCATTAATCACTACTGTAAGCGCTGCCAATAAAAGCATCAGGCACAAGGTTATATTTTAATTACCCTGAATTGTTCCAAGGAATGATATTCATTAGAGTCAATCTTGTATTTCATGAAGCTGAAGTCCATAGGATGATTGATGATGTTGGAATATCCTGGCGCAATAGTGTCATTTACAGGAAAGGCAAAAAATCCTTGAGTATCCTTTCTGTTAAAATAATAACATGAATATTTCAATCTTACTTATGATTAATCATCTTAAAAGCTGAATCAATAGTTATTGACTAGCAAGGTTTCATTACAACTACAATCATGTAAGTGCAGGGCTTCTGATATTTCGTGGAAAAAAAACAAAATTTCGCGGGATTTTCAAGGGCAAATTCGCGGAAAAATCGGCCGATTTCGCGGGAAGAAAGTCAAAATTCGCGGAAAAATCGGCCGATTTCTGGTATTTTTGCAGGAAAAAAGTCAAAATTCATAGAAAAATCGGCCGATTTCGCGGGATTTTCACGGAAAAATGTCAAATTTCGAAGGATTTTCAGAGGCAAATTCTCAGAAAAATCGGCCGATTTCACGGGAAATTTGGGGGGGAAACAAAAACAAAAACAGCCGATTTCACTGGATTTTTGGTGGGAAATTTCGCTAAAATCGATCAATTTTGCGTCGATATGACCAGCATTGGTTAACATTTTTTTTAACCAGGACAATCATTTGCTCTTTCAACAACAGTTCGCTCGAGAAATGAGCGAATGCTAAAGCTATTAACATTATGGTTAGTGCCTAGTTTTTTGCAACGTTCATCTAAAAACGCCTGGTAGTTTTGGGATGTTGTTTACTCGTTGCAGTGACGAAGTTTCAAGATAAATTTGGACATTTGAGGTGAATAAAACAGGTCTAATAGCCAAGATAAGTATTAAATATGTTTTGCCGACATGTATTTGGAAATAATTATTTCCGGTGGATTTCGCGGTATTTCGCGTTTTTTTGGGAATTTTGTGGGATTTCGCGGAAATACCTGAATTTCGCGGATCCGCAACCGCGCGAAATATGAGAAGCCCTGTAAGTGGGAATGGAATACAGTGAACATGCTTACAAAGGACTCCTGCAAGTAAAAAAAGGTTAATAATTATATATGGAGAATGCACAGTCATGTTTGATTACACTAAAAAAAACAAACTAACAAACAATCAGCGAGCAAAGAAAGTAGTGTCTGATAGCCCAGGGCTGGTGAATTTTGTTCTTAACTTGCCCAATGTGCAAGTGAAGTTTTTTGAGGAATTCAAATTACAGAAGAACTGTGAAATCAATTCTGCTCATCAAAAAGTTTTTGGAGCTAGTTGAAATGACGTTTGGGCTAGTATATATTCTACATGTACCTTCAGCTTGCCCAAATGGCAAGCTTTAAAAATGACTTTCGTTGCACCCTGAAGTAATAAATTTACCAATTTGAATGGGAAATACAGTGCTTTATTTTATTGCAGCTATTTTTAATAGTGTCAATTCTATGTTTATTAGCACTATGCCTGACCTTTGAAGAGTACGATGCACATTTTCCAAACACAATTGCAAAGGCGATAACTCTGGCTCCTTTAAGTAACCTGCAATAAACCCAAAAGAGTTGACCCCCAAATAACATGACTTCACATGCAAATCAATGTAACACTCCTAGGCAATAAATTACAGTCATAACAACAACAGGGATCCATATTCCCAGTCGTCCAGTCGTCCCAGATGACTACAATCTCGTACAGACGAGTGAGGTTTTGCTCAACCACAACACCTTTTCAAGAATTCTTATTTTCATTTTATACATTTTCCCTGTTTTCTGCTTACTTGTCATCCACTTAAAACTTTTAGAATAATGGTGAATAACTTTAGGAGCCTTCGTCTGCAATGAAATCGTAAGTTTGGGCGCCATCTTTGATGGTGCAGTATTTTCTACGAAATGATCACAGGCTCAGTTTTTCGTGAAGTACTGCATTCAGAGGCCATTCGTAGAAAACGTGACAGCACTCATCAAGATTATGGTGTGTTTTAGAAGGCATTTTGTTGTCTTCAGTGGACAAAAAGGTGAAGCAGAAGCCGGTGCCTCATACGCATCAAGATGTGACATTTTTTAGAAGATGTTTCTCTGCCTTTGACTGAAAAAAAGGTTGATGCAGGAACTGCTGGCTTATATGGGGGAAAACGTTAGCATACTGTCTTGCCTTCATGGCAAACTGACCAACCGTGACTGCTTGCAATGTAAATAAACTGTGTTTAACCTAGGCCTGTAGCCTGTTAATGTACATAACAGTTTAGTTAAAACCGTTTCTTGGTAACTATAAGTAGACAGAAATAAAATGCTAATCAGAAATGGTCCAAGTTGAACAGAATTTCTTTCACCATTCTTCTATAATAATTATTATAAATTATGCTGCCCTTTTGTATTGGCAACCCAAATTGTAACCGGGCAAGTATGCCATCAGGCTTACTTGCCCGGCTGACAACTCTGTGAAAAAATGAATATGGATCCCTATAACAAAATGTCAAAGATACATAACTGTACTTACCACCAAGTTTTCTAGATTCTGGGCTGTTTCTGGGGAACAAAAATGGAAAAAAAAAAAAACAAAACAACAAGTGAGTCTACCATGGAGGAGCATGGGACAAACAAAAATCTTGAGTCCATGACAGGATTTAAACAGATGACCTCCAAAACATCAAGCGAGTGCTCTAACCACTAAGTTACAGAGAGACTAAAAGGGTGCAAGCTAACATAATAGGTTTACATAATCTCTGCATACTGATACACAATGTAGGATCAGCTATATCAAGAGTGTACTGTATGGACTAAAGAAAGAACGCAAATTTTAAGCTTATATTAAACTAAATGAATGTGAAATAAAATAAGTGAATGCGAAAAAATAATGACATAATTGGCAAGTAACATCTTTCACATCTTTCAGGTCATTCACTTACTGAGCTAAAAATTCCTTTACTTTCTTTATTGATGCAATGTAAAAGTAAATGAGTCACAATTGAATCCTTCCGCCCAGTCTCATAACACTTAAAAAACAAACTATTATAAAATAGCCAATATCTTGGCCACCTCACAACACTTCTAATGTACATGTATCTCATACTAATTTAGTTTCCAGTTTTGAATAAGACTTTTGTTTATTTAGAGTCAGTACTCCATGAAGCCATGGTAGCACCAGTGGTCCTGCAAATATGACACAAAAAAAAATTGACATGCACATGTATGACTTTCTTGTGCATGATTGCTCTCAGGAACAAAATGTAGCTCCCATAGTTTTCTTTCATCATTCGACAATGCAAATGGCCGTCTCTGTCAAGATAGACTGTTGAGGTCCAAGCATTGTGCTACCATGGTAATGTGATTTTTCCTCTCCTCTCTATTTACAGACCATGCTACAGTGTAACTCAAAGACTTTATTTTACCTGACTGGAGGCTCTATAGGCTTGATGTAAATTTTCTTGATTGGTCTTTCAGTGTCAGCCATGCTGTTACTTTCTGCTTCAAATTCATGCCGGTCTCTTTTTTTCTTGGATTTTTCATGGCTGCTAACAGACGATGGTGAAGCACAAGCCTAAAATCGTACACATCAAAACGACAACAAAACCTTTAGTTTGATTTTTTTTTTTTTGTCAGCCTCCCACACAGATGTTCTAAGAGCTTCATCATGCATTACAAAACCACTAAGAATATTGGTTTCGGGCATGAGAAGGGTGCTTAACCCAGGAAGGGGAAGGGGGGCACTAATAACAGAAGGTCGAGTAGGGGTGTAACGCTGTAAAATTTTCAAAAAGACTGGCACTGAGTGATCAAAATGTCACCTTACACTCACGCAACTCACTTTATGACGGACAACATTAATGGGACCAGCCCTCGCTGTCGTATGAAGCAAAAAAGATCGATGATCAGATTAACAACAACGGCCACAAGAACGGAGGGTGGTTTACCTGTGCTAAAAGTATCAAATGAAAGCCCAAACAATGAATTAACATGCGATCATGAAGACATTACTTCCTACTACTCACGCTAGATCCGGGATCAAACTTGGGTTTCTTTCTTTCTCTGGATGCCGATCTCTTCTTCTTTTTCTTTTTCGAAGAATGATCTTTAGACTTCGTTCTGTCAACGTTTCCTGCAGGCCTGCTTGTCGAACTTGGAGTGTCCGATTTAGCAGAAACTTTCTCTTGATTACTTCCAACTTTAAGCACAAGTTTAATTGGTTTCTCCCCTTTCTCAGCTTTCTCGGATCTCCCAGGCATGTCTGCGGACAGGAGAATCACTCAATTTACAACTCAAAATAATTCATGTCGGATAATTTAGACAGAGGAGAACAATCACGCGATTACAAAAGCCTGCAAACACTACTTCTGTTACCTTCAGCGATATCAGTGCCTTTCTTGTGATGTTTCTTGCTTTTGTGTTTCTTTCCCATGATCTTATAAGGATTTCAAATTATTTAGACACTTTAAAAACTTGTACATAAACACCTCAAGTATTCTAACTTTTGTTTTCAGCAAAACTTTATCGATCAAAGCCCGGCGCGTTCACCATCTTGAAAACAACGTCCCATGCTCCTCAGCGATCTGCAGTGTGATCACCCGTTAGTACCCAGTCTTTTCCCCTTCGATGATGATTCGCTGCACGACGAACAAAGTGCAGTGTGGAGAGCAACAGCATGTCTGACAGGGAGTTTGCAATCGTTGTGTTCGGAGCAAGTGGCTTCACTGGCCAGTATGTGGTACGTGAGGTGGCGAAGAACTGCAAAGGGAAGTTTAAATGGGCTGTTGCTGGTCGCAGCAAGGACAAACTCGAGAAAGTTTTGGAGGAAACTGCAACCGAACTTGGTAAGACTGTCTTTTGTATAGCTGTGGACTTCGAGCTCTGTACTTCAAGGTGTTGGCTCTTCTAAACCTTGGAGTTGTTTCTCTTGATTTTTTATTTAACGTACTTGATTTAGAAGAGCTGAATAAATTTATGGAGGCGATGCAATGTTTTTTTTTAGAATGGTATTCTTCTAATAAAGTAAATCAATAATTTTTCACACTGTACCATGTGTACTGTGTTGATAGCATGATCATATCTATTTATAAACCATAATATATAGATTTAGCCAGGGCTAAAAGCGAAGCTCCAATTGTAATAAATTTATAATTTAAATCAAACAACAAACTTTTAATCCACAAATCATTCAACTTAAGGGCACATTCATGTGACTTTTGAGGGAAAGGCTAAGTTATTTTAGAGTGAAACATCTTACATCGAATTGATAACCTTATATGTACACCCAAAAAATAGCAAACATCTTCGATCACATTCAAGATCACCGTAGATTAGGCCTCGAAAACAAATTCTTGGAAAACAAATCACGCCAAATTTATTTGCGTTCGACAGGTTTACTTTACAAATTCTTGCCAACAAATCTGGGGGTGTTTAAACCAACCTTTTATAATTTTTATACACCACATTTGAGGTGAAACAGTACTATTTATCATACAGAGCTCGGACAGAATGCGGTATTTCACAATTTTTCAAGACAAATTGCACTCAGTCAATAATTTTTTATTCAGGACGAGCCAAACCGTTCAAAAATTTCAGAAAATTTCCAAAATCACCCATACAGCCAGCTGGTTCTCGTTTCTATAGTGCGAGCTGTCAGTGTGGTCGAGTGTTTGAATGAACTTTAACAGAGTTACGCTTCAACATAATAGCGAATTTATTATTATTTGTTTTGTTATTTAATGGTTTCCGTTATAACGATGTGTAATCTTATAAAGCGTTTGATACGCGCGACATTTTTTAGTACTCCTGCAAGCGATGGTCATGAACGATGAAAACAAACGGCACGGACAAGCGATTAAAATTGCAAGAGAGACTACTAACAATCAAAAAAAGAGATATAATTCCGTGAAACATTTACAGAGACAAGAATTTTCATTCATGAAGACAAGTATTAAAGTGTCTCTAAAAATCATGGGTCTTTCAGCGTAAAGCTTAAGTTTATGTTTTAGCCGGCTTCCCAGCGCGGTGATTACTGTTTTCGAAGGTGAACTCCTCGAAGCAAGAAAATCGCTCAAAGTTTTCTTTCTACAGCCAAATTTATAACTAAATATCCTTCGGAACGTTTTCTTTCTATTTGTGGTGAGCAAATATATCTGAAGGCTTTTTAAAGTTCTGTAAGCCTATATGAAACCTGCTACTAGGTCAGATCATTGACTCAAATCCTGCAAACGTGCATAAACTTAACGCATAAACTGTCAGCGTGAACAGTGCAGGGCTTCTGATATTTCGCGCGGTCGCGGACCCGCGAAATTCAGGTATTTCCGCGAAATCCCGCGAATTTCCCAAAAAACCGCGAAATACCGCGAAATCCGTCAGAAATATTTCCAAATACATGTCGGCAAAACATATTTAATACTTATCTTGGCTATTAGACCGGTTTTATTCACCCCAAACGTCCAAATTTAGCTTGAAACTTCATCACTGCAACGAGTAAACAACGTCCCAAAACTACCAGGCGTTTTTATATGAACGTTGCGAAAAACTGGGCACTAACCATAATGTTGATAGCTTTAACATGCGCTTATTTCTCGAGTGAACTGTTGTTGAAAGAGCAAATGATTATCCGTGTTAAAAAAAAAACGTTCACCAGCGCCCGGTCATATCGACGCAAAATTGATCGATTATAGCGAATTTGCCAAAAACCCCAGCGAAATGGGCTGTTTTTGTTGATTGTTTCTTGGCGAAGTTTCCCCGAAATTTCTCGTGAAATCGGCCGATTTTCCTAAGAAATTCTTAGGAAATTATTTGCCCCGAAAATCCTTCGAAAATTGACTCTTTTCCGCTAAAATCCCTCGAAATGGGCCGATTTTCCTGCGAATTTTGACTTTTCTCCTGCGAAAATCGCCTGAAATCGGCCGATTGTTCCGCGAATTTTGACTTTTTTCCCGCGAAAATCCCGCGAAATCGGCCGATTTTTCCGCGAATTTGCCCCTGAAAATCCCGCGAAATTTTGCTTTTTTTTCCGCGAAATATCAGAAGCCCTGACAGTGCAAGACTTCATGAAACACAAACATCAAATACAATAATTACTTAGGCTTACCATTCGAGATTCAGTTCCTGAAAGCTATCAAGGGAACCACAGTTGCTTGAGACTTTTAAACCCTCTTACGCATTTAAAGCAAGGTGAAAAACGAAAACGGTGCCATCCGAAATCGAATTACCGAATTTTGACAAGCGACGCATTTCTCAACCAAAACCCGGTAAACAAACCAGCCATGAATAACAGAAGACTCTTGATAACAGCTGTATTTCATTTTTTACCTCCAGAGGAAAAAGACAGTTAAAAACATCACAAGTTGACACAAAACTCTGTCAGCTTCAGCTGTCAAAGTAAACTACTTTCAAGATGCTGCATAATTTTTCCGCATAAACTCACCTGTCAAATTTTGACCAATCAGAGCATAAAAATTGGACATAGAGCATGACCAACGCGTGACCATGGTAAGATAAGGTCTTCCCCACCTGTGCTTTTGAAAAAACTGGATGAATTTTCGCTTCCGAGGTCAGTTTGAAATCAAAATCCTAATAGTGCGGGGCCATAGTGACATAAACACAACATATTTGATATGAATCCTTGGAAAAAATAAACTTGAGCCTGCGATCATTTGAAACTGGTAATTTGTCAGCGGATAACTTTAAAAAAATACTCGACCTCGATGGGTCGACACTTGAGCCCGCGGTACGGCCAGGTGATACTTGTCAGCGGATGCCCTGTTTTGATAGCTGTCAATTGATCACAACATTGATGTGCAGCCTGTGCAATTAGTTTTCTCTTGGGCTCCCAAACTAGCTAAAAGTGTGAGAGTAAACATTGGTTTTCCTGTGGTGCGGACGGACGGCGGGCGGTCGGTGTACGGTCACGTGATTACCAAATTTTCTGGGATGGGTAGATTTACTTAGCAATGGGGCTCTGCCCACGCGCGCGCTTCGCGCGCGCTTGGAGCTCCGCTAAAATGCACATGACTTTCAATAATTTTTATCCCATATCGTGTTTGTGAGTGCAATATGAAGTGTGTGTATAAATCCACCATTATGGTCCCGCCCTTACCAAAGTACTAATAGGGTGCAAGTGGGACCAGCAGGGAATGAGAGGGAAGGGCCACTCTCACTGAAGAAAAATTGTTACTGGACAATTTGTGAGAGATAACTAGCACTCAGTCTCAATGATCTTAGGGGAATAAAGGGATTGCTGGGCAAAAAAAAAAGAAGAAAACTTGAATTCCAGTTTGTCTAAGCAGCTCTTACATTTTGCTCATTGATATTAATTTATATCTTGCTCAGCTTAGTTAATGATTTTAGTTTGGACCCCTCCCCATTGGGCAAGTAAGCTTTAAAGGTTACTTGTCCAGCAAGAAAGTCTACTTGTCCTGAACTACTGAAGAGGACTCTTTTCAAATCCTGGACTGTGAACAGTCTAAATACTTTTGGATGACAGCACTTTGCTTAAACAAGCTAGTCACTGTGAACAATTTAATTTTAGGGACAGTATTTGTAAAGTGTAAAACTTGAAGAAACTAAAAATGAAAGTTTTGGTTCAAATACTTCTTTGAATTGCAGGCTACTGACCAAAACATACTCTTCTTCTTCATATATTTCCAGGATATGATACAAAGGATGTTCGTGTTATAATTGCCGATGTCAGTGACGAAACAACCCTCAATGCAATGTGTTCCTCAGCCAATATTATTTTGAATTGTGTTGGACCAGTGCGTATTTTCTTATTTAATACATGTACAATTTAGTTCGCACCTTAATAATTTACTATTAATAATATTGTTACCGATATTTTTTAGTTATGAATATATGAAAATTATGAATGAGAACTTCGGGGTGAAGAATTATAGTAAAGAAGATAACGCAGTTTGAAGAAAATGTGTTTTCAACTGTGATGATCTTCTTCCATATAATTCTTCACCCTGCAGTTCTCATATATGATTTCATATATATTCATAACTTCATCATCATCCTTTCACGGGTTTATAATGAACCAATTCAACGACCTGCTCAAAGGTGGCTTGTTAGCTTAATATTGGTAGAGCGCGGCACCGCTTTCGCAGAAGGTCAAGGGTTCGAATCCCGTACAAGCCTGAATTTTTTCAGGCCTTTTTTTCACAACTGCAAGAGTTACATCATATTTTTGGTTATTTACATTGCAATTTTTTTTAAAAAAATTCATATTAAGTTACACGTGCATGTATCATGGTGGGGCAAACCTTACCTCAAAGGGGTACTTAACAAAGTTTTATACAAGGATGCTGTGCCCCAAGGTTTAATTATCCCTTAACCTTTTATATAATCATTTTTCACAGCAAAGGTGTTCCTTTCATATACCTTTTGTAATATCCACTACCCACAAATTGCCATGATGGTTGAAACTGTTTTTAATGGTAAACATCATGTGATAGACATGTATATAGGTATATCAGAATGTGTGCGAAGTTACACAGGATACCACATCCCTCCCCAACATTGCAAAGTTACTCAACGTAGTTGGAAATAATTTATAAGGTTTCTAATCTATTCTGTAAGGCAATGTTTCTTGTTAGGTTAGCATGTCTTTTAAGTAGGAGGGTTTCTGGTTCTCTGAGGTCTGCATGATTCTGGGTCTGCTTCGGTCTGTCTTTTGCTTGATTGTTGTTGGTCACTTCCTGTCTCCGTTTGCTCTTGGTTCTGCTCCTCTGACTGTTCTTTCCTGTTGTTCTCTTCCCCATTGCTGGGATTGATGGTTTCTGAACATATGTCTTAAATGAAGTAAACTTCTCCGGGCCTGGGTCAACAGTTACTGTTGTGTCTGATTCTCCTGCTTCAGTGATCCCTCGGTCATCTGTGGAGTTGATGACTGCATTTACAAGTTTGAAGTGGCTGATATCTCTGCAGATTGTTCTCTCACCAGTAGCTCATCTGGCTGTGATTCTGGATCCATTTATCTTGTTTACAGTATAGAATTCCAGTTCGTATGGCATGCTCCATTTGTTTCTTTTCTCTTGCTTGACCAACACGTAGTCAACTAGCAGAAGTCTTCCTTGTCCTGTGTTTCTGCCTTCTCTGTTCTCTTTCATTTTCTGTTTGTACATTGCATCTCTCTCATCTTTGGTGTCATCCTTCTCAGATCTCTGCACCTTTGGCTGAATGTGATCCAACTTGGTCCTTATGGTTGCTCCTCTCATTGCTTCATAGGGGGTGATTCCCATGGCTGGATGTAGAGTTGATCTGTATGCAGTCAGCATGTCCTGTATTGCATTCTGCCTCTCTAGGCAGTCTTTACCTTGCAGGTGTGCAATCTGTTCTGTCTTGTAAATACTACAGCATGTTCTCTTTTCACAGTCTATCTGATGATCTTTTCATTGCTGTCATCTCCTATTTCAGGTAGTGGGTGCCTGGATAGGTAGTCTAGGGGGTCTGCTTCATCTTTTCCAGGCTCGTACACCAGTTTGTAGCCAACGTCCTGCATTACCATAGCATTTTTTGATTCTGGGTGGCATTGTGGCTTTCGCTTCAGTGAATAAGGGTAACGGTGGTTTGTGTGCTGTGATAATACAGAATCGAGGGACTCCAAGCAGGTAAACTCACAGTCATTCTTTTGCCCACTTGATGGCTAGTGCATCTTTTTAGGTCTGGCTATATCTTTTTCCCAATTCTGTCATGGTGCAATAATTATTGATGAAATGCACTGGCTGTATACCCCTGTCAGTCTTTTGCAGTAGGGCTGCTGATAAGCCTTGGTTGTAGCTTGCTTCTGTATGCAAAATTATGGCTCTGGATGGGTCGAAGAATGCCATTGTTTTGTCGTTTGAGATGCTGTCTTGTATCTTCCTGAATGCTTTTTCTTCTTCTTTCTCCCATTTAAATTTTGCATCTTTCCGGGTTAGCTGCTATGGCTGCATAGTTGCTGATGTAGTTGTCCAAGTAGCCTGCCATTCCGAGAAAACTCCAGACTTCTTTGCTTTCTGGAGGGCTACATTCCTTGATTGCTTTCAGTTTGTCTGGTGACAGTTTCAGTCAGTCCTTGGTGTAGGCAGGTTCATAGTACTCATTCTGCTCATTCTGGAACTGGCATTTCTCTTTGTTAAATGTTACTCCATGATCTCTTGCTCGCTGGAGGAATAAGAACACAAAGAGGTACTGAAGACTGTCACCTCTTCCTCCGAGGAGTATAATTATCATCTTTTTAGTTCAGGCAGTGGGGTATGTCACCAAAGGCTCAGAACATTGCTTCATCGAAAACATCTTGTGAAGATGTAGCTCCAAATACTAGTCTCTTTGGTCTGCAGTTTCCCCAGGGTGTGCTGTATGTTGCTGCCTGTCTTGTGGCATGGTCTAGTGTCAGTTGGTGATAGACTTGTCTCAAGTCCAATTTCCTGAAGATCTTGCAGTCATGCAAGCGGTAGATAAAATCTTTAACTCTTGGTGACTGGAAACATCTACTTTGTTTCATGGCTTCATTGGGTACTCGCATGTCAGTGCTTGCTCTGATCATCTGAGATTCTAATTCTTCATTCTTAATATCAGCATACTTGGGTTTAGGCTGCACAACTTGGAGTGAGCACCATGTGATAGTTTCTCCATCTGGGACTTTCTCAATTATGTTTTCGTTTACTCCCTGCTCAAGCCATTCTTTGAGAGGTTTTGCAGATGACATGGGACTGGGCATGGTTTTTGGGCTACTGGGATGGCTTCTGGATCCATCTCTAGCTTGACTTCTATCTCTGCCTGTACTCTTGTCTCAGAAGCATCCTATCCCTTGGAATGTATCATTTTATTCACTGAGTAACGCTTCATTGTCAATCGGGTGGCTTCCCTGACTTGATTCTATTAAAACTCATTGGTTTCTTTAAGTGTTCCGTCCGGATCAATCTTGATCATTCCCAGTGCAATAAGTGTATTCCTGCTTAAGAGTGGAAGAGGGTCCATTTTTCTCTCGATCACTCATAACTTGCTTTATGCTGCTTGATTATTGTTTCGAATAGTTGTATGAAATTCACCTTTTAACTACCAGATCAGATTGGAGAGTCTTCAATGTGTCTTTGCTTGCATCTAGTTCTCTGATTTCCTTTGATCTGTATTTTAGGGCCATGTATTGGTACTCGTCCATCGCGTTTACACTTGCCCCGCTGTTGGATTCTACACATGCATGTCAACATCTCCTATTCTGATAAGAACAGTGTCGTGAGTTCGACCTGATCTCAGTTTCTTTGCTCAATGTAAGATGCGTCATGATTGTGTTTACCACACTTCAGGCATTGCTGTCCACAAGCTGGGCAGTTGCATCCAGGGGGTGGAGTCCTGTTTTCCCACAGTATTGGCAGCTATTCTTGGAGCTTCTTTCTCCTTTCTAGGTTTTCTTGCGGTGAGGGTTTCTTGTGCACCCCCTCTAGCACCTCTCTGAGATTTTTCCCACTGATGTTTCACCTTGGAGACTTTGTAATCTTCTTTTATGTCTTTTAGTTGCTGATTAATGTCTTCTGTTAGGCTGGCTTCTTTGAGAAACAGGTCAAGTGTCTACCTATTCTGTATGCTTTTCTTGATAAGGCCGTTATCCTTCATGGTTTGTATCAGCTGTTCGAGGATCTTACTGTCAGTCTGGTCACTGAATTCACAATCTTTCGCCTTCTTGCGTAGCCGCACTGTGTTGTTTATGATACTTTCTCCCAGTTTTTTTCATTGTTTCTTACACATGTATCTCACATGCTGTTTGTTTTTCTTTGCTAAGAAGTGGTTGATGAGTTTCCGGGTTTATTTCTTATAGTCATAGTTGTCTTCTTCAACAGGAGTGGTATATGGAAGGTTTTGTGCAAGTTTCTTGATTTCTTGTCTGCTGTAGATTTGGAGCATACTTGCTTTGTCTTTCACAGTGTTGATTTCAAAATATTCTGTTTCTTCTTTGAAGTCTTCAAGCCATTCTTGCCACACTCAGCCAGTCTCTAAGGGGTTGTCTGGAATCTTGAACAAGTTTATTCTAAGTGATTTTCCGAAAGTTGAGACTCAAATTTCTGATGGGTTGCTGGTGCTGCTTTGTAACATGAGGTCGTTGATGTCCGGTGCTCTTGATAATTTCTTCTTTCTTTTTCGCTTCTAAGTTCGCTAGTATTCTCTCCATTGGCTTCCTCTTATCTTCTGCTTTTGTTTTTCTTTGATCTTCTTTTAATTTTTCTCTTCTTTCGGTATGTATTCGTCTTTCTTGTTTCTCGTCGCCAATGTAATATCCACTACGAGTGCTACACACACACCGCCATGATGGTTGGAACTGTTTTTAATGGTAAACATTGCATGATATAGGTACAGAATGCGTGCGAAGTTACGCGGGATACCACACCTTTTAGTAACAAATGGTACCCCTTTCACTTACATGTACCCAGTTCAAAACACTACATCCCTGAAAGTGGCAGAAAAGTTTGAACAATTTATTTTATAACAATGTCACATCACTTATCATGCATGCTAGCAACTATAATTGTAATTTACCCAATCATGTTTAAATTATATGACTGTGTTATGTTCCTTTATAAAGCAAAAGTCAAAATAATTATGTGTAATTTTGTCCATCAGTACCGGTTTTTTGGAGAACAAGTCGTAAAGGCAGCTGTTGAGAATGGGTGCCATCATTTGGATGTCAGTGGAGAGCCAGAGGTGATCAGATTTCATGAATTACATTCATAAGTACAGAAATACCGTAAAATTCCGAAAATAAGCCTATCCATGTATAAGCCCCTCCAAATATAAGCCCCCGCCCCCAGCCCAAACTCGTAACGCAAAAATCCCTCCGTTAAATTGCCCCTCCAAATATACTTGGAAATTGCCATCAAATACAAAGCAAACCAAAGAAAAACGGTAAATTTCCTTCCAAGAATAAGGCTAGCCCAATCGATTTTGAAACGCAAATTTCCCTCCATACATACGCCCCTCCAAAAATAAGCGCCTCAAAAAGGGCCTTTGAAAAATATAAGCCCTGAGGCTATTTTTCGGAATTTTATGGTATATATATATCTTCAATTCATTATCCTTCTACAAAGATTGTAGGAATTTGGCTGGCAGAATATAACATTCCTTGAAACATTTCTGGGTTCAAAGCTGGAGTCAAAGTGACTCCCCGTGTGAATTACGTACACCAAATAATGTGGCTGGCCCAGGGTTAACAGTACATGTAACACTTGGAAAAATCCAGTGCAAATTAAGGTTTTCTCAATTGTTTTTTCGCAAAAGCTCACCTTGCGAGCACTTGTAGCAGTGATCAGTAAAGTCTAGCTAGCTAGTCTGGTGCTAATCTTCAACTGACAAGATCTTGCCATGGATAATAACTCTGAAAATTTTTTTGAATAGGACATTACTGCTAAAAGCATAACATTTGACTCCATAATTTTAGTATTTGGAAAGAATGCAGTTCAAGTATCATGATGATGCCGTGAGTAAAGGAATCCACGTTGTTGGCACTTGTGGATTTGACAGTATTCCTGTAGATATGGGTGTGGTCTTTGCACAGGATAAGTTTCCAGGTAAAGTACAGTTTGTATCAGTATGTGAATACAGTACATGTTAGTCTAATTCTACTGCTTAATTATGGAAACCATAACTTTGCTTTGATGTCAAGAGACATTTAATGTTCATTTTCAGTTATAGTCCAAGCACCATTCTCTCTGATAGTAAACTGATGTTAAAACAAGCGAAGTGAAAATGCAGTGTTAAACATACACTCTGAGATTTCTTCCAGTCTGGCACTGGCTTCTAGAAGGCTATTTTTTTTATTTTCAACAAGGGAAATTAATTAAACCAAGCTTAGACGAAATATGTCATTGAAGTAAAACTTATATAAAAAATTATCCACTGTAGAATTGTACATACACTGTAAAATGAAAAGAGCCAAATCGACCCCAAAGGCCAAATCGGCCCCAATTTCTCGAGGGCCGATTTGGAACGTGCTGGGCCGTTTTGGACAGAAAGAGTCAAAACAGTTCTAGATGGTACCAATTCGGCCCATCTAATTTCTGAATCGGCTACACTAAAAGCTACTTTGGCACTTCCTCTCAATTTGGCCCTTCCGATAGCCAAATTAAAATTCCGATTTGGCCCCAACAAGGTCTACTCGGAGCGACCGCGGTGTTCGGTTGAAGTAACCATAGTCACGTCTGACACAATCCAAAGTACGGTCCGTTTAGTCGAGTAAGGAACTAAGATAACTTTAACGTAGACCTAAAACCGTGGCGACAGTCAGAGACTGTAAGGTAAATCATGGTTTTGAGCGAACCTTTGCCTCGCGGGAAGGTGCAAATCGGAAACAAAGCTACAATCACGCTCCCGAATGTTCTGCACTTGATTTCAATATCGATAACATTACATGATGCGTCACGCAAACTAAACGCAGGGAGGGCGTTACAGTACAATATCCCTCGGTATTGATAGCAAACAAAGACCCAGCCATCATGTACACATATTTTCTGATTCATAAGTAAAAGGTTTTTAAAATTTCGAACGCCTGCCACAGGATAAAAATGACACGATATGTAAACAATCGAAAACATATTTTGGAAACAATACACAACTGGTCAGCGGGCTGTCCCTATGCACATGCTCTTTGGTGTCGTCCTTTTGGCGTCTATTTGAAAGTACTGCAACGGTTGCGAACATGCCAGTTTCTTTGGGGATCAGGAGTCTTGTATTATACTTCTCGACAGCATCAAAGGACATTCAAGGTGTTGTTACTAATTATTTTCGAACTATGAGCCGTCGTTGATCCATCACTTCGCTTTTGAAGTTCGTCGTGAAGAATCGGAGACAGAAACCTCGTGAGGCGCAACGGTTTTCAAGATGAACTGCACAAAATTATAATAATAACAAACGCTCTCCAAGAATCAAGACTTTGCTGGAAAGAGCCGATAGTAAGACCAGGTAAGCCGCCCTGATTCGCTCTCTTTCTACCAAATGCAAAAGACTGAGCTATTTTAACCACGTTTGATGAAACAGAATTCAGGGTCACTCAAGTCCACCTTGTTGGAACGCTTTGAAGAACGGGTCATTAGATGCTTTTAATTTTATTATCTAATGATAAGGAAATAAGTGACCCTGTATTCTGTAGTTAAGACAGTGGAGGAGTTAAAAAGCACTTCTTCCATCCCCTCACTGTCCCCTATTTAAAACAGGGAGAATGATAAACATATCTAATGAAAAAACCTTAAAGCCATTTCAACTAAAGAAGATGGTAAGGACTGGTGTGGTCTGGTTATACATTTACACTGTAGATTTCAGTACTTGTTTTGTTTTAAGTAAGGTTTTATACCTTACCAATGCATTATTTCTCTTGTCTGATAAATAAGTGCAAAATAAATGCATTAAAAATAGAGAAATTTAAAACCCTTTTAACCCTAAGATCAAAATTTGAATGCTCATTTGTTGCCCCTATTCATTTCCTACAGAATTAGTGGGAAGAAGTTGATAAAATATCAAGCAAATTGTGTGATCATGTCCATAATTCTCATGAACACTCTGTTATACAAAGCATTGATATTACAAGGAGAAATTTGATGCTGATGACTCTTAAAGCTTAAAGGGTTGAAAGAATAATGTGAATTATAATAATAAAGTTATGCATAAAATTAGGAAATAGAATTTTAGGTTGCAGAATTCTGCTTCAATAATGTGAATTATAATAATAAAGTTATACATAAAATTAGGAAGTAGAATTTTAGGTTGCAGAATTCTGCAGGTGTGATTAAGGTAACAGGGTCTGTCAGTCAATTTGCTCCCACAATTACTCAGAACTGTGTGTAAATAAACTTGGTGCTCCAAGTCAACCAGTTTTAATTTAATAACATTTCTCCTATGACAGAAATAGAAAGGCGGGCATCCTTTTGGTAGTGAACGAGGTTCTGTGGCATTGATCGGAGTGCTAAGAGGACTTCGGGAGGAATTTATCACTATTGTAGAGGTAGGTGTTTTGGGAATACAATGTTTTTCCTGATGTTGTGATACAAAATACCACAAGAGTGCTACAAACTCAACTGTACATTGAACCCTAAATGCTTGGGAAGCCCAGATACAAGTGGAAGTCAGACAAAATTGAGATGCAATTTAGCTTATGTTATGACGGTATCCCTTGGGGGCCATTCCCATCACCAGACTACACCAAATCTCACAGAATAATAATGGCTACATAATACTTAATGAATTTTGATTTACAGCTGCAAAATTTCTTACTTGGTGAGAAATACATGTACTAAAAGAATCTTCTTGTATCAGGAAGTGCACACTGTAATTACCTCCTCAATGATGTGTGAATGTATTAGACATAATTATGCTGTCATTCTTTTTCCCATAACATAAAGGAAGCATAATTTCAACAAACTATAATTTATACAGTATACCATACATGCATACCTGAAAACTGGAAAGAAGTAATTAAACCAACATTTCTTGACAATAGTATTGTTATGACCATACTGACTTTTTATGTGTACGCACTGTTTGTTGTGTTTTGATTATTGTTTTTATCATTTCTAAAATTACAACATTTGTTTTTATTGCAGAGGGATGCAGATGTTGACAGGAAAATTCAGGATTTTGTTGTGACAAAGGGAGGCATTATTTGCCAGTTTCCTCAGAAGAAGATTGATGCAGTGATAATATTGCTTGGGTGTTTTTATGTATTTAATGTATCATACACCCAGTGCAAAGCCATCTTGACTTTTCTAGATCAGGCATTGCTTGAAAATGGACTGGGGTGGACACTTGTCAATGTTTCCTCCCTTTTTTAATGACTTGGCAAATACCTCAGTTCTTGCTGAATGTTAACTCAGGACAACCTCGCAAGGTGTAGCCAAATTGTCAAAATGTTTTTCATGGAAGTTTTCTTTCACTCTTACAGACCAAGATTTGGCAAGATTTTTTAAACATAATATCTGTGGAGTAAAATATAGTTCAAGACATTTGCCAAGTCATTAAGGGCTGGGCTGGTTTACTAGTAAGATACAGAGTCGGAACTGTACAAATCAAAAGCATAGAGTGTTGATCTAGATATAACACTAACAGGGTATAATTACTCCAATTATGACTCCTTCACTTTTGATCTAGTGAAAACTATAAAGCATGGGAACAAGAATTTTGACTGGTAAGTGGTTTATCCTTCGACGATTACACCCCTGCTTAATCTGGTTTTCTACATCATAAGCAGAATCTGAAGGGTAGAAAGTTGTGATGACTCCAATTCCATCAAGCTTCTAGTTATGACTTCCCTTGCAACTCTGATTTTTGATTTTCACTAGGTGATGAGTGCTCTGACTATGACCCTGACTTTGTCACGAGTGAAAACCACCCTTCAAAAGGATTAGGTCAAGTCATTAAAGGCTCGCACTAGCAAGGTAGACAGAGTTGGAGTCATAATCAGAAGCTTGAGAATTGATATAGCTAAAGCATCTTAGTTCATTATTGCTCTTACAACTCTTTTGCTTCAATCTAATGTACATTGTCGGAATTGTTAGTAGGAGAACTTGACCAACTCTGACAATCTTTTATTTTTTTTTTGTCAAAAGGGGAGTTATAAAAGAAACCTTAATTGACTCCAATTCTTGTGAGCTTTAATTAATGAGACCCTTTGCAACTCCAATTTTTGATTTTTCACTAGGTTTTAAGTGTTCCTATGATGCTGATTATGATTTTGACTTTGTCTTTTGTGAAAACCGTTTTAAGAAGTAGTTACTTTGATCGCACCAAAGACAAATGTCTCTCTTGGCCAATTTAATTCCTCCAATAATTCTAAATGTTCAATCTAGAAAAGTTGAGATTAACCGAAGATAATATTACATAAATAGGTTGGAATACGCGTTGTTATGATGTACACAGATCACAGTAACTTATTCAGAACTGAATAAATGTTTGAAATAAGCCTTAGTTTGGTTTCATTATTTATCAGTACCCTAATTAAGGGAAAAAATCTGTAGGCCCCCACCCAAATTAAAAAAACCATAATGGCCCGATATGGGGCTGAATCGGCTACTTTTGGAGGGGTAGTTTTTAAGAGGGCCAAAATTTGAGGGGGCTGTTTTGGCTACTGGAAAATCCAAAATGGCCCTAGTGTTTTCCATATTGACCCTTTACATGGTCTAATTTGGTTCCGATGCAAGGGTCAATTTAGCCCCAAATTTTGGTACCAAAACAGCCCCATCTCAGTGGGGCTGAATTGGCCCCAAAAACAGTACCATTCTGGACTCACCCGTTTCGGCCCCATTTTTGGGGCCAAATTGGCTCTTTTCATTTTACAGTGTACTTTGTCATAATGGTGCACAGCATATAAAAATAATTTTTCAGACAAATCTAGTTGTTGTATTGTTACTTCTGAGAATATCTGTTCACTGTTCTTTTTATCTTTGAGGCTAATCATCATGTCAAATATTTATCAGCAATAATGTAGCATTGTTTACTTATCCTTTCTCTAGTAGGCTGCTCACCGCCCCCTCTTTTTCCGTAAGATTGTCAAGATCAAGCATGTTGCATTAAGGGCGGCCATCTTGGTATCACGTGTTCCGAGACTACCTGGGGATGAGTGTCAAATCTACTTAGCGGAGTGGGGATGGTTTGTGAGGAGGTGCCTGTTTTTGCTTCTCTGCCCCCAGCGCTATAAACCCTGATGCTCGCCCCCTTAGCATACACTGTACATAGGAAACCAAGATGGCCGCCCATACTAGTAAACGCTCAATCCTGACGAACTTACAAAAAAATATGGGACTGTGAACAGTCTATTTCTTGACAAAAGCAGTCAGCGAGCTGTTGGTCGTCTTTCAGTAAATTGTTGGGCAAGTGTTTACCAACAGTCGGCTAACAGATTTTGGGGGAAACTGTTCTTCAACTTTACCAAAGTTTATGTGATTTTACCTATTTTTTAGGTGAACTTTGTCACATAGAGAGCTTCTTGCAAGTACACACGGGTCCTAAGGTATTGTAAATTCCCTGTGAATTCCCAGTAAGGAAAGACTATGCAGGAGAAGTCCAACATATTACAGACGCACTGACCTATTAGCACATTGTATACTCTCATTGACCACAGAAATGTTGTCAAAGTGTTTAAACCTCAAATGGTGGAGTAACTGCAAAAACATTGTCAGTGGTTAATTGTAAAGTCTATTTCCGTCACACATGTCCAATTGAAACCCGAACAGAGTCTTATGGACTTCACGCGCAGACGGACCGAGTCAGATCGCTACCGGAACCGGAAATCGGTACAAGGCGCTTTTAGTGGAACCGGATGATAGATGTTAACATGACCGACAGGGTCGGAAATTGTTGGCAAACAGACTTAAATCTGATGCTAAGAAAGTGCAAAACGAATTAATTGCGCGACTATCACGTCATTTCCATGGTCTATGCTCTACATCGATCAAAGCTCACGACCAACCAGCATGAGACAAATCGCTCAGTTATTGTTAAAATGTAATTTTACAACCTCAGATGCCTGATAATCTCATATCTCTTCCCTTAAGGGTGGAGGAGGTCACTTTGGGACATACCAGTCAGCCATACATGGCGTAGCAAGCGAAAGGGGAGGAAATCTCAAAAAGCTTCGTGCTCAGTTGTTTTCAAAACCAATGCCAAAATTTGGACCAAAGCTTCCCAGACGGTTAGCCTTTTTATTGTTCCCTTTGCTTGTATACTTAAATCTTTGTTTTGTTTTGATTCTTTTCTTGCTTGATCTTCTTTTCTTTTCTTTTCTTCTTTTCTCTTGAGACCCAGGCCGGCAGAAACCTTAGCACGCGACTTTTTAAACACAAGCGATCGACAAGAAATGGTGACTTGTAAAAATGCTGAACGCCATTTACAGACGAAACATCAAATCGACTGCGATTCTGCGACATGTACTACGCATTCTACAGACTACTACCAACGACCTTATTTTAGAAAGCTGGTTTAGTAACTTAAAACAAACGCCGCTGAATCGTAGTCAGCAGTTATCGACCCCTTACAAACGACTTATTGACGGACTCAAGCAAAACCGATGGCAATGAACGATTTCATAAAATGACTGGAAAACGGACAATTATGTAGTTATTGATACACATGTATTTTTTTTCTTTTTTAGGAGGTTTATCTCCTACAGCCCAGAAGTTCAGAAATGGTGCATTCCATTTATGGGAGCTGACCCTTCAGTGGTACGCAGAACACAACGCCACAATGTTGAAGTGAGAAATAAAAAGCCAGTTCAGTACGGTGCATATACCGCCGTGTCTTCACTGTTTTTAATCCTGGTGATAATGTTCTTTGGCTTTTTCTTTTTGCTGCTCTGCCAGTTCAAGAAGGGAAGACAGCTGTTAGAAAAGGTACGTGTATGATAGGAAGAGACACAGTGTTGGTTTTCATTTTTTAAAAGGGGCTACATATACGTGGCGAGGATATTATCGTTTAGGTCAGGGACTGGTCAAAAAGTATAGGCGGGGGGTGGTGGGCCGGAGCAGAGAGGGGGTGGGTCATGAGGTTTTGAGCCTTGTGCAAGGGGTGGGTCGTGCAATTTTCAGCTACCCTTAGGGGGTGGGTCACCTTATTTTTTACTAACTACTAACGAGACAGTTGACTACACTTGTTATATAAAACACAGCCAGCTGGAATTATTGCTAAAATGCTCACAAACCTGTTGTGCGAGAAAATACAAAGGTTAACAGGCCGCACATCTATACGGGCGTGGAACCCTCTGTCAACCTTTTTTTTTCGGCTCTAACGAGCATGTCCTTTAACGATTTTCCTTTTTCCTTTATAGTAGACACTGAGGGCTGGTATTGTGTCACGAATGGCAATATTTCTTTTTCCTCCTTGTTGTTTTGTTTTAGGAGTTTAGACTCCCTTTTGGGAATTTTATTTCTGATAGTAGGTTTTCTATCAAAGATAGGGGGCACCCAACCAGAATATAGTTCAAAACCACTTAAACATAGCATTGTCAAACGTATTTTAGTATTTAAACAGTAGATATAGGCATATTTTTATCCCCTAAAAATTTTTAATCTGTTCGGATCTCCTAGCTGAAAGTCTAGTGATACGAAAATTATAGGGATCAAAACTTACCTTTTCGAAAATTTCAGCCAGAAAAAAGGCTCCCGAAAATTCTAGGTGACCTTAGGGTAAAAATCCGTTAAAAATGGGCAATTATACCATTTTTTTAGATGTTCGAAAATCCTAGGAGGGGCAGACAAGCAAGAAATTTTACAACAAATGTTGCGAAAATTCTAGATCTCAAATCGTCTCTCGAACACATATTTTCCGAAAATTGACGTTGGGTGCCCTTGAAAGATTGTGGGTAGCCTCCGTCCGTCAAGCGTTTTTTTTTTTTTTTAAATTGAATTATTTTCCTCAAAGGTTGCTTCTGAGGAGTTTTTTCGTAGGATTCTTAAGGCTTCTCCTTTGACAAATTTTTTTTTATCATTTGGATGGTGACACGAGGTGACATGTGTGTGCAAGGAGTTTTCCGTTTGTTTAAAATATGTCTTTGCATGAAGGTTAGATTTTTCCTTGAATCTTGTGCCTTTGTATACAACCGTGTCTACAAACGCAGTCTCAGTGTTAAAATAACGTTTCGGCCGTGAATTCAATAGTTAGGTGATGTAAGGTTGCTTGTTCAATGAAGGCATGTCATGAAAATATTGGCAAGGGAATCAAAACTGCTGTCTTTGTGCCCATTGCAGTTCCATTGTTTTGTAGGTAGTGCTTTCCACTGAAGTGGAAGAAATTTTCGTTGAGGATTAATCTAAGCATTTCCGGCAAGTAATGTGTAGGAATGGGTTGTCTTTGTTGAAATTTTCATATGCTTTGTGACAGATAATTTCAATATACCCTCGTTTTGCTGTATATTTGTGTCAAGACTCAACGTCCATTGAAACAAGAAATGTTCTGTTTTTCACATTCGTCTTTTCAGTGAAAGTTATGATTTCTGTGATTTTGATATTGCTTGTAGCAGTGTATCAACAAATTTTGTCAAGCACAGAACAAGGTTTTATTGGATTATTAAGAGGAAACCGAACATCCATGTTTTAACTAGAGGGTGGGTCATACAATTTCCAACCTTGCTTTAGGGGTGGGTCAGTCATTTTTGTGCCGAAGGGAGGGGGTGGGTCATGTGTTTTTTATCAACCGCATTTCCAAATGCTCCGGCCCATCCCCCCCCCCTCCCTATACTTTTTGACCAGTCCCTCAATTCTGGTACTTTTCGCTTTTACCTGAACACAAGTAATAAAGAATATATCAAACAAATTTCACCAGGTAGCACTAACCAGTAATATTTTGGCCATTCATTTCAGGCATGGCATTAAAAATTGAAAAAGTTGACCCAATTTTTTTTCCATTTTCAATCCAAGTTCATCCTTGCCATTCATAGCAACAGACAACAGGAAACAGTTTGAAAGTCAAACACTACTTTAGTCTTAAATGACAAAACTGGGCCATTACTTTTGGAATTCTATTGATGCAAAGACATTTCTTTTTCGCTTTTCAAAAAGATAGCAATATACTGACCTTGTCGTAACCCCTTTGCTGAAAGTTAATGCTGACTTATGACTTATTTTCAATTGATTTCAACAGTACCCCAAGTTCTTTACAGCTGGTTTCTTTTCACATGAAGGGCCAACTAGGGAACAGGTAATCCGTAATGTATTATATTATTTTTGTTTTGCAGCAGTTTTGCAATCAACAAATTGTAGCATCAGAATCGATTCCTCAATCCTTTTCATCACGTTGTGTTTTGTGTTATGTATTTCCTTTTCAGATGGCAGAGTCTTCATTTTCTTTCATCTTCCATGGAGCTGGATTCAGTGAAGCTGCTGTGCAATCAGGGTAATATTGCCTTGTATGCTTAGTCATAAAATTATGAGACCAAAGTGACCGCCTGAGCTCATTATACACTTAATGTCAGATCCCGAGGGAAACAGTCGGTTTTGTTTTCCCGAGAGTCAGGACTAGAGGGAAAACAAAACCAACTGGTTTCCCAAGGGACCTGACATTAAGTGTTTTGTTATATTTCTAGACTTTCACTTCAACAGCAACTAAAGAATAACCGCAGGGAATCAAAACAGTAGAATCGGTACTTATAAGAACACAAATTTAATTCTTAAAACCACTGAATGAATGACTTACAGAGTACTTTCCTTATAATTATCATCTGCATCGTTTTCCTCCACTACCTGCTGTTTCTCCTCTAGGATAACTTTGAAAGTCGTTGCGGTTTAGCTCAAGGCTTCATGTTTGTGTTGTTGTGTTCATTAACGAAAGTGAAAACTGGCAGTGTTTTTCCCGCCTTCTGTCACGCCACTGATCAGGTGCTGTGATGTATCCCGAGCGGGATACAATTGCTCAACTGTATCACGATCGGGATACATTTGATTTTAGTCAAAGCCATGTAACCAAGAATCAACTAATGGCAGTCCGTGTTTAGCTGAGTGAAAGTCTAGGAATATAGCAATTTGTTTTATAGATCAACGCTCGTGTGGCTACTCTAGTACTAGCTACCAGCACGTAACATCAGTCAGAAAACCCCTCGTTGAACTGTTCTTATGTGATGTGATTAGGAAGTTCACAACCACAATCGCCTGTGCAAAATGACCGTGAAAATGTTGATTGTGACACAACTCTTGTCCTTTGAACATTTTAAAACGACTAGAATGTCCTAAGTTTCTGAGATATTACTGAAGTTTTGAATTGGAACAGAAGGCTTTGGAGTTCATAGAGAAAGTCAAACTAGTTATTATCTCCTTGTTTTCAAGTTCTCAACAAAACCTTGAACAAACATCGCTGAATCGTAGTCAAAAGTTACCGGCACCGTACAGAAGACTTATTGACGGACTTAAGCAAAACTAAGAGAGAATGACTGGACAACCGACAATTTGACTAACAATAAATGACTGTTTAACAGTGACAATAGACGAATCGAAACGCACCAATGACACGTCAGTCACTCTCAACAACACCTATTCAGGACTACGTTCACCCGGACGATCATGCTCATCCAAGTTATGAAAACCTCTAACGTTTTGCGTTATTTGTTGTTGTTGTTTTGTTTTAATTTTTTGGACAGACAACAGCAAAGAAAATGCAATGAAGTCAGTCATAAAATAATGCAAATAGCTTCCAAATTTGATCAACGCTAGCCGGTTATGAAGAAGTAGCTTAGGGATTTTAGCCAGTTAGAGACAAAAAAGTATATTTTGAATGAAAAATAATAATATTGCTGAAACTAACTTTGATTTTCCTCCTACCTCCTTATATATTATCGGTAGTTTGTTTACTTATGGATTGATTGATTGATTGATTGATTGGTTGGTTGACTTAGAAATATGTTTATCAACTTTTAGAGACCTGCCAGCCAAACCTGACGGTCAAATTGTGACGAAAGTTACAGGACCCGGTGAGTTAAAAATCCTGATTGAGCACTGTGTTTGCTTTACTGGGTTACAAGTCTGCTTTCGGGGCGTTTGATTTCAAGCTTTCTCAGTCTCCGTTTAACAGTTCAAATTTTCAAAATAAAACGTTGTCCCACTTCGAGTATGGTTTAATTACTCTGATGAAATAGTATTTGTGAAACATTGAACCAAAAAACATTCAGTAATCAATGGGAACTCGGTCCGCAATAGTTGCCCCCAATAAGCCTCTATTTCAAGGCGAGGCTAAGTGCGAAGCTATTCGCCACTTTACGAACGAGAAGGAAACTGGGCTGAGTTAACTTTCGCAAAGACTTCTGGGACTGTTACTGGGGACAGGGTAAACAAATTGGCCAGTAGCTGACTGCCGCGTCCCAAGTTACGGCCCCAAAAGTCTTTGCGAAAGCTAACTCGACCCAGTTTTCTTCTCGTTTTTCACCACTTTATAGAAACGAGTAGGGAACTGAGCCGAATTTACTTTCCCAAGACTTCAGGGACTGTTACTAGGGACCGTTAAAAATTGAAACTCGGAAATGACCTATTGGATTCTCGGAGTTCTGTTTCCGACTTTATTCTTGGTGTGTCATCAAAAATCAAACTAAGAAATTATCGATTTTTCTGAGTTTCTACTTTCACGAGTTATTACAGCACCTAAACACCTTTATATAAACAAAGTTTTGGTTCGAAAGGGTTCTTCGTGTTGCGAAAGAGGACGCTTGAATTTCCAGGCTTTTACGTGACGCGGCATTTAGACTTCCAGGAAAGCTCTTAAGTGGGTTAAAAACATTACCGATTTAGGAGATTTTGCTATCTAAACATTCTTTGTTTCAGAATAGATATTACTTTAATATTTATGAGTTCCCTAAGCGAAGAATCCTCCCATTAGTAGGAAAATTTGAAAACTGTTGGTTTCCGGCGGCCATATTCAGGGACACCAAAATGGCGTTTCCATACAAAGCTTTATAAATTTCGGTAAAACGTTTTTACGAATATCTCGCATTTGAAATATTGCACAGACCTAATTCTTGGAAAGGCATTTTGTATATTTGTCTTCTTTGATTTCCCTGATTCTAGACTCTCTGTGTCGAACGGTTTGCATCTTTATTTTTCATGGCGTGACAGCGCCAACCGAAAAAAATGCTAGTCTGTGTCTAAATGTTGCAAAATCACCACCACTTAAAGACTCCTTCGTTACCGGAAACTGCTGCTTATGTCTCCCCCGCCTCCCATCTACCCGTCAACAAAAACAAACAACACATTCAGGTTTACGATCATAACCCTCCCCCCCTCCCTTCCTTCACAGATATATTCTCCCCCTTAACTTGTGTTGATATGAATTCCAAATTATCATGTGAAGTTTTGAAGCTTAAGGTGACTCGACCCAGTTTTTTTTAGGGGGTACCATCCTACTTTGAAGCTCTCTGGTATCCCCACCTTTACTTTTATCGTAAGGATAACACATAGAATGGATAACATATAGATCAATCTACAATATAACATAAAATTTTTGGCGATCGGAGTAAATGTCACGTGGTTATAATGCCACGCCCCTTTGAGGTCTGAGTCGAAAATCTGCTGTTGCCAGCATTTTTTCGTGAAAATCTCTCGGCTACAAATAGTCCGCATTAGTGCCTTGCGCTGAACAGAGTTTTACCAAAATCGCAAAGACCCAATTCGAGAAATTCAGTGGTTTCCAAATTTAGGTCATAATTTATGCGAAAATGATAAGCAAACTTTACACGGATTATATCTAATAAACTATGAAATTCATCTCTGTATTTTGGGCATCCTTATAACAGATGGGTCCTCGCAAGTCAGCAAAACGCTTTAGGGCCTTGTAAATGCGCGCGATTTCGAGCAAAGCAAACATATAGAAATTATAGTTTTCGCTATTTGTTGACGTTTGTCAGCGTTTAAGAGTCAATCTCACGAAAAAAGCATTTTCTTAAAAATTCGTAGTTTTTTTTCCTTCAAATTTTTTCAGGGCCACAATTGAGTAACTAACTACCCGGACTCTGAATTTCATGGTCATTGAAAAACTGTGACATTATCTTCTATAAGCCCAAACTTGAGTAAACATTGAAGATTTTTAGCGTTTTGGCTGAGTTTGTGCTTTGGGAGTTGTCTCTTGTTTCTAGTCTGTCATTATACGGCATTCTTGTTCAGCACGCGTGCAATGACCACGCTTGGCTGACTTCCGAATGCTCACCGAGATATTCCCGTCACGAGTTGGTTTAATTATTGGCTTGCATTAAACCTACGAAAAAATGATATTTTTGTAATAGTAAGTAGACTTAGTGTGTAGCACTTCTTGATTTTTTTGCAAAGACACAAGAAGCACGAGAATTGATTAAAAATTGTTAGTTAAACCTCTATGTATCACGCGATGGCCTGTCTCACTGTACCAAATTTATAATATCTCGGTGAGCATTCGGAAGTCAGCCAAGCGCTGTCATTGCACGCGTGCTGAACAAGAATGCTGTATAATGACAGACTAGAAACAAGAGACAACTCCCAAAGCACAAACTCAGCCAAAACGCTAAAAATCTTCAATGTTTACTCAAGTTTGGGCTTATAGAAGATAATGTCACAGTTTTTCAATGACCATGAAATTCAGAGTCCGGGTAGTTAGTTAATCAATTGTGGCCCTGAAAAAATTTGAAGGAAAAAAAACTACGAATTTTTAAGAAAATGCTTTTTTCGTGAGAAGGACTCTCAAACGCTGACAAACGTCAACAAATAGCGAAAACTATAATTTCTATATGTTTGCTTTGCTCGAAATCGCGCGCATTTACAAGGCCCTAAAGCGTTTTGCTGACTTGTAAGGACCCATCTGTTATAACGATGCCCAAAATAAAGGGATGAATCTCTTGGTTCATTAGATATAATCCGTGTAAAGTTTGCTTATCATTTTCGCATAAATTATGACCTAAATTTGGAAACCGCTGAATTTCTCGAATTGGGTCTTTGCGATTTTGGTGAAACTCTGTTCAGCGCAAGGCACTAATGCGCACTATGTGTAGCCGAGAGATTTTCACAAAAAAATGCCGGCAACAGCCGATTTTCGACTCAGACCTCAAAGGGGCGTGGCATTATAACCACGTGACATTTACTCCGATCGCCAAAAATTTTGTTATATTGCAGATTGATCTATATGTTATCCATTCTATGTGTTATACTTACGATAAAAGTAAAGGTGGGGATACCAGAGAGCTTCAAAGTAGGATGGTAGCCCCCCAAAAAAACTGGGTCGAGTCACCTTAATTAAAAGTTATTAATTCAAAATGCATAACGTATTTTTAATCAGCACTGTTCCAGCTTGTTTCGCTTTTTCTATTCCGGTTATAATCCCACTCGGATGTGAGTCCCTCCGTTTATAAGCCCTTCTAAAACCCCTCACAAAGATGTATAAGCCCAGGGCTTATAAGAGGCAATTTGCAGTATGTTATAGGAGCATTAGTCATAAAGTTTACCATGTATGCTGATCAAAATCACATCAGTAATTGTATTATTATTATCATTATCATTATCATTATCATTATCATTATCATTATCATTATCATGATCATGATCATGATCATTATCATTATCATTATCATTATTATTATCATCATCATTATTATTTCATTTTTCATTTGTGTTTCGGCATAGGCAAATCCCCTTTAATATTTGTTAAAGTAATGTCGGCTTCTGGTTTTATTCTTGTTTTCACTCATCCCATTTTTTTTCTCCCCTTAGAGGCTGGGTATATAGCCACACCCATCTGCATCGTGCAGGCCGCCATGGTGATCCTCGAAGAAACCTTACCAAACAGGTAATACTTTAGGTACTGGAAATTTTCCCGGTCAAATCTTCGTAAAACGTTTCTATGTAAGTTACACTGCAAAATGTCTCATTTGTAGTTAATTTGTTTTTCTTGATATCTCATCCGCTGGCACAACGTCATGCCTTTGTTAGGCAGACTTTTTAATTGACGACTTTAAAGTGTAAAAAAAGCCTGTGTAACTCTGTTTAATAATAGCGCAAAAGAAACAGATTCTTAATAACTACCAGCGTGCAAGCTCCATTCTTCTCTTGTCCGATGCAAAGTTAATAGAATAGTTTAACTTGCTCTAAAAAAGCAGCTGTTACTTCTAACGCGAGAAAGTTATCTACGCAACTGAGAAAGTTGCGAAAAAGAAAAAGATTTGATGTCGGGTTTGCTTCATTGCTTTTGTTGTTGGTAGTGGTGTTTACGCTCAAAAAGTGATTGTTCGGATAACTAATCCAGCTGACCTTAATAACACAATTCTTTTTGTTTTACCTTAGTGGTGGAGTTTTGACCCCAGCTGCAGCTTTTGCTGGCACCTCACTGATTGACCGCCTGGATGAACACGGAGTCAAGTTTTCCGTGGTGCGTTGTGAAATTGACAGTTCAATGTAAGCCCAGACCTAACCAGGAGGGTAACGTAAAAAAAAAAAGAGGCGGGCTTATAATATTTCAATGGTGCAGTCATACAAAAGATTGAAAAGACGCTTAACGTGATCACATAACACAATAGTTAACCAATGTAGTTTCCATGAAGTTTACACATCGCTAAAACACCTAGATAAGATAATAACTGCAGCAAGTGCTCGTTTGATGGACTTAGAGTAGCACTGATTCAGTGATTCTTGATTAAAGGAGCTGTGTAACGAAATTTATCAAAATTCTAACAATAGGAGCCGCCACCAATCTGAGTGAACCATAAAAATAACCGATCAAAACATGAAAGTAGGGTATAAATAACAGGAACGGGTGGACAAACTTGAAGGAGATTGAACCGGATTTAGTGCAATTGTAGTTTTTGAAAACTTGTTAACCTAACGGTTTTTCAGAGTTCTTTTTTTTTGTTGTTTGTAACGTTTGATATATATGCTTGGGAGACGTAGTATGTGCTTCGGAAACGTATTTGTTTGACACGAAGCTGTGACTTGTCATTCACAAGTTATTTCTAAAAGTTTTATATGGAAGTGTAATTGGCAAAAAAAAGTGTAGTAAAAAGTTAACACTAAGTGTAGTAAAAAGAGGCCGCCGCCTGCCTGTGAAGTTACAGATTTCTGGTACCAAAAAGCAAACAAACTATCAAGTTAGAAAATCATAAATTTTTATCATAACAAAAATATTTAATGATTTTGTGACAGTAAATTTTATCTACGTAATAGTAACCTACGTTCGAACTCTAACATGACTCCGAGGCTTTCTGCATGATTTATATTTGGCTTGGTTTTCTTTGTGCTCAAGTCTCGTCTGCATGGGAATTGAGCGACAATGGAGTCGTGAAAAATTTGCAATTTTGTCCCTAAAGCCTCGGAGTCGTGTTAGAATTCCAATATATCGAACATGGGCTATTATATTCTCAAAAATCGAAATAAACTAAAAAAGAAAAAACACTATTACAAAATAATACTTTTTTAAAAACAGTGTTGGTGTATTTGTCCCAGATAATACTCATACAAATCGTGATTTGTTTATTAATCTATTCAAATCTGGTTATCAAGGTAGAAATTAAAATGATTTATATTAAACGAAGTTCTCGAGTGATCAATCTACAAAAAGTATACGCCCTCATTAGCGCTAGGAGTTCACCAAAATAAGTACGGTGGAATCCAGTGAAACACCAAAGGAACACTCCACAACCCTCCGCCAAGGGTCTTTCGCTCCAAGGGAAAAAAAGAAAAGAGTTTCTCTGGGACTGGTTGGACTCACCTAAATGTTCGTATTAGAGCGATTTTTATATGACCTTAAAATAATGAAGCGTTACCTAAACAAAAAACGAACGTAATTAGAGCAGATTGATTGGTTTTTTTGAGCGAATACCAAGGCGTGTGGCTCTTGGTTGGTTCATCGAACTTTGTCGAAGTCAATCGATACTTCGCTTTGATGTCATTTTCTTTTTAGCGAAACGACTTGACAAACGAACGATGCTTTTTCCTATCCTTGGGTTTTCTTGTGTGGGAAAACGACATGTCCATGTTTTGATCTTTCCATCTATTGGTTGATAAACAACGCACACTAACGAAAGTCATTTTTAATGAAGGTCTTACGATAATCGCTCTATCGGGTCTTCGTGTTTGGTGGGCTCTCGGAATAGACGTTTGAAGTCGAAATAAAATTTTTGACTAAATAAATGAAAAAATAAAAAGACTAGGCATGATTCCATTTGTTACAGTAAAAGTAGACTGAGTGGATACCAGTCGAGTACAAATATAAACTCTCTAAAAAATGTCCTTTGAAAAATATAAACCCTCTGGCTTATTTTCAGGATTTCCGTGTAGCCTCCGACAGGCAAGCTCTCCGTAAACTACGTCCTTCGCGATTTCCAAGCAAAGAGCTTGCTTGCAAAACGAAGAGCAGTCGTAAAAGGAGCTATGAGTAAACGGAATTAAGCGATCGATTCATCGGACGTCATCCAAAATGTTAGTGGCAATTGCTCCGAGAGTAAATTGTCAATCAGTAATTACAGGTTTCGCGCGCACCTTGAAGGTCCTTAAATTTTTACTGCCTTGAAAGTCCTTGAAAATTGCAGACGGTGCTGGAAAGTCCTTGAATTTCAATGCTAACTTTAGTAGAATTCCAAAGTAAAAGGAGCAAACACAGAAAAGGCCTTCAGGATAAAATTACTCATGTTGTGCAAGAACTAAAAATGACACAGACTCAAGGCTCTTTTTTGCACTGAATGGAGTACTTGGAAAATGGGAAATGTTTTCTTGAAAAACCCTGAATTTTGTTCAAAAAAGGGTACGAGCCTTGTAATTACACATTTGAAATGAAATGCGCACGTAAAAATTATATGTAAAAACGCGCATCTGCCTTTTCTTTCTTAATAGGCATCTGAAGCGCGCGAGTTAACCAACTGAGGACCTTTCAAGTTTCTGCGTCACGTGCATAGGCCTAGTTTCGGAGTACGCACGTCTAGTTTTTCATTCTGCTCTACCAAATTCTAGTCTTCAGAGCCCGTCGTTTCTTTTGGTCACGTCGTCTTGAAACGAATTAAGCCTTGAACTTGCAACATTTCGTTCGAAGAGAATGCAAAACAAGGCGGCGCTCCAGAAGAGAAGAGTGAAGACGGTTTTCTCTCTTTCAGGTTTCCCTGGTCAAATTCTTTGTCGTCCTTTCTTTTTTTTTTTTTTTTTAATATATAATTGTAAACATCTTGGGTAAATTTACGACAACACCATAGCTCGTACCCGAGCTACCATGGGCAAGCCAACTGTTTCTACGTTTCCTTAGAAAACGCGATGAACCATTTACATGAGAGACAAAAAGTTAGCTCGACCAGAAGGGTCACCCACCAAGCTGGGTTACCCTTTTGCCCTGGTAAGGTCACATTTCTAGCCAAGTCGGGGCCAACTTTTCTGCACACAGTTTGGCTCGCCCAACAGAATCAACTCCGTCAAGACAAGGCATGCGCGAGCGCTGTTTCTTGTGGTCACGTGGTCGTTACAAATTAAGCCGGGTGGCTCTGGGGACGGGAAAGGGTGAAATTTTTTCTCATATAAACGCTAGCTTTAATAAGTTGACTCGGCTGGGAGGATGACCCTTCTACCAGTGAAAGTTTTTCCCCATATAAGTCTGTCTTCTTGTCCATTTTCACATGAAAATGACATTTTTTTCATTCGAAAGTTAAACTCATTGTCATTTCAATTCACCATTTACGTAGACCATAATGCACCTTGTTCCCCCCCCCACCCCTTCCCAAAAAAAAAAAAAACAAAACTTTGGATAACCATTGTTTCCAATACAGTCGTTCCTAAGAGAAATCGAAGACAATGATTGTGCAAAATTTTGGGAGGTAAACAAGGTGAATTATGGTCTATATGAAAATGGTGAATGGCTGCCAATTAACAGACCTCGCTTTCATAAACAGGCTAAAGGCAACTCGGAGGTGGGTTATTTGCAGTTAAATGACAACGGCCAATCGCGGAGTGGAAATACAGAAACGGAGACTTTTGAAAAAGCTGATGGCCCAGTCTCCTCGATTAAAACTTACCAAAACCTTGCAAACTCCTGATATCTAATACAAAAACCCAACGTAAAAATTGATCGGAACGGATCGCACGGAACACAGTTTGACACTGCTCTTGGAAATCGCACATTGCGCGCGCAGTCCACAGGTCAGTCAGTAATCTGCTAGCAGATAACTAATCTGTAGATTGCAATGTAATCTCGTTTCTAGAAGGCTTCGTCAACAAGAGATCTGGGAACGAGATTAGGTTGAGATGTTTTCCAAGATTAACCGTAGGCCAAAGAGAAGGCAGATAGTTGACAGAATGTATAATAACAGTGCTAATATTAGCTGTGCTATTTTTATTCTTGCTCCATGTCATCTATTCTGTAATGTATACCGCTCCAAGTCCTTAAGTCGTCCCAGTTATCTCCAATAATATCTATCCAGTTATTTACAATCCACTTATGGCCCTTGATGACGTCACATCCACCGTGGTACGATAGCGAGTCGAGGCTGGACATCCAGCCAGTTGATTCGTCGATTTTGTGATTATACCACATTATCGCGGTTCCGCGTTTCGGTGTTACCCTTAAGTTTGCTCTGAAACAGTAAGCGCTCAGGTTTGAGAGAGAATTGGATTTCCGTGTCCACATCTGCAAAATAAATAAACAGCGTGAAAGTCAATCACTTCTGGTGGGAATAATGTTAAAGAAAAACACAATAAACGCCGTATGTGGTTTCAGTTTGTTGTTGGTTCTCTCCCTTGCTCCGAGAGGTTTTTCTCCAGTCACTCTGGTTTTCCCCTTTCCTCAAAAACCACCACTTCCAAATTCCAATTCGATCTGAAACGCATGGACATGTTTAAAGGTTCTTTTATGAACCCGGCTTAAGTGCTTCATGGTAAGCAAATTACAATAATTTACAACAAATTATGATTTACTCGGATCCGTGAGGCAGGCAAAAAAAAGCTACAAAGAGGGCGAGACCGTCTTCTTATAGTCCTATAGAGTTGGCCGTTAATAAAGAGTTAACTGTATAACGTTTAAGAGCACCGTACGTCATTTCAGCACGCTCAACTTGCCATGTACATGCAGGTTCGGCTTGATGATCAGTAAAGAGTTCAACAAATGTCAAACAAAAGATCCCCAGCGCATTGCTAAGGTTGGTAAAACTCGTGTAGGGGTGGAAGGACTGGAGTCATACATGAAGGTAATATATAGATTTAGCCAGGGCTAAAAGCGAAGCTCCCGTTAATGAATTTATGATTTATATCAAACGATAAACTTCTTATCCTCAAAGTAGTTAACTTTAATTTTGAGGGAAAGGCTAAGTGGTTTTAGAGAGAAAATAAATTGGTCAAATTGCAAACAGTCCAAAAGTGAAACAAATCTTACATCGAGTTAATAGTCTTATATGAGCACCCCAAAAAAGGACAATCACGCACCAGGTTTGGTCACGGTAGATTAGGCTTGGAATAACCCAGTCGTCCACCAACGCTACCTTCATTGGAGCTCCTCTACAAAAGTGTTGGAACAACCACTTTCTTGTTGCTCACGCGCCTGATCATTTTGAGTTGACGGTTTAGACTGGGTCGTTATTGGACCGAGTTGCACTATAGGACTCTTTTGGGACGCTATCATTTCTCCTCTTTTAGCCATTACAAGGTTATAGAGGAAACTGGGGCAAATTTCGTCCCCAAACATTCCCACAGTGCAATTCGCCACAATTTTGCCCAATTTCCCTCACTCGCGACCTCAAAATAACCAATAGGCGAAATCACGTTTGGGCGAAAGGGTTTTAGAATTTTCTTCGTTGGATCTGCTAAACGATGAAATAATAAAAAAAAGACGTTGAAGGTAGCCAGAGTAGTCATGCTTCAGCAAAATTAGGCCTCGTTGGTGTATAGGTATACGAATAGGTATAGGTAAATCATTAATATTTACATACCTTCCTGCATACTAATTCGGTATGGGTATAGGTATACGTATGGGTATAGGTAAATCATTTATATTCACATGCCTTCCCGCATACTAATTCGGTATAGGTTTACTAATGAGGTCTTTCTACTACACTAGGCATAACAGGCTTGCCTCAGCTTGTCTGTCGTTTTCTCCGTTCTATCTCGAGGACGTGAAAAACTATTAAAGTATCAGCTTTTCACGCGCCGTTAGTCAGGTAATTATGCGAGTTCGCAAGCCCAAAGTTGAATACAAATTAGCTCTACAGGAAAGACCCAAGGGAGCACCTTGACGTATTATTATATAGACAATTTTAAATAACTTTAAAAGGATCAATTAAAACACACCACTAATAATTGCTAGCAATAAACCACAAGACAGGTACCGTTTTAAAAACTTTATTTAAAACAATAACAAAAAGAGTCAAATACGCAGCGATTTGTAAGGAACGGAAATTAATTAATCTCCATCTTCGTTCTCCTGTTTAGAAGGGGAACAGAAATTGGTTTCCAACGTCTTCGCGTTTTTGTGTGTAACTAGTGCACAGTAGTGACACCGACGAAAGCGGTGCTGATAAGCAGGGAAATCTGCTAACAGTTGAAGAAAACCACGATTGTTGTTCACTACACGAGGCATTGCTACAAAATGAATTAAGAATGGCAGTTGGTAGTCTCTTATGAAATTTCGTGGAGGGAAAACAATGGAAATGAGGTGGTTGTGGTGGTGGAGGGAAAACAATAGAAATGTGGTGGCGGTGGTGGTGGTGGTGGTGATGGTGGTGGAGGGAAAACAATAGAAATGTGGTGGTTGGTAGTGATGTAATTTCTCCCCTCGGGAATCTGGTGATCGCATGTGGGACAAATCTTGTAAGAAACTGGCGCTGATAAGCAGGGCAATCAGCTAACAGTTGAAGAAAACCACGATTGTTGTTCACAACACGAGACATTGCTACAAAATGAACTCAGAATGGTAGTTGGTAGTCTCTTATAGAATCTCGTGGAGGCAAAACAATGGAAATGAGGTGGTTGTGGTGGAGGAAAACAATAGAAATGTGGTGGCGGTGGTGGTGGTGGAGAGAAAATGGAAATGTGGTGGTGGTGGAGGGAAAACAATAGAAATGTGGTGGCGGTGGTGGTGGTGGTGGTGGAGGGAAAAAAATAGAAATGTGGTGGCGGTGGTGGTGGTGGAAGGAAAGCAATAGAAATGTGGTGGTGGTGGTGGTGGAAAGAAAACAATAGAAATGTGGTGGTGGAGGAAAGACAATAGAAATGTGGTGGTGGAGGGAAGACAATACAAATGTGGTGAAGGTGGAGGGAAAACAATAGAAATGTGGTGAAGGTGGAGGGAAAACAATAGAAATGTGGTGGTGGTGGAGGGAAAACAATACAAATGTGGTGGTGGTGATGGTGGTGGAAAGAAAACAATAGAAATGTGGTGACCTGAAAACCTGTATAAATGCGCAACATTCTAACTATTTCTCAGTCTACATTGTGCTCCTGAGGAGTTGACATGAGTTGGTTCAGTTCTGTCTGCGAAAAATCCTTTAGTAGAAAAGATAATATGCAAAGGCACGTGATGTCTAAACACCGCAATGCTGGTCTCACCCCATTTTAAACAGTTCCAGTGTTTTCACAGAAATGTCAGCGGTTTCGCTTCGAGCATCCTTTCACCTCCATGATTTATGAAATGACCGGGTCCGGAAAAACGGCCTGGGTTCGATCTCTATTGCAACTAGCGTCAGAGACCATTTACCCTCCCCCGGAGAGGATCGTTTGGTGTTATTCACAATGGCAGCCTGCGTATACACAAATGTTTGTCGCCATGCCACACACTGAATTCGTCAAGGGAATTCCTAAGGCTTTGGAGCAGGATTCCTATTTTGATGTGAACAAACGGAATTTGATCGTGTTTGACGCCAGTAAAGACAAGTGAATTGTGAACCTCTTTACTGGTGGTTCTCATCACCGCAATCTGAGCGTGATTTATATCGTGCAGAATCTATTTCATTAGGGGAAAGGTAGCCGCAGCATAAGCCTAAACAGCCATTATGTGGTGTTATTCAAGAATCCACGAGACAAATGGCAAATGTTGGCTCTGGCGAAGCAAATGTATCCTGGGCAGGCGGATTTGTTTTTAAATCAGTACGAAGAGGCTGTAAAAAGACCTTTTGGTTATCTTCTGATTGATCTGAAAACTACTACCCAAGATAATTGTCGGTTGCGAACAAACGTCCTGCCCAGTGAAGAAGGCTTTAACCAAGCAGGGTTTCAAGAAAATATTCCTCAAGATCTTCTAAAATATCTGAAGCAGCAAACTCTTTCGCCTGTCCCGCTTCTTCCAGCTATGCAAGAAACATGGCTGACGTGCTTTCTCGAAACGATCTTCGGGACGATGAAAAAGCTAAACGATACTTTCAGTTGCAAAACAGATACCTGGCTTTTAAAGAACAATTAAATACAAGAACACGACCGGAAGAAATAATCAGCACTGTTCCAGACTTAGCATCAAGGACACAAGATTCTTCGACTGCAACGACAGCATTCTCCACGCCCCTCAACCCCTTTAATGTAACACCTGAATTAACACAAGCTGCTATCTCTCATAAACCTGACAAAGAAAACCTCACCCCTGCACCACCCTTAGATCCTGCTTTCCTGACCCCTCGTCCCACAGTAGAAACCCCATCACAACAAGGCCGGAAGCGCAAAAGGCGTCGGATTCAATTTGTAAATTATTTGGATGATCCTAAAGCTCATGCTAAACAGCTGAGAAAACGTCGGCATACGAAATTCAGACCTTACAAGTACTCCATGGGCGAAGAAGATGAAGATTAATTAATTTCCATTCCTTACAAATCGCTGTGTATTTGATTCTTTTTGTCATTGTTTTAAATAAAGTTTTTAAAACAGTATCTCTCTTGTGGTTTCATGGCTAGCAATTATTAGTGGTGTGTTTAAATTGATCCTTGTTAAGTTATTTAAAACTGTTTATATAATAATACGTCAAGGTGCTCCCTTGGGTCTTTCCTGTAGAGCTAATTTGTATTCAACTTTGGGCTTGCAAACTCGCATAATTAACTGACTAACGGTGCGTGAAACTCTGAGACTTTGATAGTTTTTCATTTCCTCGAGATAGAACAGAGAAAAGGTCAGACAAAATTGAAATAGAGAGTTTTCAGCTCCACTCTGTGTATATGTGTTTTGTTTATATATATCCGAGTTTTAGAGCTAAATAAGAAGACAAAAACTAAATTGAAATAAAGACTTTTCAACTCCACTTTGTGTATGTGTTTTGTTTATATATCTGAGTTTAAGCGCTAAATAAGATATAGGAAGCCGTTTCTCGCGTTGCTAGGTGATCGCTTCTCTTATTCCTTTTAATAGACAGTCTGAAAGTTCAAGTTACTTACGGGGCTACCCTAGGCAAGCCTATTGCTTCTATTGAATAAGGGAGACGCTCATAAGTAAACCTATACCGAATTAGTATGCAGGAAGGTATGTGAATATTAATGATTTACCTATACCTATATGTATACCCATACACCAACCAGGCTTAATTTTGCTGAAACATGACTACTAACCAGTAGTTAGATAGCTTAGCCATGACGTTTGATACGAGCATTCGTGGCATTACTGACCAAGCTGGCGGAAACTTAACGATTATTTGGCGATGAAAAGGCGCCTATGTTTTGGAAACGGTATAAATTCGACATTGGTGTAGCGAAAGCTCGAAAGTGAATCGTCATGGCATCATTCGGCAAAAGTATTAAACAAAAAACAATATCCTTTGAAGGGCTGCCATGTTTGTCTCCAGAAATGGATGACGGCTGGATTGGAAGGCGTAGTCTGCGTTTCCCAAGTTCAGCCCAGTAGCGTGCTTTTCCTGACGGAAAATAGATAATTGACTATGAGCGTCGTAGTCATTTCCTCTTAATTGCCCTTTGCTTTTCCCCGTTTTCTGGTTTCCAGCCTGGAAAACAACATCTGTCGTTCTGGGTAATTATCAGATAGGCGAAGCAGATGCTCAGTCAAAGTTTTGTAAGCTTTTGTCGCGCTTTCAGTGGTAACAGTCCGTTATTCAGTCACCTTTTACCTTAAGGCTGAATGAGTGAGATATGAAAGCTAAATTGGCTTGCTCTTGTCCTTCCAATTTTTGGTTTCGCGAAGAAAGTTGCCAAGAAAGTTGATATCGTACGTGGCACCTTCTGATCAAAAGGATAACAAATTTTATAGTGTCTAAAAATAATTGCTGGCAAAGTCAACGACGGACCAATTAAAACTCCAGGTGATTAAAGCGTCAGCAGACATCGTCAAATTAAACAAACGTTTGATGTTATTTGCGCTTGCATACAAAGGACACGGGAACAATCTACAGTACTAGGTTTTCACCATAAATAAGAAATGTCCTATTGATAATGCAAATATGGCAAAACGAACTGGCTGATATATAAGGTAGGTATTGAGCAACTATTAAAACATTGAAAGTTGCGGACGACTTTGAGATGTCAATTAATGCAAGCATTGCAAAGAAAATTCTGATAGAAAACAATGGATTAGAAAAGATATTCTTCTTCGCCACGATTCCATTTTTTCTCTCGGGATTCATCGGAAACGTGTTGGTTATCCGTATTGTCCACAAAAAACGAACGATGCACACGAAAACTAATTATCTATTAGTAACCCTGGCCTTAAGTGATATTATCACCATTTTTATGGCACCTCTCTGCTTTTTCTCCCATCAAAGTGGGTATCTAAGTGAAGGATTTGGAACGATCTCTTGCAAGATTATACCTTCAACTGAAATATCCATTGCTGTTTCATCATTTACTCTAACGGTACTAGCAGCAGAAAGATACCACGCTTTAGTGAAGCCGTTCAGGACAGGATGGCAGCTAAATGATGAGAATATCAAAAAGGTTGTCGCTTTTATTTGGATCATTAGTACTCTTTTTTGTTTGCCATTCTTCGTTTTTCAGGAATGGAGCCAGTCGCTCTCCAATGCGTGGGCCCATGGAGCTTACACATGAATCAAACTACGTTTTCATAGTAGCTGTATTTGTAACGTATATTCCAATAACAGCAATGGTTTACTTTTATGGATCGTTGATAAACGGTCTGTATTTTAGCAAGACAATCTGCTCGGAAACTACATCTGGAGAAAGAGACGCGGAGAAGAGCAAACTTGTTGTTACATTTCTTCTAGTTTCTGCTGGGTTTTGCATCGGATATGGACCTTTTGCAATTTTTTACACTATTCTAGCAGCAGGGTATGACAAGCAAACAGGCTTTTTTCTATACTCCGTCTTATCGTCTTTGTTTATTTGTATTTTCAACGCTAGTCTGTGTCTCAATCCAATTTTATATGCTTTTCGTAGTTCGAATTTTAAGGAAAGCTTCAAAAGCATTTTCTTCTGCCGCAGATCGACGTCATCGAATGAGATAGAGTTATATGATGTCTAATGATAAATAACTCGTTTCGAGGCGTCTCTATAGCTACGTGTCTGAACTTGCGCGCAAAGGACGGCGGGAAGGAGAAAGCTGTTCTTTTTTCTTCCCCTCTCCCGTAGTCTCTCGCCCTTACTCACTTAATCACTAGTCACTCACTTTTTGTGCTCCTTTGATCGCAACCGAATTGCAAAAAGGAACCTCCTGGCGGGGGGGTGGCAGTAATAATAGTACTTAAAATCTCCATAAGAAGAGGTGATCTTTCAGGTCAGGTGGTGACAAAGAAGGGCAGTTACTTTCTATTAAGTTTCTATTAGGTGTGTAAGCGGTGCTGGGTGCAAAAATAATTGTCCTCCATTAGGTCCCAGTTGTTTAAAAGGTGGATAGTGTTATCTACCGGATTACTCAGATAAGTAGAAGGAACGCCAATGGCGTCATCCACTTGATAGAGATTAATCACTGAGTGGAAAGCGCTATCCACTTTTTGAACAACTTAGGCAATGGCAATCAACAAGGACACTTAAGTGTGTCATATAATACAATCGATTCACTGCCGACTGAAAATAGACTTGTGATATAAAAAGAATATCTTGTGAAAAGCTGAACCCTTAGACTTTCCGTGCAAAAGTGCTCGTGCAAAGATGTATTTCAAGATAATCAGCAAGTTAGGTAGGTGCTTTCCATTATGCTCAATTTAAGCATCAACGGAAGTCGAACGCATCGGTCTGCATGAAAATTTACGGACAAATTAGATGATCTCTCAAGGTGGTCCTAATTACTGGTCCGTCCGGTCTCACTTAACCATATGTTTAAAAAAATCTTGTTCCCAGTCCACGGCGCTGGGCCCAGCGTGATACAGCATTGCAGAAAAACATTACACTCACGGACTAAAGAAAATCGCTTAGATCAGATCATCCAGAAGGCACTTTGGAGAAAATAGGAACCCTTATTCAGCCGTAATAAAAAAAGCTTTACGCTTCAAAAGAGGTCAAAGAATATGCGCTTGCATCACAGGGCAAATCCTGCCGACCAGAAAACAATAACTACAGTCAATCGATATATATGTCATGACCTCTCAGTGTGAAACATGCGGCTAAAACCACATTTGCTCAGTAAAATGCAGAACCTTCCAGAGCATAATCTACCCAGCAGATAAAAACAACTTCATTGGAATAAGCAGCATTTTGGCATGAGGTAAAAGTCGTGTAGGCCTACCACCCCCTTTTATTGCAGAATTTTCCCCTAAACGTTAATGCTTGAACGCCTCGGTCCGGTTTGAAATTTGCGTTTCATTGAACAATGCCGTGTCGTTTGATTTGTTTAGATTCATGGGTCTCAGCTAGTGACCTTCGTCCATCTGTCGCGGTGAGGAGAATCAATTGATTTCATTGTCATTAGAGAAGTTATAAAACAACACGGAAAGCCTATAACGGTACATCAATTGATTTCATTGTCATTAGAGAAGTTATAAAACAACACGGAAAGCCTTTAACGGTAAAGGATACTCTGGGGTACTATGTAAGAGAATCTGAATTAAGAAATCCGGGAAAATTTTGCTTGAGAAATTCCAGGAATCCTGGTCCTTGGAATCCGGAATACAGTTCAAACAATTCGAAATCCCATTAACGATTGGAATCCAGAATCCAAGTTTCACCGACAAATACTGGGATACAGTGCATGGAATCCGGAATCCACCGCGTGGAATCCAGAATTCAAGACTGTCTTGGATTCCCTTCCATGAGGCGACGTTTGCTTTCAGCATTCGCACAAAAGACAGTTTATGTTTATTGAATTGAATTAAAGTTTATTAACGTCCATATATTAGTAGGAGTTAGATATTAAATTAAATACAAACAAACATCCTCTGCTCCCATATAGCTTGATTTTCGGCTAATCGAGGCGGGTAGAGGAAAACATAAAGAAAGAAAGGAAAAGGAAGACTGATCTATATAAATGACAATAGAATTTGACTTTCGAGTCATTATATGTCATCAGTTCTAGAATTTCACTCCTAGCGCAGAGCTCAAACAACACGTCTATACAGTATCAGAACAAGCGCAGAACATAGAGCATTACTGTTTTACCTCAAGATTTTGTTTGTATGTATGTATGAACGATCAATTATACAAACCTCATGATTAAACGTTTCATTGTCAGCAACGGGGAAAGCAGTTTGGCCACCTTCTTCGACATCATTGAGAAAGTACAAAATAGTTATATACCTAACGAAATAAGAGTAAAATTGGAATAAGTGAATAAGTGAAATAAGAGTTAATTTCATATACCAGAAATACTATGACTACAATGACAACTGAAGACTTAAATTTATGAAAGCCGTTTAAGTGGTTAACAAAATAGTCCTTTGCCGAGACGCCTAGAGGAAGCAATGTATTCATAATCACTCAGCCTAGTCCCCAGGCGTTTTCGGCTCGGTCATTCCTGGACTGTGCAGCAAATTACCAGCTAATTTCTGGTACTGTAGTACTCATTCAGGTAAATGCACACTACATAACATTGAAAATATTTCGCCTTTTCTTATTCGCATTAATTCCGTGGCTAATTCTCAAAACCAGTTGGCGCTGACGCTGACGCTGGTTCACGAGTGAGCGATACTCAGTATGGAGAAAATCTCGTACTCGTAGTCTTCCTCGTCTTATATAGAATCTAAGTGTCTCTATTATGCAGATTTCGGAGGCTGTTATCCACCACGGCCGATCAGACACCCTCCTTGACCTGCATAATGCTTCATGTCAGTATACTTAGCCTCATTCAGGTATTGTTAACTAGATGACATAACATGACATGCATGACGTAAGACATACCTAGACTCCAATTAAATACTTTGACTCCAGTTTTACATAAGCTCGAGAAAGTAAACGAATTTTAGAGTAGCAACGATTTTTTTACATGGAAAATTATGTATATGAAGTGCTTAACATGGTGCACGGCTAACCTGCAAATACGACAATTATCCAAGGCGAGTCGATCGCAGCAAGAGTTACCAGCGTAGAGCGTGTGAGAGTCATAATGGCAGTGGTAATGACCGCCCGGGCCATATCGCACAGCCTACAAAAATACAAAACGAAAACGTATTAATATGCAAAAAAATCAGCTGAGTCTTTGGTATGTATTGACTTATTAGCTCAATAATATTCCCAGCTTCCTGGCTATATTTCTCTTTCTTGGTTGGTGTTATTGTAACTTTGTCAGTAATCCCACTTATTATTCGCCGGCTGATTACGGCGAGCAAGCTGGTACTTTCTTCCCCCTTCAAGGTTTGCCTGTTTGATCTCTCATGAAGTTCTCTTGGCCATCAGTCTAAATGCCTGGATATTGGCCTCGCTTTTTTTGTTTTAGGAAACTGAAATAAAGTTGAAGTTAAAATTATTTCCATGCCGAATCCGAAGAAGCTAGAGAGATATTAAGGTACCCTTTTAACGCAGTTGCATACTCCTACTTTTTTCTTTTTCATCGAATATGGTGTCAGTCCAATAAATAGATACAAAGTCTTGATAACGCGTATGCAAGGTAGCTTAAATCCAGTATTCAGGTACCAATATCAAGAGAAAAGATGATTTGCCGGCGACCAGAGAAGCCCGCAATCCTAATCTCTTGGCTACTATTACACATGCGTGGCACGCAGAATGAATGGAGTGAATGGAATGCTTAGAACATGATCTGAGCACACGGGTCGAGCCGCGAGGGAAATTTACCTTAACCAACGAGGAGCACTACACAGATCTCTGGGTAGTGACGCGTCATCAGTGTAGACTCTCTGCAGTCGTTCCTCAGACATCATTTCCCGAGAAAACCATTGGTGGTGTCGTGAAATGGGGGCTGTTTTCTCAGACTAAATCTGATCAAAAGACTGCGTTGGAGCAAGAGCGTTTTGACGTTTAATCATGTTGGAAGGGGGGGATAACCTATACTGTGCATTTTTGTTTTAACACTTCATAGATATCTGCACTGTGAATCAGAAAGATCTGTTTTAGCCCTAAAAATGGAGTCGTTTCGGTGAGTAAAACACAGTCCTATTTATGAGTCTAATCTGGCTCCCTTAAATCAGGGCCAATACAGTCCAATTATCTTGGGCTGATTTGGACCCAAGGGCTGAAATAGCCTTTTGATTGAGCTGTTTAGGCCTCAATTGTGCTCAGATGGCTCCAGAAGGGGTTGAATCAGACTTTTGCCTGCAGTGCTGAATTGAAACTTTGGAGGTGCAACAGATCTTTTTAACTTTCAGTGTGGAATGGTCGAAATGGGTTGATCTTTTTTTGACAGCTTGCTGAACACAGGCCTGCTTAGAGGGAAAAGGCACGAACGGGACTCACAGGTCCCATGCAAGGTGCCGTCCCGACCCAATCCCACAACCCGTAAAGGTTGGCCACACCACCGGGGTGTACGTCCGTAACCCTTCGAACAGTGGCGTGGGTTCTTTTAGAAAGTCTGACCATTTGCAGATGTCATTACAAAGGCAGCACTTTCTTCTCAGTTATTTAAAGACCCTGAGTATTGGTCAGGCTGGGGTTTGGACCCGCTATCTCCCACTCAGCAGACCGGTGCTCTTCCACCTGAGCTCACCACGTGGTGGTACAAACTCTACACCATGAAAGGAGCCTTACATACCACGGGTGTTTCACTGCCTCTTATTATTTCTATTGGAAGTCCTGTGAGAGCAGCTTTTCTGAAACAACAGAAAAGGACAATTTTTAATTATCTTCTTTTAGCTTCACAAAAATTTAAATAAATCATTTTTATATTTATGTATATAGTTAACAAGCTAAGTATAATTTTATGCCGGAAAAGATCTGACTGATCGCCAGTCGTTCGTTGCACCATCGCCACTTCATATTAGACACAATTATTTGTCGTTATTATTTCATTGTTACATCATGTTAGACAAAATTGCGTGCTTTTAGCTGTGGATTAGGGCAAGGGGACACTTACATATCTGACTATATGACGCTTGTGTATTGCTAATGATATAACCCAAACTCACTTTTTATCGAGCCGCACAGCTAAATTGTCATCAGGGTGAAGTTCGATGAACGTCTGGTTGCTATGACGACCCTTGACTAGTGTTTCAAGGCGTATTTTCTCAACGTAATGCAAGATCTCTGAAGGCCTAAACTCGCTTCGACGAATCGTACCTGAAAAAGGCAAGAGAATGCAAAAGCTACCTGATTCTGCTCAATACTTTTTGCAACTTCAATTGAGGATGTTGACAGAGAGAAGTGACGACAATTCTGATAGCTTTGTATAGTCCTCTCAATTCTAAACCAGTTTTGCTTTCGTAATGTACCATATTGCAATGCATGTTTAAGGGGCCCATCATATTACATTTTCTGCGAAACATCAGATTAATTGTGTAATCGAATAAACAAATGTTACACTCTCCGTCTACCTTGACAGGGCACTCGACGACTGTGTTTGTAAAGATCTATTTGGGGAAGCAAATATTGCCTAGAATTTTCTATTGCTTGAGGACGGCTAATTCTAGATGGCCATTCCATTCAGGAAGAATTTTCTCAGCATATCTAATAAATTCACTACTACTTTTTCACATTTTAATCCCCATGTTAGGCCAATTTTTGTTACAAAAAGGAAACCTAAAATTTTCGGATTAAAAACTTTGATATGAAAAGGAATAAGAAAAATCCTCTTTTTCCTAAAACGTTAAATTGCATCTAAAATTTTCGGGAGAAGAATTCTGAAACCCTTGTATAGTAATTTCGAAAAGTTCGCCTAGGATGACCGAACAGGTACAAAATTTAAAGCGCTGCTTAGAATGCATTTCTAGAGATCTAAAAGTACCCTGGATTCTAGCCTAAAAGTGTCAACGTATTTAGGAAGAAACCGTCGTTGGGTGCCCCTGCCTTGAGTTATATATAAAACGCCAAAACGTGAGATTTTTTTGTAAAGTGGGGCGGGGGCTTGATGAAAGATCATGAAAATTTTCAGCTACAGGTTCTTAAATAAAACCATTTTGACTACTCGAGTAGATTGCTGCAGTAAAATATAGCTTCTAAACATGATACCTTCAAACGGGAGCCTCTTTTAATAAGGGGAGATCGTCAAGTGCACTCTTTGCATACGGCCTTGACGGGAAATTTGTCGGACCTTTCTAAGAGAAGCACACTATAGCTTCCAGCTAGCGGTTCTGTTTTTTTACCTAAATTATGACTAACCTGGTTTGCGCTTTCCAGCATTTATTGATGTTAACCTGAAATTTATATTGGTCCATGGTGTAATTCTAGTAAACCTAGGCTAAGTAAAACTAAAGTCGACTCCCGATAACTCGAACCCTCGCAAACTCGAACCAAAATCGATTTCCCCTGAATTTCCTTCATACATTTACTGTAAGTTTACCCTCGGTAACACGAACCTCCCGCTAACTCGAAGTAATTTTCGTTTCCCTTCAGATCATTTCTATACAATTTTAACCTTGAAAACTCGAACAATGCAGCGAGCTGCAGTTCAAAAGAATGAATTTATTTCGAAACAACCCTGTATTCCTTGTCTTTACTTTTTTGTCAGTCCAATTGAATAGAATGTTTATCCATGTGCTGATTAATCAAGCTCTTTTTAAAATTCCTTTTCCAAAATAGCAATATATATCTTGCTGCTCTTGAAGTGAAGTGTGCATGATACTTGCATTCCTCCCTCATCCCCTTTCCTTATTTCTAGTTATTTGCTTTGATCTCCCGATAACTCGATCTTCCGCTAACTCGAATTTTTTTCGATTTTCCTTGAAGGTTCAACTTATCGGGAGTCGACTATATTTCGAAGGTTAGAGAGGGGTCAGGGGATAGGTAAGCTAGGAACTAAGTATTTCAACTAAGCCGCAAAAGATCCAGTTCCTCAATGCGATTGGATACATGGTTAGCCTATTTCCATCCTCCCTGAATTGTCTGGTTTCGAAGTCTCTAGAAGCTTGAGTTTGCCACCTCAAAATTGTCTTTCGCGTAGTTTCGATCGTACTTTTAAGGACCCACAGTCTAAAACTGTCAGTCATGCAGGGGCACCCAAAGGGAAATTTTGAGAAAAAGACCTAAAAACAACAACAAAGCGTGAATAAAGTTTTCTGAGACTATTTTAAGTATTTTGGGAGATTGCTGGAAAAAAATTATCTGTTCCTCACTCCCAGCAAGACTGATGGAAGAGTTCCCAGCCAGCAACCTTACAACCTGCAACCTGACTTACTGGGAAGTTTCATAGGGCACAATTCAGATCTTGAGTGGTAAGTAACCCATACAAGTAACCCGTAGCAGCTATTCTAGACTTCAAATCCCCTCTGACACCCTGAATTACCTTTTTCCCAGCAACACTTTCCTTCCAAGGACTATTATTTCTTTCACATCTCCCAGCCAGCAAAAATGTGCCTGAAGAACAGATATTTTGAGGAACAGATCCATTGGGTGCCCCTGGTCATGTCTCCCTCGAAAGGAGGAGATACCGTGAGGTAAATTTCCCCTCGTCAAGTCGAGGATAGGCCCTGAGGATCGGAGAGATAATAAATCGCACAACATAATAAGACGTACCTAACTTTGCAGAAACCAGACAGGGTGATGAGGTGTGCATGTAAGTGCGCAGAATGCAGCTCACAACTTAGTTTTAACCGGCACCAAAGGCCATGCTGGCACTTAGTCTAAGGGCGACTAAAATAAGTCAGGTCTGGCAGGCCAGACCAGTCTTGCACTGTGGCGTAAAACGAATTCCCCATCAGTCTGACCTATCCACTGCAGGCAGATCTCTCTTTTTCTAAATAGTATGCATGGCACAGATGAGTTTTACCGACGACTTCCGAAACAGTCTATTTTCTTTCGTTTAGTTTAAAACAACCTGTCCGTCTGGCCAGTTCTGACTTTTTGTCAGCTCCATGAGACTACACTTAAACATATGAAGGGGTAAATAATGAAGCTCTACTCACATTTTCTTGACGTCGTTCACTGTGAAATGTAAGTCGCGAATGTAGCGCATGCCCGAAATGACCTGTAATAAAGAATGACGTAAGAAATATGGATACGTGGATCTGATACCTAGTGAGGAGGGGCGTAAATTACCAAGTGGCAACTGACATTTTGAACACAGTAGTGTTTTAGACCAGTTCAAACACTTTCTAACCAAACTAACTTACGAGATATATTGAGCTTCGCATTTTTTTATACCTTGTGATGTATACGACACCAATACGCGCCCTGTGATTGTTCGTCGCTAATAACTAGCAGCTTTCGTATATATACCGCCGACAAACGCTGACCTCTTAGTGTGAAAGTGCATGTTTTCTTTCTTTTGTCCAGCAATGGGGCATGGGGTAATTTTCCCGAGTTGAGCTACTGTAGGCCTCGGTGCTGAAACAATGATATTTGGACATTTTTTTGAACATGAGACTGATGTTTTTTTTTTTCCAGATAAACATCAGTGCAAGGGTAATAAGGCGAGGTTCAGAAAAAACGCCACTATACGTTCTCCTCAACGTTTTAGTGTACGTTTTCACATCTACCAGCAAAAAAAACAAAACAAAACAAAACAAAAAACAATGCCAGAGAAAAAATGCAAAATCATCCCGCCGATAAACTGAAATCACTAAATTTTTTGCTGAGAAAAAGGATTTGGCGGTTTGGATAAGCAATAGAAAACGTTCTCCGTGTTTGCAAAGCCTGACATAAACACGAGAGGGGTTGCAAGAATTAGAGACAGTTATGTTCATGGCTCTTGTTTTGCAGAAAAGATGCTTTAAAAAATACGGATTTTCCTCGCTTAAAATGTGAGCTTAAGCGAAAAAAAAAAAAAGACACAGCATGTTTGTAAAGATTTAGGGCCTGTTTACATGGAGGTAGGGGACCCCAGGTAGGTGAGGTAACCTGCTTAGGTGGGGTAAAAAAAATAATCCTCCTTTACATGTAATCTTACAACCCCGCCATCCCGGGGTGCACTTTTTCAAGATTATTGAATGGTCGCTAAGCACGTAAACAAGAAAAATGCTGGCAAACCACGTGTTTTGGCGATTAATGCACTTCTACACTCCCTTGTTGATCTTGCTGCAACCTTCAGTGCAATGGCTTTCTATTGTTAACTTTAATAATGATGCAAAGCCACCGCCAAAGTGAATTTTGCGCGAATTTGATGTATCACGAATCCGACCCGTCCAGGCCGGTTACCCCACCTTGAAACGTTTACATGGCAAAATTTGACCGGGTTACCCCACCTAAGCAAGTTACCTCACCTACCTGGGGTCCCCCACCTTCGTGTAAACAGGCCCTTACCAAGTTTCAGCCGACGAGGGAATGGGTAAATAAAGTAAACGTGCCGAGTTTCCACCCCAAAACCTTTTTTCAAATTCGTGCTTCATGTGTGATTAGCGAGCCAAAAGTTAAACATCTTGACGTCACAACCATACATACCGTCATGAAAACACGCCTCTCGGTCAATTAGAGCGCGCGTACTATCTATAGTAAGTTGTTTTATAAAATTTAATCTCAGTATCAAGAAGTTTCTCTTCGCGACATCGTCTGGCGGAAATAACTTTTCAAACAGGAAGAGCAACAAAAATGAAACTGTAATACAAAAATGTTATACTGTTCTAGGTAGAACTTATACCTCATCAGAATCGATAACGTCGTCTCTGTTCAGATCCCACTGTTCAAAGGAGGTTTGAGAGAGCAGCTCGTCCATGGAATGGTGATAAACTTCACTGCTTTCGATGTTTCCGTGTTCCGCAAAGTGAAGAAGACGTCTGGACTCGGCTTCACTCAAGAAATTAGGAATTTCTGCGAACGAAATTTAGTTTTCAAGAAGTAAGTAGAATTAATATAGGAAGAATGAAAGTAGAATGAATGAATGTGGAAGGGAACTGTACATAAAACATACAGCTATTTTCAACCACTACTCTGTAATTTTCAGGGAGTTATAATAACTCCTCTAGTGGGGCTAATTTAACTCCTTATATACAGTGGAGTTATTTTTCGTGGAGTTACTTTAAGTCCAAAAAGGAGTTTCAAAAACTCTTTTTCAGGAGTAAAAGTGACCCCAGGTATTGAGGAGTTAAAATAACCCCAAAAAAGGAGTTATCCTGTACCTAAAATTTTTACTCCACTTTCAGAGTTAAATTAACTCCAAAAAGAGTAAAAACAACCCATGTAAGGAGTACAAGTAACCCCATTTCGGAGTAATTTTAGCTCCAGACTGGGAGTAGAAAGAACTCTTTTTCAGGAGTAAAAATGACCCCAAATTCGGAGTTAAATAAGGAGTTAAAATAACCCCCAAAAAGGGGTTTTCCTGTACTTAAAATTTTTACTCCATTTTTGGAGTTATAATAACTCCCTAAAAATTACGGTGTACCTACTATCCTGCTGAAAATAAAGTACATTAAACCATCTTTCTAATCTTTATTCCAGGCCTTTTATGAGGGCTCTTTGATTTATTTTGAACTATGCCTTTTTTGTATAACTAGACGTCAAACTAGAAAGAACGATAAAAAAATCTTATTTTTATTTTTTTAACGAACTTGCCCTGCGCCAAGATCGCTTTAACACTCCGGAAAACTAAACACGTTAATTTTCTGTGCATTAACAAACTCTTCGAAATAACTTTTTCGATCTTAAACGCGATAGCTACTAAACTTTGCAATGAACTATCGCTATTGGGACTGAAATAATTTGATTTTACTAAAGGTAAATATTTCAGCATTTAATTGGACCCTACGTTTCGAAGAAAATCGCATCTGGTGAAAAATATAGCTGATATTTTTTTTGCTGATAATTTTCTGGTATCAGCTTTTATTGATGTAATAGGCATGACAAAGATGTTTCAGAGAAATCGCTGGAGCAGAAGTCCATAACTAGAACGTCCTTCAGAATTTAGATGTGAAATTGTTTTTGAATTGCGACAACGCATTGCTCTGAGGTAGAACGAGCCGTCAATTAAAATTTTCGAGGCAATTATAATAAGTAATTCCAATGCCTGCTAATTCTTAAAATAAAGCCGACTACCTATAGTGCAATTTTTTGATAGGTACTCTTCAGTTTTAGAAGCACTATGAATAGCTCCAAATCTATCTCTAAGGTCGAATGACTCTTATAACATTGTAATATATTGAAATACATGTATGTAGCAGGAGATTGAACTACAAAAAGTAATCCAGAAGACTATTTCAAAAATGTCGCAGAATAAATCACTCATGTTCAGGAGGAATTTATAGTGTTTGCAAAAGAGACGAGCACTTGTTAATGAGTGTCACTATAGTTGATCGGCTTTGTTTTAAGAATTAGCAGGCACTGGAATTACGTATCTCGAAAATTCGAATTTTGGGCTCGTTCTACCTCAAAGCATTTCGTTGTCGAAATTCCAAAACAGTTCCACAGCTGAATTTTGAAGGACTTTTTGGTTATGGACTTCTCTAATTTCTTTGACATACTTGTTACATAAATAAAAACTGATACCAGGAATTTCAGGCCAAAATATCAGTAAAATGTTTCACAAAATGCAATTTTCTTCAAAACATGGGGTCCAATAAACGGCTGATTTCATAAAAAATACTCAGCAGCAGTAAAATCGGATTATTTTCCCTTATTGCTGAGTGATAGCTGTAGTTCATCGCAAGTTTTGTTGCCACCGCGTTAAAACCGAAAACGTTATGGCAAAAATTTCGCCATAGCTCAAAGCGTTTGTATCAACAACGGAGCCACCTTTAACTGACAAGAATTATAGAGCTAGGTTACATTTCTATCCCAAAAGTCATTGCTGGATTTCTAGTTACAGTTTTCTTTTCTTACTTCAACTTATTGCTAATTGATTAAAACTTGTCCTAAGTTTTATAGTCTCTTGTAGGATCTAGACGGCGATCTATATTGTTATTTCACCGTCTATTATCAGTATATGGAAATGTCGTAGGTATTAGACAGTTAAAAGATCTTTAATTACTGACAATTCCTGACTAGTCAATTTTTAAGGTCTATGGCAATTCGTGTATCCCTGCAAGACTAGGTTTTACGTCGACTACAAGGTACTTTGAGGGGATCTTATTATTTATCCTTGAACCATTTATTTCAATTAGAATTTAACGGAATGATCACGATAGAAAAGACTACTCGATAGCAAACTTACCAAATATAGGAGGTCTCACACTTAATGTTTTCACGGTGAAAGGTTTCTCCTCTCTCAAGAGCTCGATTTCCCGAAGATAACCAACCTATAATGTGATTTAATCGTTAACTCTAATAAAAGATGACAATCTCTGACCAAGAGATAAAAACGTTGGTTTTTTAACAGGACATGTGTATGGCTTACCTTGACGGGATCTAAACGCGGCAATTTTGTTCTCCTAACAATGCATGGCCCAGATCCTTCTCTAGACGCTGCTCTAGTTGTGTAACAAACGAACACAATTAAAACAGACGCCTTTGCAAAAAGATAGCTCAGTTTCGCCATTCACAAATACGATTCGAAAAAAATTGTAGCTTTGTTTCATATGTTTATGTATGTAAATATCAAAATTCCGAGATACCGAAATCGACCTTTATCGTCCGCGTGGACCATTATAAATTTTAACTGGTACCAGTTAAAAAACACGAGGACGGATTTTTCGTATTATTTAAATTATAGTTGCTCATTCTTATTACGAGTTTATTGCTTTATTTCAATAGTTTTAGAGTTATTTTCAAACAGATTTAGCCACTTTTTTCGACTTAAACAGCACATTGATTAAACATTTCTATGGCAACGAATAAATGCCTTTATTAACTATTCATAATACCTTGTGTTTTGCTCGCTAAAAATAAATTTGATTTTTATGGTTCTTTTCTTTTCTTTCTTCTTTTAATTCTTTTTCTTCTTTCGATTACTGATTTTTAGGAAATCGCCACAAAAAGAAGCTGCCAGTATTTTTTTATTAGCACCATTAATTCTTTATTTATTGCAAAACGGCTTTTGCTTCCTAAGTAACCTCCAGTTCAGTCATAAATGGTAAATCAAAAAAGTAAAGAAAAATGGGTTAAGGATTATCATCAAAATTATGCAAAACCGTATTGATATTAAGGGTTTCTTGGTAGACTGTTACAATGATTTATGTCAAGAAGAGTTTCCCAAAGAACGCTGGTTCCAAGCAGGGGCGTAGTCATAGTATCCACCCTACGAGAGATGCAACTGATGTACGGCATTCTTGGAGCGAGTTTTTATTCAATTCTGCCTCTAATATGAAAGAAAAGAATCAGAACAAATATTTAGTAAGGACGAAAAGCAGTATTCAACACTGGCCCGTGGATACCTTAAGGTGACTTCGCACAATTTAGTCACACCTGGACATAGACACTAGTCTTTATTTAGACACGTTCAAAAACATTAGTATAAAAAGGTAATAAAGTCTAATATTCTGGTTTAAGTGTTTTACGTGTGAATATTGGTCATTTTAAAATTCTCTTTTTATACCTTAATTAAAAGGGTTAATAACTTACGTAGGTCTGATGGCAGTCCATTCGAAAGGACAGCCCCTGAACACCCATGATTGCTCTTAAGAATAGTTACTCCTTGATTTAGGTACTGGATATTCTAAGAGCGACGGATGTTGGAACAAAGGTCACGAGCAGAGAACACATCTTGCATGTAGAGAACGCTTTTGCTTATTTAGCGTTTTGAACATGGTAACCGCCTTTTGTATCTCTGTTAACCGGAAACCTAATTCCATTAAAGCATCGTCAGTACTAGAGGACCAGAACAAGCGTTAGAGATTTTAGCAAATTATTTATGTATAATAAGAAAAGCAATGGACCAATTAGAGAACCAAGGGGAACACCGCCTGTAAATTGAGCGGCCGGGTGCATGGCCGTTGATACTACTTTGTTGACCTCCTGGAGGATAGATAGGAGGTGACCCAGACGACATAATCTTGATCCATTTTGAGTTAACAATTTTTGGTCAATATTAGTAGTGTCAATAGGCTGTCTTTAAAAGGCTGTCTTTAAATAGATAAGAATTAGAGCGTTAAATATTGACGGCAATAGTTTGTGGCTTTATGAGCGGTGCAGTTAGGGTATATACTGTGCAACAGTCGAAATCCTGACTTTCAGTTTGATAATAGACTGTTTGAATTTAGATTTTGCTCATAAATTAGTTTCTTTGGAAAAATTTGGGGAAAGAATAAATCCGCAAAAAGACGGAAATAGTGCAGGATAATCACTAGGAAAAGGAACGGCAACCGAGGAGTCCTGGGGACGAGGACACGTTTTTTGGTAAAAGCAGTACAAACTGGCGGAATATTTCACACGTTTCGCGAAGAAGAAATAGCCGAACTGCTGCCCAAAAACATAGCAAGAGCAGCAAATCCAAATCCAAGGGTTGACAACTTCCATTTGAAGAATCCCTGTGGGACAAAACATTTCTTTAAGCTGAATGTTCCTTAGAACAGACAAATGAAAACGGAAATTATATAAAACTTGACATCGATCGAGGTAAACATGTTTTAGGTTGTTTTTAATCTATGAATGATTTAGTTGAATCAATAATAAAATACGTATTCTAGTCTTATGATCTAAAGAGTCATGCAGATCTCGAACTCAGCATCATCCAATAACTGCTAATCATAAACTATCACATGCACATTTTTGAGTATACAATTGTGCGGAAAGATTAAGAAAAAAATACATCTGTACGCAATGTATTGTGTACTAAGAAGTGATTCGGGTAAATAAGACAACGAAGTGAATCACTAAAAACTGAAGTGCTTTCGCTTATACTAAGGCTTTTCTTAATTTTTAAAACTAGACATTATTTTTCTCGGTTTAGATCGGGTCTGCTTAAGGTCGTGGGCGATAACTTAGGCCCATTTATGCATTTATGTAAAGCGTATGCACGACGTACAACGACTGATATGGACAGGTTTACGAGATATTCATAGCTGTGGCACGGAAACTGCGAACAAAATGTTTTATTCAAAAGTAATATGGTAATGCAAAATTGGAAACGGACAGGGGCCCTATTTTTTAAACTACTACTCCTTTGCATGTCCGCTTAACGCGTAAAAGGATAGTCTAAATAAGATCTTTAAACCAACTTTACGTTTCAATTACGCTGGTTTAAGTCTCTACTTTAAAGCGCATTTACACCAACTTTACGCAGAGCTTAAAGTGTCTCTTTACTTAACGCATGTGCGTAAAGGTAGCGTAAAGTTCGACTTTACTTGGCGTAAATGGGTCGTAAAGTTACGTAAATGAGAACTTTACGCCAGCTTTACGTCACCATTACGCTCACTTAAATTTCTTTTTCTCGGCGTGCTGTGTGAATGGTAGCAAAAGAGATTTTTTAATCAATAAAAATAAGGTGCTTAAGACGAAAGTTTCAAAGAACTTTAATACCAAAACTCAAAAATCGCCTCAAAAATCCTTGAAAACATTGCAGCTTATCAACAGAATTAAATCGTTGAATGTAATTAACCATAATTACTCATTTTGCTTAGAACTCGTGCTTTAGTCGGGACACCTTCGGGAGTCCCCCAATTTTTTTTCCGACAATTTTGTGTCCAAGAGTTCAGAGCAGATACAAAACTTCGTGAGCTGGCCCTGCAGAGGGGTAAACTTGGTAGACTGTAGTGTGTCATGTATCTGCAGTGTCATGTATCTAAGAGTGCTTCATAAAAAGATTCAGGGATGACAGATTTTGCTCATTTAAACGATTATAGCTGTAGTCACACTACAGACTCTTTACCTAGGTAATCACGACTTGTTGACAGTTTACCTAGGGAAACTTGATTTTTTAAGTGTGACCGATTTTTCCCTAGGTAACTTACCTCGGGGAAATTTATCGTCTGGGTCTTGGATATGTCTCGAAAACAATAGAGTTTACCTTGACAGTTACCCCAAAGCAATAGCTAGGGAAAAATGAAATACCGAGGTTGCTAGCCAATAGACGCTGATCGGCGAAGGTCTTAATGACAGAACCGGACATAGATCACGCTGTGAAAGAAATTTTGGGGGCACGAGTCGTCTACGTCTTCGCCTTTCTTCACCTTGCACGTTGAATTAGCGTGAGAAATAACAGCGAGATAAAAGAAAAAAACGTCTCTTTGATCAGCTAGATCCCTGCGCATTTTGCCTTCTTGAATTTACGCTCCAAAAAATTCAGCTGGCGTGAAAACTTTGGGAGCCGATATCAGTAGTGTGATCTTCCCAGAACTTTTACCTAGGTAAAACAAAACCCGAGATGAATTTACCTCGGGAGATTTTTGATGAATTTGCCCTGGGTAAATCGGTTTTTCCTAGGTAAAAGTCTGTGGTGTGACCACAGCTTATATCTTGCTGGAAAACTTTAGATTATAAAATCTGCTCCATACATGACACATTAGAGGAATAGTATATAGGCCTATCATTTATTTATAAAATCACGGAGTGCTGTGTTCTACCCTTTCAGCAAACTTTGGACACAAACTCACGATTTCCCAATTTGGTGCAACTGCGGCTTTAAGCATTGCCGTAAAGGGCGATCTACCAAAGAGAAAAAAAACTATCATTCCACAATGTCTCTGTAAAATTGTTAACTCTGAATCGGTTTTAAAACAGTCGAGATATAAGCTTTTTAAAAGATGTTGCACAATCAAAATTTTGCCTTATAAATTTATCAATGGATAGGTGTTCCCCGCGGCCTTTAGCCTGAGTGTCAGGCCTTCCGAAGGGGCTAGGTGAGAGGAGATTTTAGATGGGGGAGGGGGAAGGGGGAGAAGAGAAAGCTCTCTCCCTTTTTCGCTTCCATCTTTCCCTCAGAAACGCCCAATACTCAGGCTACGCGGCCTCAATAGTTGATAAACTGAATTTGTCAACTGTTTAAAACTTCTCCTATCAAAATATAAATTTTATTTGACCACAACAGCTTGCTCTTGTTGACTAATAAGAAGTTGATAAGCCAATGGCTATTAAACGTTTTAGTGACGTGACACGAACAAGGACAGTCTGAAAGGGAAAAAGAGTTGACAAAATGAGACAAAGAATCCATTCAAAAAGGGCTCTTATCATTTAATATATTACTCAGAGAAAGGCCACGCTCCATTGAGGAACTCTGATGCCATTATAGCTAGATTTCTTTGTTGTTGTTGCTCTTAATTAGCCAGCGGTTGAATACGAGATCCAAGGAAACATAACGCTAAACTACTTGCCTTTTTTCATCGCCCCAAAAAGGTAAAATAGACGAATAAAAAACCGGTATCCTTTGAAAAAATAAAGCTGCAGTGTCAGTTCCGGCGTTTAATCGTAATCCCTATAATAACGACTGAACCTGTCACAAAAATATCAATAGCCTTATTATAATGACCGGCTTTTGTATTAATAATTTAAAAAAACCGAAGAAAATATTAAACAGTGCATCTAATGAAAAACAGAGGCAAAGCAATTAAACACCAGCTGCTTGGTAGGGCGTCCAATGTCTCACTGGCGAGTTCATTTAATTAGTATAGGAAAAAAAAGGAAAAGAAAGGTTGCATGTAGTTATACAGCGTTCACCTGTCCGGGCCTATTCATAGTTTTTGCAAACATTTTAGATTAGAAAGCAGTTTGTGAGTTAGTAGTTGGGGGAAATTTACTTGTTGTCAGACGGGAGAAGAGACGAAAAGAGACGTAGTCGCTGAGAGTGGTGGGAAGTGGTAAAATTAAAATACATGACTTCCACTGACGTCATCATAATCGAAATTTAGGATGAACTGATGCATCCCGTTTATTAAACGTCTGCTTAATAACCTAATTTCTCGGAGTCTTTTTTAATGACTATTCTAGCCTTCATAGCAGAAAACATACATTAAGTTCTAAATCTGTCGACTAGTTGAAATATTTTTTCTACGATATTTTCTTGCACCAAATAGATACTGAAATTACACTATAAATAGCCAACAGGGCGGAAGATTGCAATGACCGGTTAATTTTGCACTCTACTGCGGAGAAGAGAATTCGGGTTCGACAAACTGAGTTATTTGGAATGCCAACAAAAAGGGTGGTTGTTTTTGTTTATTATGATTAATATTATTAATACCACTTACATATTTATGAATTGGTCCTATATTGCGAGAGCAGTGTAAATAGATCGAAGCTTTAACTGTCTTGTAAGCATATACAAGCTTTGTTTAAACAGCAGTTGTTTTAACAATCACCTCAGTGTTACGAGAAGACGCCTTTAGAGCAACCGCGGCAAACATGAACATAACAGCAAACGGATCAAGTTCCTGGAGCTGCTATAGTCTGATAAATCCGGTAGTAGAAAAACTTGTACAAACAGTTGCCTCTGGTTTGATACTTGTTGTTTCGCTGGTTGGAAATTCTCTCATCGTAATAATTGTTTTCAAAACACCAACTTTAAGAAAACCGATGAATTTTATGATTGTAAACATGGCCATATCGGACCTGTTGTTTCCAATTATCCTGTTTCCTCTGAACCTGGTGGAGATGCAAGCTAACTTTTGGCTTATTGGTGATTCCCTTCATCAGATCTTGTGCAAGATAAGCTCTTTTCTTTTAATCGTTTCTGCGACAGTGTCGATTCAGAGCCTGATTCTGATAACAGTGTATCGATTTGGAGCTGTTGTGATGCCAATCCGCGGCTCTCCACTCATCAGTAAAAGTTATGGTCCATTCTTCATCATCGCCACATGGATCGTCGCAATAGCCGCAAACTCGGCCTATTTGTTTTCTTTCAAAGTTGTTATGAATGAACACCCAGGGGGAAAGGTAATGTGCACGATACAAAAATCATCAGCGAATAACTACCTCCTATCAAATTTCATTGCATTTTTTTACATTCCCTTTGTTTTGTTGACCATACTTTACGCTATCATCTTGATCAAGCTTAAGCAACACGCCCATCCGGGTGAACCGTCAGCAAACGCAGAGAAACAGCGGTCAAGAAAAAACCGAAACGTGCTTAAGATGGCCATTGTTATCGTTTTTGCGTTTTTTCTTTGCTGGATTCCCTTCATTACTAACCAAACAATATTACATTTTGCACCGAACAGTTCCATTTGGTACTCTTGCAATTTTTTGCTATACGATAACTTTACCTACTTCATGGCCGTCACAAACTGCGCCATCAACCCGATGATCTGCCTCATTTTCAGCAGTAATTATCGCCAAGGTCTTAAGAGACTTTTTAGTTGCTGTGCTGCAGTGCAAGAGTAGCTTTCGACAACTGATACCGATTCGAAGAGATTCGTGAAAGGCGATAAAAAATTGAGAACTATAAAACTGGGCCCAGTTTTCGAAGGCCGGAGAGCGCAAACCTGGGGTAAAATTTTAATCAGAGATTTTCTTTTGTTCAAAATTATTTTGTCGGATAATTTTCTCCATTCTTTTTAGAGCATCCAGTTATGAAATTTAGACAAAAACAAAAACAAGCACAAAAAAAGTTGAATTTGATTTTTTTTAATCTCTTCTATCTAAATTCAAATTTCGCAATAACCCTGGATTATTATCCCCGGTGTTAACAACCCGGCCCTGAATAACAACGAGCTTCCTAAATGCAAAGAAGTAGCGATGACGTCACTAATAACAAGCTACTAGGCGTGGTAGTATAGTCGTTACAATGTAGTTCAATGATGCCGTTTAAATCCTTGCTCGCAACATGTATTTTTTCTTGCTGTTTTGATTTATTAAAACTACTGCTACCCGCTTGACCAATTCGCTTATTAAGGTGGGCCTCCACATCTGTTTCCGTGTCGGTGCGCAGGAACCGTGAAGGTAGCAGAACAGGGTTACCATGGCGTCACACCCCTGCACGACACCAAACCTGAGGAATGTCACTGCTCTTCTCTTAGCATTTCATGTAAGAAACCTTGAAGCCACACACAAAAGATCAAGAAGAAAAAGAATCAGACAGAAATAGACGGTTCGCAGTTCCCTATTTTCTCGTAAGATCGTCAAGATCGAGCATTTACCGGTACGGACGGCCATCTTGGTTTTATATGTACTCAAGGGGCGGGCGTCAGGGTTTAAAGCGGTAGTGGGGGAGGGAGGGGGGGTTTGGTGAGGCGAGGAAAATAGAGACACTTGCAAAATACCGTACTTTGCGTATGCGCAGTTTGTTCGGAGTTCACCATGCTTCTTATGCTTGTTGCGTTTTACCCGTTGAAATTCGCCTTCTAAAGACGTGAAAAGAAGAAGAAAAAAGAAGAAAGAAACTGGTAAGGAGCATATCATTGAGAAAGTACAACATTCAGAGTGGGCATCACCAACAGCTCCTATTGTTAAAGCAAATGGGGACCTGAGGATTTGCGGGGGAAACTCTGTTACCATCAACACGTTTCAGCCCTAGAACAATACTCTGTACCAGCCTCTGGATTCACGCGTCATTGTCCCAGAGTAATCAAGGGGCATTTTACTAGCCGACCTACATACAGAAAACCTTGGAATGGTTAAAATGAAGCAGTTAACGTGAGGATACTTTTGGTGGCCAGGACTTTATAAGCAAACTTTATAAACACTTTAATTCTTGTCAAGAGTCTGCTAGTCCCAGCCTCAGTCTCTCCTGCCTCGTGGTCGTGGCCAGGGGGACCCTGGGATCGTTTTCACGTAGACTTTGCAGGACCTAACCGAGGCAAAATGTTCTTAGTTGTCATAGATGCTTATTCGAAATTTTTGGAAGTAAGTAGTGTCAATTGCTGCCTTAAGACATTTTGAGTTATTTTGGTTTATCCAGCATCTTGTAACTGATAACGGGAGCCATCTAACAAACGATGAATTCCAGCAATTTCTTAAAGAGAATGACATTTTTTATCATGACTCTCACTGCTCCTGGGCATCCTGCGACCAATGGGTTAGCGGAACGCAACGTGGGATAATTCAAGGATAAATTAGGCGGAAATACGCCGGGAAAGACTTTGTAAAAAATATTGGACAGGTTTCTGTTGATGCAAATGAGCTACACCAACAGCTTTAGGGAAGTCACCCTCCGAATTACTTATTAACAGAGAGCCTACTCATAAATAACATTTTTCCCTCTTAGGTTGGTTGCTTAGTGGATAAATTCGCAGACTGGGAGACCTTTCACCTGTTTAAAACTAATCTTCCGTTCAAATATGAGTGTTTTATCTGACCACAACAACTTGTTCTAGTTAGCTAAAAGGAAGATGGAAAGATAAAAAGATTGAAAGCTAATGGCCTTTAATAGGTTTAATGACAGGGACACACCGACATTGAAAGAGAAACAAAGTCAGAGTTGGCAAAAAAAGACAGAGAACCCATTCACCGAAAAAGTGCTCTTGTAATTTAATATATTATAGAAAGAAAAGCCGCGCCCCATTAATGAACTCTGATGCCATAGCTAGATTAAATCCTTTTTCTTCCTAACTAGCCAGCGTTTGATTTCAGAATCTAGGAAACGTTTCGCGTAACATTTCGTTTGTTTGTTTGTTTGCTTTTTTTATTCTAATACCCCTCCCCCCCCAAAAAGAGACAAATAATGACTTGTTTGTTTGTATTTTAAAGTTGTTTTGTTTAGTTTCATTTTTTTACCTCTTGGTTTTAAAAAAGCCCTTAGTGTGGGACGACTAGAATTATTTTGGGCAAATCGCCTTGACAGTGATCTCAAAAGTGTTAATTACATCGTCAAAGATAAAACTGACCAACGGTACATTAGTTTTTATTTATTGTGATATCTCATTTAGAATGTAGTACAGGGAAATCATCTTTTCTTATTCATGTGTTTTTAAAAAAATGTCGATTTTCGGTGGGGAGCACAGTTTGGAGAATATTTGCAAATGAAGAGGTAATTACTGAGTTGTGGGAAAAAAAGACGATTGTTTGCTGATTACAGCAAGTCCATTTGGAGGCGCCGGGGGATACTGATTTGACATAACACAGTTTGCGCTAATCAAACAAATACGCTAAAACAGCCTAAAAAGTCGCTTATTAAGGTGGGCCTTTTAAAAAAAGACTGCAGCATCAGTTCCGGTCTTTAATCGTAATCTTAGTTTCGAAATTACGAAATAACATGCCACAAAACTTTCAATAGCCTAATTATGATCAGCTTTCGTATGAAAAGAAAGAAAAATGTTTAGTAATTTAGAAATATTCTCAATTAAACAGTGCATCTAATGAAAAACAGGGGCTAAGCAAATAACCAGCTGCTTGGTAGTGTGGGATAAAAAATAGTAGCATGAAGTTTTACAGACTTCACCCTGCAGATCCTATAGTTTACGGAAACAAGAGAGTAGCTGGGGAAAATTTACGTGTTGTCAGACGGGAGGACGGGAGGCCTGGAAATTACTAGTATGAGAAGAGACGTGCTCGCTGATCGTCGTGGGAAGCGGTAAAATTAAAATGCATATTAAGCTATATTGACTTCTGAATGCGTCAATAAAATGAAAGTTTTAAGGGGAAAAAAAAAGTAAAAAAACTGCTCCATCCCCTATATTAAACGGCTGCAAATGATAATTTTCCTCAGTCTTTTAAATGGCTATGCTAGCTGTTGACATAGCAGAAAATATATACTAGTTGTTATAGTGACGTTATTTCTAAAACTGTCGACTAATTGCACATCTCCTTTTTACCATACTTAACTCGCCTCGTATAGAAACTGAGATAACATAAATATTCAGTCCCTTTTTAATTTATATTTATTTATTTTTATAAAAGGTTGGCGTGATACCTTATCGATTTTTTTTACTACCGATCAAATTACGAAATATAGGTGTAGACAAGGGTGGAAACATTTTCTCCCTTATGTGAATTGAAAAGAAAATATGGCGATTTTCAGTCGGGAGCACAGTTTGCGTAGGGATATTTGCAAATGCGGGTTACAGGAGTTAATTATTGAGTTGTGGTAGAAAATCGTTTTTGATTATTTTTTTTATTAACCTCTCTTGAATCTACGCTAAATTGGCAAAAAAAAAAAAAAATAAATAAATAAAATACTCAGAAATGTCCCGTGTGTTACATTCATTGTTTGTGGCTAAAAGAGGCATCCATAAATGACAAGGAGTCAATTTAATAAAACTTCTACACGTGTAATTTACAAGTGTAGCTATTGTTCTCAGTCTCGATGGCTACACTTGTTAATCACACGTGTCAAGTGTGGAAGACGTAAAATAAAAATGCTTGTTAAGCTATATTGACTTCTGCTTCCGTCATTGCATTTGAGAATTGAAAAACCGATGCATCCCTTTTATTAAACGTTTGCTAAATAAATTAATTTATCTGAGCCTTTTTAATGAAAATTCAAGCCATAGCAGAAATTAAAACATAGTAGGTTAATTTCTTAAACTGTTGACTGTGTGGTGCGAATTTCCTTTCTACGATTTAACTTGCACGACATTGATATTGAAAGCAAATTAAATAGCCAATACGGAAAGACGGTTTTTTTTATAAAGCATGGGTTAGTAAAAGCATTTTAAGAATTAAAGATATCTTCAATGCTCACGATCGATAACTTCCTATCTTTCCAGCTCTCTCCAAGACCTTAAAGATACTTTCAACATTCGTGGTACCTTTCTGGATCACCGTGGTCTTCTGGCCACGATTCCTAAAGGTTGGAAAAATGCTACCTTACATGACAATCAGGAACACACCAACGAACAAACGGTGACATAACTAACCGTTGGAAATGTTTCAGCAAAATATGCTCGACTAAACGGTTCGCTCAGAAATCTTTCTGCCCTCCATTAACTGAATCCTATTTAAGAGAAAAAACATTCACTCCTAGTGCCGTATACGAGCTTCCATTCAAAATCACTATTGCCGTTAAAATTTTTTGGGAAAAAGTCATAGATCGGTAGAATCGCAAACGTTCTGAAAACATTAATACCAATCCAACGGAAGTTCTTTGTGGATACAAACCTGAATCTAACAGCTTTCATACTTTTAACGCTTATCTCTTAATCGCTAGATATTACGTTTACTTAGCTAGAAACAAGTTTGAGACCCCAGAACTGGAGGTTGCTTAGTGGATAAATTCGCAGACTGGGAGACCTTTCTCCTGTTTAAAACTAATCATACGTTAAAATATGAGTGTTTTATCTGACCACGACAACTTGCTCTAGTTAGCTAATAAGAAGATGGAAAGATGAAAAGATTGAAAGATAGTGCCCTTTAAAAGGTTTAGTGACAGGGACACACCGACACTGAAAGAGAAACAAAGTCAGAGTTGACAAACAAAGCCGACAGAACCCATTCACCGAAAAAGGGCTCTTGTAATTAGATATTATTAAAGAAAGAAAAGCCGCGCACCATTAAGGAACTCTGATGCCAAAGCTAGATTTTCCTTTTGCTTCCAAATTAACCAGTGGTCGAATGCGAAATATAAAAAACGTTACGGTAAAAATTTCGTTTGCTTGTTTGTTTGTTTCTACTTTAATGCCCCCAAAAAGAGGCCACAACTAATGACTTGTTTGTTTGTATTTTAAAGGTGCTGTGTTTAGTTTTAGTTTTTCACCTCTTGGTTTTGAAAACTGCCCTTAGTGTAGGACTAAAATTTTTTGGGGCAAATTGCCATGAAATTGGTCTCAAAAAATGTTATTTAGAATCGTCTAAGATAAAACGGACCAACGGTGCAAGAACAGTTTATGGTGTACACATGCCGAAATCAAACTGATATCTTTCGAATGCAGTATATACCCATACATTCTACCTATAAAGTTACTTATACATTAGTTTTTATTTATTGTGATATCTCAACCATTTTATTTTACTACCGGTAATATATTTATAAAATGTAGAATGTAGTAGAGGGAAATCATCTTTTCTTATTCATGTGTTTGAAAAAAAAAATGTCGATTTTCGGTGGGGAGCACAGTTTGGAGAATATTTGCAAATAAAGAGGTAATTAGTGTGTTGTGGAAGAAAAAGACGATTGTTTGCTCGTTACAGCAAGTCCATTTGTACTGATTTGAATTTACACGGTTTAGGCTAGTTAAAACAAATACGCTAAAAAAGCCTAAAAAGTCTTGAGTATCCTTAAAAAAAGGCTGCAGCTTAGTTCCGGTCTTTAATCGCAATCTTAGTTTTCTAATTACGAAATAAAATGTCACAAAACTTTCAATAGCCTAATTATTTATGATCGGCTTTCGTATAAATGATAATAAAAAAGCCGACGAAAAATGTTTAGTAATTTAGAAATATTCTCAGTTAAACAGTGTATCTAATGAAAAACAGGGGCTGAGCAAATAACCAGCTGCTTGGTAGTCAGGTGGGGAAAAAAATAGTAGCATGAAGTTTTATAGCCTTCCCCGTCCAGAGCTTATAGTTTACGGAAACAAAAGAGTAGTTGGGGAAAATTAACGTGTTGTCGGACGGGAGGCCGGGAAATTTCTAGTATGAGAAGAGGCGTAAGTGCTCGCTAATCGTCGTGGGAAGTGGTAAAATTAAAATGCATATTAAGCTATATTGACTTCTGCTTGTGTCATTATAATTAAAGTTTCAAGGAAAAAAAAGGTAAAAAACTGTTGCATCCCCTTTATTAAACGCCTGCAAATAATAATTTTGTCAGTCTTTTAAATGGCTCTGCTAGCTGTCATAGCAGAAAAGATATACTAGTTACTAGAGCGACGTTTTTTGTAAAACTATCAACTAATAGCACATCTCCTTTTTCGCCTCGAATAGAAACTGAGATAGTATAAATATTCAGTCCCCTTTTTATTAGTCAAAGTTTTATATATGTATTTATTTATTTTTATAAAAGATATAAAAAACTGAAAGCGATTGGAAGAGATTTGTGAAAGATGATCAAACATCAAGAACTATACAATAAATTGGGCCTAGCTTTTCGTAGGCCGCATAGCGCAAACCTGGAGTTAAATTTTAATCCGCGTTTTTAAGATAATTTTCTCCATTCTTTTTAGAGCATCCAGTAGTCAAATTGTAGACAAAAACAAAATGTTCTTGAATTTGCTTTTTAAGCTTTCATATCCGAATTCAAATTTCGAACTAATAGGGGTTATCTTAACCCCGCGTTAAACAACCTGGCCCAAGCGCTGAATAGTATAATTATTCATAATGCGCTCCCTAAATTTGAAGAAGTAGCAATGACCCTGCTAATAACAAGATCATACTAGGCGTGGAATTAGAGTCCGTAAACTGTAGTTTAATGATGCCTTTTAAATTCTTGCTCAGAACATGTAGCTTTTTCTTGACGTTTTGGTTACTTAAAACTACTGCTACCTGCTTGACCAATTCGCTTATTGAAGTCGGCCTCAGTTGCCGACTGCCTGTGCGCAGGACCCATGAACATAGCAGAACTGGGGTCACCAGGCGTCACAGCCCTGCTTGACAGCAAAACCAGAGAAATCTTACTACTCTTCTCCTAGCATTTCATGTATTAAGAAACCTTGAAGCCACACACACACACACACATACACACACACACACACACACACACACACACACACACACACACACACACACACACACACACAAAACAAAGAACCAGACAGAAACTTCTTCAAGATATCTGATAACATACTGTTTATCTCAATAATCATCCACATATGCTTTCTTTTTGTCTTCCCTTTTGCAGCAGTGACCTACAGTGGGACACACTTGAAACAATGAGAAAACACGCAAGGCTCTCCACTATGTACAAGATGTGCCACGGCCTCCTAGATGGGGACTGGGGGGATTATTTGAAAACAAGCAAAGAAAGGAGAACCCGGGGAAGCCATGATTTTAAATTTATTGTACCGAAAGGACATAAAGATATTTTTAGACTTTCTTTTTTTCCCAGGACAATAACTGAATGGAACAAACTTCCAGAAGGAACTGTTTCCAGCCAATCCCTCTGTATTTTTAAAAGCAAACTAATTTAGTTTTCTTTTTATCAGTGGTTTTTTAGTAGTTTTAATAGTTTTTTAATAGTTTTTTATAGTTTTGTATATTCTGGTATAGTTTTATTTATTATTATCTTAGAGTTGGCGTGATGTCCCAAACGATTTTGCCGACATAACGATATTTAGATTTAGATTTAGATTTAGTGTTGACCTTGCAATGAAACGTTAATTCTGTGCGAAAATTCCTTGCCGCCCAAAGGCAAATTGACATGAGGAGGGAACAAAACGACGAAGTTTAAGGAGTCTTATAAGATTTGTATTACGGAGCCATTTAGTAAAATGGAACCGGCTACATTTATGGCAGATCTTAGGAAACGTAACATCTTTTAATATTTTCTGCTTTATTATTTGTCTTTTCTGAAACTCTTTAACGTCTACTGGCTGGGACAGATCGATGGAGTAGAGAGCAACCATTATTACTGACTGGTTTTAGTTTTTTTTTCCAAATGTGAATGTCTTTAATCAAAGGGAGTATCTCATGCCCGTACGGCTAGATATCTGTAGCATAGGCAGTTTTCTTTGTTTTTGTTTTGTTTGTTGTTTTATTCTTTCATGTAATGTTGCTTATGTTTTCTTTCTATTATCGTTTCATTTTCCTTTGTGTTGTTTTTAGGTGTAAATGATGCGCTTTTCTCTCAATTAGCCTATGACTTTTTTTTTCTAAGCTAACACTCTTAGTTAAAAATTGGAATATTTTACACACAAACAGATCATCTACGTGAAGATCATATCTGAATCTCCCGTTTTAAATCTAGAACATGTACTAATAATATATATAGATAGTATTAGATCACCTGCCGAATGCGCATTGCTTCTCTGACGACACGCAACTTTACTTGTCTTGCGATCCCTACAGTCTTACGGATCAAGCGATGGCATTGGAAGCCATGGAGCGATGCATTAGGGATTTACGTAAATGGATGTACCGGGACAAACTAAAGATCAACGATAATAAAGCTGAATTTCTTGTTATCGGATCGGACAACAGTTGCTGAAAATTCATCACTGTTCTGTCCGTGTTGGCACTATTGATATTAAGCCTGTTAAAGTAGAGCGTAACCTCAGCGCCTGATTCGCACGCTAGGAAGCAGAAAGTACACCACAATACCAATACAACGCACCATTGAAAACGTCCTTATAGACCGTCCGCGCTGCTGTATCCGTATGACAATTCATAAGTGGCAAAGACAATGTGTATGCAGATTTTTTTGTCCAGGAAACCCATGAAAACTCAGCCATCTGCTGAGGAACAAGTCACTGTAAATGTCGTGTTTCTCGAAGGAGACCAGTTTTTAAATGCTTCTGTAGTTGCTATGGAAACTAAACAGCACTCAGTTCTCAGCAAGATGTTGCAGTATACCTAGGAGGGTTGGCCAGATAACCCAGTACTTCAACTTTACTAAAGAAGAAGGCTTGACCTCTCCCATGAAGAGGGTTTACGCCTATGAAATTCATCCGTCATCGTCCCACAGAAATTACAGGGCATTTTACTAGCCGACGTACACACAGAAAACCTTGGAATGGTAAAATAAAGAAGTTAACGCGAGGATACTTTTGGTGGCCTGGACTTAATAAGCAAACTTTATAAACACTTTAATTCTTGTGAACAGTCTGCTAACTTCCCAGCCTCAGTCTCTCCCGCCTCATGGTAGTGGCCAGGGGGACCCTGGGATCGTTTTCACATAGACTTTGCAGGACCTGACCAAGGCAAAATGTTCTCAGTTGTGATAGATGCTTATTCGAAATTTTTGAAAGGGGTGTCCGTCTATGTCACAACACAATTGCTGCTTCAAGACATACTTTTAGTTATTTTGGTTTACCCAACATCTTTTAACTGATAACGGGAGACATTTGATACAAATGGACCACACACACAGCTTTAGAGAAGTCACCCTCCGAATTACTTATGAACAGAGAGGCTACTCATAAATAACATTTTTCCCTCTCGGGTTGGTTGCTTAGTACATAAATTCGAAGACAGCCAGGGGACCTTTTACCTGTTTAAAACTAATCTTCCGTTAAAATGTGAGTGTTTTATCTGACCACGACAACTTGTTCTAGTTAGCTAAAAGGAAGATGGAAAGATGAAAAGATTGAAAGCTGATGGCCTTTAAAAGGTTTAATGACAGGGATACACCGACACTGAAAGAGAAACAAAGTCAGAGTTGACAAAAAAAAGACAGAGAACCCATTCATCGAAAAAGGGATAAAAATCAAATATATCAAAGAAGGAAAAGCTGTCCTTCATTAAGGAACTCTGATGATTTCCCTTTTTTTTCCTAAATAGCCGGTGGTTGAATGCAAAATCTAGGAAACGTTACGCTTAACATTTCATTTTTTTTTTAAATTAAAAGCTCCAAAAAAGAAGCCACAACTAATGACTTGTTTGTTTGTATTTTAAAGTTGTTGTGTTTAGTTTCAGTTTTTCACCTCCTGGTTTTCAAAAAGCCCTCAGTGTAGGACGACGAGAATTATTTTGGGCAAATCGCCGTGACAGTGGTCTCAAAAATGTTAATTAGAATCGTCAAAGATTAAACTTACCAACGGTGCAAGAACAGTTAACTCACCTGCAGAAAGCAGACTGACATCCTTCGAACGCAGTATATACCCATACATTCTACTTACAAATAAAGTTACTTATACATTAGTTTTTATTTCTGATGATATCTCAACTATTTCGTATTTTACTACCGCTAAAATATTAATAGCGGAGCTCTCGCGTGCGAAGCGGGCAGCGGAGCACTATGGGTAAGAAAATGTGGTAAACTACCCATCCAAGAAAATTTGGTAATCACGTGACCGTACACCGAGCGAGCGAGCGACCGTCCGTCCGCACCACAGGCATACCAATGTAAAATAACTCAATCAACAGGTATGGCAACCCAAATGCGACTCAAAGTTTTATTTAGAAGAAAAAACAACAACAAAGTCGTGTCTTTGTCGGCGTTATTTTTTATGTTTACATTAACGTGGACAACAGAGAAAGAGCTAGAGCGAGTTATTGAAAACAAAGGAGACGAATTTCTTAGGAAGAAAAACATGGAAATTCAAAGCGGCGGTGAGAAAATGAGAAATGCTAGCGACCAGCAAGGTGAAAATGAGCGGCAATGAAAAATAAAAGCGAACATGAACACAGGAGACAAAATATTGGGTAAGCACATACGACAATTCCTCCATGAAAACAATGTGTAACTAGGAAGTTTGACGTTTTAGCCGTACAAAAGAGCGCTGTTGTCGTGCAAAACAACAACAAGGGAAAGACAAAAAAGCGTGCTGCACGTGCAAATTTTTTTTTGCTAATTAGAAGAAAAAGTGTACTGCAAGTGCAATTTGGTTTTTTTGCTAATTACATCTATTAGTCTTGAAGCCATATTCATTGTCGTCAGCGTTTAGCATTACACGATTTAATTTTTTTTTGTTTACACGTATTATTAACCAGAGCTTCGCTTTTAGCCCTGGCTAAATCTATATATCAAAATGTAGAATGTAGTACGGGGAAATGATCTTTTCTTAATCGTGTGCCTTAAAAAAAAAATTATCGATTTTCAGTGGGGAGCACAATTTGGAGAATATTTACGAATGAAGAGGCTATTACTGAGTTGTGGAAGAAAAAGACGATAGTTTGCTCGCTACATCAAGTCCATTTGGAGGCGTCGGTGAATGCTGATTTGACTTTACATGGTTTGCACTAGTTAAAACAGCTTAAAAAGTCTTAAGCATCCTTTAAAAAAAGGGTGCAGCTTCCGTTACAGTCTTCAATCGTAATCTTAGTTTTCTAATTACAAAATAACATGTCACAAAACTTTCAATAGCCCAATTGTGATCGGCTTTCGTATGAATGATAATAAAAAGCCGAAGAAAATGTTTAGCAATTTAGAAATATTCTCAATTAAACAGTGCATCTAAAGATAAACAGGGGCAACGCAAATAACCTGCTATGGGATAAAAAATAGTAGCAGTGTGGGATAAAAGATAGTAGCATGAAGTTTTACAGACTTCATTGTCCAGAGCCTATAGTTTACGGAAACAAGAAAGTAGTTGGGGAAAATTTACGTGTTGTCGGACGGGAGGCCGGGAAATTACTAGTATGAGAAGTGTGGGAAGTGGTAAAATTAAAATACATATTAAGCTATATTGACTTCCCCTTGCGTCATTATAATATTAAAGTTTTAAGAGAAAAAACAGAAACAAAAAAACTGACACATCCCCTTTATTAGACGCATACAAATACAAATTTTTCTCTGTCTTTTAAATGGCTATGCTAGCTGTCATAGCAGAAAATATACATCTAGTTATTAGACGTTAATTTCTAAAACTGTCGACAAATTGCACATCTCCTTTTTACCATACTTAACTCGCCTCGTATAGAAACTGAGATAATATAAATATTCAGTCTCTTTTTAATTAATGTTTATTTATTTATTTATTTTTATAAAAGGTTGGCGTGATATCTTATCGATTTTTTTACTACCGATCAAATAACGAAATATAGGTGTAGACACGGGGTAAACAGTTTCTCTCGTATGTGAATTGAAAAGAGAATATGGCGATTTTCAGTCGGGAGCACAGTTTGCGTAAAGATATTTGCAAATGCGGGGTACAGGGGTTAATTATTGAGTTGTGGTAGAAAAAGACGATAGTTTTCTCGTTATAGCAAGTTCTTTTGGCGGTGAATACTAATTTTACATGCACCTTTGACGCTACGTAAAGAATCTACGCTTAAATACCTGAGATGAAGGGGGGGGGGGGCGGTCTTCGGGCCTCAGTTTGGTCCAAAAATAAGGGGGGGGGGGCTTCCCTGGATCCGCCACTGCCCTAATTAAAATGTTGAATATCCTTTGAAAAGTTTAGAAAACAAAGCTGCAGCTTCTGAGTTCCGGTCTTTAATAGTAGTCTTTGTAATTATGATCGTCTTTCGTAATAAAATGATAAAGAAAAACCTTCGAATTTAGAAATATTCTCAATTAACAGTGCCTCTCAGTGATGACAAACAGTAAAAAAGGGCGGTTTTGATTGGCTTAAGTTAAATATGAATAATCTCAGTTACGTAATAATGAATGTTGGAGCTGCTATGGTCTGATAAATCCGATCGTAGAAAAACTTGCAAGACAGTTGCCATTAGTTTGATACTTGTTGTTTCGCTGATTGGAAATTCTCTCATAGGCTTGATTACCAGCCGCTTATCGGGAAAATGAGCTCGCACTCACCGCCCCGAATGGGGAGGATCAAAGACCGGACCCCGGAGACGGCGGAAATCGAGCCTAATTCTCTTATCGCAATAATTGTTTTCAAAACACCAACTTTAAGAAAACCGATAAATCTTATGATCGCCAACATGGCCATGTCGGACCTGCTGTGTCCAATATTTCTGTTTCCTCTGAATCTGTTAGAGATGCACTTGGCATATTAGTGATCCACTTTAAGATAGGCTTCTTTCTTTAAACCGTCTCCGCTGCAGTGTCGATTCAGAGCCTGATTCTGATAAGAGTGGATCGATTTGCATTGGAGCTGTTGTGGTGCCAATCCGTTCCCCACTCATCAGTAAAAGGCATTGTCCATTCTTCATCATTGCCTCATGGATCGTCGCAGAAGCCGCGTACTCGCCGTATTTGTTTTCTTTCAAACTTACTGAACACCCTGGAGGGATGGCACGGTGCACGAGACAAATATTACCTACGAACATTTACCAACACCTAGCAGTTTCTGTTGCATTCTTTTACATTCCCTTTGTCTTGTTGATCATACTTTACTCCATCATCCTGATCAAGCTTATTAAGCAACACGTCCATCCGGGTGAACATTCAGCCGACGCTGAGGAACAGCGGTCAAGAGGAAACTGACACGTGCTTAAGATGGCCTTTGTTATCGTTTTTGTGTTTTTTCTTTGCTGGATCTCCTCCGTTTCTAACTGGACAATATTACATTTTGCACCGAACAGTTGCATTTGGTTTTCTTGCATTTTTTTACTATACGATAACTTTACCTACTTCATGGCCGTCGTAAACTGCGCCATCAAACCGCTCATGTGCCGCATTTCATAGCAGTAATTACCGCCAAGATCGTTTTAGTTGCTGTGCTGCAGTGCAAGAGTAACTTTTGAAAACTGGTAGCGACTGGAAGCGATTCGTGAAACATGATCAAAAATTGAGAACTATACAACTGGGCTTAGTTTTCGAAGGCCGGAGAGCTCGAACCTGGGGTTAAATTTTAATCCATTTTCTTTTGTTTCAATTCTGTGTTTTATGAAGGTGACAAGGGTTAAATGTCGTTAATTCGAATTTCATTCGGCCGTTATGATCGACGACTTTGGTCTACATCTTATAACGATGGCAATTTTGGGGCGCAAATGAAAATTCGCGGCGACACTTTAGGTCATTAGAGGCAAGCAATCTCGACCATATTTGGCATCGACCTTCGCAAATTATCTGGCTTTGATTTTCCGGAGGCTGGGTGGCGAGGGCCGCTTTGAAGTGGGAGATATTGAACAAAATTCAGAGTGCGTTGTGCTGCGGTCCGCCGCCTAGTCGTTTTATCACTGGGCTGAAGGGCACACCCAAATTCGGTTCCGCTCGGTCGTCTACGCAATATCCGGGCACTTTCACACACGGGCACTGTTAATTGTTCACCCAGTTTAACCAGAAGGCGTTGCGTGTTTTGACCATTTCAGAGTAGTATGAGTGGCTTTCGTTACTTTTATGGGGACCGTCTCTTTATGGAGGAAAAAACTAACTGAATGCACGAGCAAAATGACGAGTTTACGCGACAACATGACGAATTTACACGCCAAATGTAGAGAGTAGAACGAGAAAAAAAACATTCATCTCTTTTGGTTATTTTCTATATTAACCTCTCTTGAATATACGCTAAATGTCCCGTCTGCGATATTTGTTGTTCGTGGCTAAAAGATGCATCCACAAATGACCAGGTGTCAATTCAATAAAACTTTTACACGTATAATTTACAAGTGTAGCTATTGCTCTCAGACTCAGTGGCTACACTTGTCAATTACATGTGTCAAGTGTGGAAGAGGTAAAATAAAAATGCCTATTAAGCTATATTGACTTCTGCTTGCGTCATTGCATTTGAAAAGTGAGAAAAACCGATGCATCCCTTTTATTAAACGTTTGCTAAATAAATGAATTTTTCTGAGCCTTTTTTTAAAATGAAAATTCAACCCTCCGTAGCAGAAATTAAAAGATAGTAGGTTAATTTCTAACACTGTTGACTAGATGCAAATTTCCTTTCTACTATTTAACTTGCAGAACATTGATTATATTGAAAGTATATTCAATAGCCAGTAGGAAATAAGCGCTATAACAGGTGGTTCAATTACTGTCACAACACTTTCTAAATTAAGAATCTTAACCTTTTCCACTGTAACAAAACATATACAAGAGCTGAAGATTGCAATGCCCGATTTATTCAGTTTTACGCTCTGCTTTAGGCTCCAGAAACGGAATTATTTGGAATGAAAATAAAAAAAGGTCATTCCAATTGGCTAATGAGTAATATTATTAATCTCATGCAGTTACATATTTATGAATTGGTCCGGTATATTTCGCAAGCAGTGCGAATAGATCGAAGCTATAAACAATCTTGTAAGCATATACAAGCTGTTTTTGAACCGAGAGATGTTTTAACAACCAGCTCAGTATTACGAGAAGACGCCCGTACAGCAACCGCGTCAAACATGAACATAACAGCGAATGGATCGAGTTCCTGGAACTGCTATAGTCTCATAAATCAGGTAGTACAAAAACATGTACCAACAGTTGCTTCTGGTTTGATACTTGTTGTTTCGCTGATTGGAAATTCTCTCATCGTAACAATTGTTTTTAAAACACCAACTTTAAAAAAACCGATTAATTTTATGATTGTAAACATGGCCATATCGGACCTGCTGTTTCCAGTATTCCTGTTTCCTCTGAACCTGGTGGACATGCAAGCTGACCCTTCGCTTATTGGTGATTCCCTTCATCAGACCTTATGCAAGATAGGCTTATTTCTTTTAAACGTTTCTGCGACAGTGTCGATTCAGAGCCTGATTCTAATAACAGTGGATCGATTTGGAGCTGTTGTGATGCCAATCCGCGGCTCTCCACTCATCGGTAGAAGGTTGTGTCTTTTCTTCATCGTCGTCACATGGATCGTCGCAGTAGCCGCAAACTCGCCTTACTTGTTTGCTTTCAAATTTGTTGAATACCCAGGGGAAACGGTTTTGACGTGCGTGATAGAAAAATCATCGGCGAATTACTACATCGTCGCAAATTTCATAGCATTTTTTTACATTCCCTTTGTTTTGTTGATTATACTTTACGCTATCATCCTGTTCAAGCTTAAGCAACACGCTCATCCCGGTGAACAAACAGCCAACGCTGCGGAAATGCGGTCAAGACGAAACCGAAACGTGCTAAAGATGGCCATCGTTATCGTGTTTGTGTTTCTTCTTTGCTGGATACCCTACATCACTAACCAGACAATATTTCATTTTGCACCGAACAGTTCCATTTGGTCTTCTTGCAATTTTTTCCTATACGATTTCTTTACCTCCTTCATGGCCGCCGCAAACTGCACCGTCAACCCGATTATCTGCCTCGTTTTTAGCAGTAATTATCGCCAAGGTCTTAAAAGACTTGTTACTTTTTGTGCTTAATTTCCGTGAAGTGCTTCTTATCTGGGTAAAAAGAGTGAATTCGTATAACCCGTTTCTTATATGCTAATGACATCAGTAAATGCTAATTAGAAGAGAATTGAAAAGGCACGCAAAACTGAAATATCACTGATAATTTATTCAAAAACAAGCCTTAAAATGACAATTCTTTTCTCCAACCTTTTGCATACCAGCCTGGAAGTGCTGGAGGGAGTGTTTCTCAGCCACAACGATAAGAAAAAACATGAATTAAATCGTGAAAGCTGCTCTGACAAAACCACGCGTATTAAACACGCTGCAAAATGCACGTAGTGCACGTATTTCATGGACTTTCATGGTCTTTGCCCAGTACAGAATATTCTTGGTTCAGATATCAAAGTATCACGGGGGATACTCTGTTACCATCAACAAGTTTCAGCCCTAGAACAATACTCTATACCAGCCTCTGGAAGAGCTACTGACTAAGTTGTCTCGTGGGACGAATATTCACTAAAATTGACCTTTCACAAGCATATCATTAACTGGAGCTTACGCGAGAAAGCAGAAAGTACACCACAATACCAATAAAACGCACCTTTGAAAACGTCCTTAAATACCTTCTGTGCCCGATTGAAATTCTTCTGAACAGCCTTTACTATGTATTACAACGATTACAAGAATGCGGGCTTAAACTAAATTCTGACAAGTTTTCTTTCATGCTTGGTAAAGTTGAGTAACTTTGTTACTACCATTTGTGCTGCTGAAATTTCACTTACTGCTGAGAATATTTATATATAAGGTACAGGCCATAAAGGATGTGGCACCCCTTGCTGAATTACAGTCATTCCTTGGATAGAGCAAACATTTCTTCATAAATATGTGCTAGATTTTGCAAAAATTGCCCCACCGTAGTACAGTTACGTTTCTAAGGAGGTACCATGAAAGTGGCCAAAAACTGAAGAAGACGCGTTTGATAGTATTACGGGCTGCTCTCTGTTCAGATTCTATTCTACGTCACTATGACCCCACAGCTGAGCTTGTTCTACAGTGTGATAGTTCTTTAGTAGGTGTAGAAGCCTAAATTTGTTATTGTAACCTGGACCTGGTGGAACATTACAGCCAGTTGCTTCTGCATCCAGGATACTGAACAATATATGCAAAAACAATTACTCTCATTTTGAGGGAGAGTCCTTAACCATGGTTTTAGGTCTCACCAAATTTCGTCAGTATCTGTTAGGAAGGCATTTTAAGCTGCTTATAGACCATAGGCCATTGATCTCACCTCATTTGAAGAACAAAAGCCTGTGTGAGAGAGAATCAAAAGATGTGCATTACTCTTAGCTGCTTATGACCACACTGTTGATTTTATAAGTGGCAAAGACAATGTGCGTATATGCAGATTTTTTTTGTAACCATGAACACTCAGCCATCTGCTGAGGAACAAGTCACTGTAAATATCATGTTTATTGAAGTAGACCAGTCAGTGTTTACCATGGAAACCAAACAGAAGCCAGTTCTTTGCAAAGTGTTGCAGTATACCTAGGAGGGTTGGCCAGATAACACCAAGTAGTATAGGGCGCACCGAATTAACCGTTTTTTGCGCAGGAATCTCATTAGCGTGCGCAGGAATACATCAAATAGGTGACGTCACAGGCTATTGTCTTTATCTCATGAATAAAATGCCCAGGAATTTCATAAAGATAAGGTCATGTGCTATTTTTATCTTGTGGCGTTCATGGTTGGTATAACCGGTTTGACAGGTTTTAGTTATTTTCGGAAGATGATGTCATATGTATTCCGGGGTACTATGATGTCATAGTTGTTTTGATTGGTTGACCGGAATTAGAAAGACGCTCATTGGCTGTCTCGTTTGACAAAGCATTCTGGTTGGTTGCCGTATTTTTTATTGTTTGAACGGCATAAAAGCCTGCTCACTGCCTTCTTGCATACTAATTTGGATTTCCTGCATACTAATTAAGTGTCTTCCTCCATATATAATGAAGTGGATAGGTTTACTAATGAGCGTCACTCTACTTCAATAGAAACAATAGGCTTGCCTAGACTTGCCCGGTAAGTAACTTGATTAAAAGAAAAATAAGAGCGATCACCTAGCAACGCGAGAAACGGCTTCCTATATCTTATTTAGCGCTAAAACTCGGATATATAAACAAAACACACGCACATATACACAAATTTGAGCTGAAAACGCTT